TCACTTGGGAAGATTTAGCTTTTCCTTTTTCTAGTTTTTTTATTTTTTTTATTTTTTATGTTTAATAAATTTTTTTTAAAAATTTTTCTTCTAAAAGTGGATCCCATTTTATGTTAAACTTTTTCTTTTACTTTTTTGTTAAAATTTTAAATTTTTTATGAAATTCATTTGATATTAAAAATATGCCACATGTTTATTTTTTATTATTTTTATTTTTATTTATTTAAGAAATATTTTTATGTTTTAATTTTTTTATCTTGCAAACTTGACATTTAGGATATGATGTGTGTCAAATTTTTTTAATCATTTTTTATATTTTTATTTATTTTTATTTTTTCTTTTTGTCTTTTTTTTTTATAAAATTTTTAAGTATTTTACTTTTTTAAATCTTAGTACTTATTGATATTATTGATTTTTTTAATTTTTTAATTTAATAATTTTAAAGAAAATGATATTAAAGAAAGCTTATTATTATTAATGTCACGTGATAACTTGATTTTTTTTCTTTTTTAATTCAATAATCATGATTACTTGCTTACATCACTTTGATTTTTTTATTCCATTCTTATTAAAATTATTATGATTTTAACAAATATTGTATTTTATCTCTATAAAAAAAAATAATAACAACAACAACAACATCAATAAAAAATTTCTTAATTATACATGTATAGGATAAACTTTAAGAGTGTGGGTCGGACTTAAGGCCCACATCGTATTGAGAAGTAGGTTTTCATATAAGTATTAATTATATAGAATTTTCCGTTTGTTAAAATTATAGTAATGATTTTAATAAATGTATGTTCTATCGCTGTAAAAATAATTACCAGTAACATAGTTACCATACAGTTGAATTTTCTTCTTCAAGAATTTCGTTTATCAATTGGGAGGGATTAGCTCCAAATTTTTTGCGCTTTCGGTTGTGGGAGTCAATTTTTGGCCTTAAATTTTAGTATTTGACATTTTAAGGCCATGAAACCCAACATCAGCCTTGATGGACCGAACCCACGCACCTGACATTGCCAAGCTTTGTTTTTCATTGTAGTTTCTCTCACTCATGTGTCGTGTCCCATGCAATGAGTGAATCAATTAACTCATCTTCATTTTTCTAAGTAAATCAACCCACGGAAGAAGGGAAAAAAAAAAGGCTTATACCAGGAGTATAAGCTTAATTTATTTCTATATAGTTTATGTCTTGGCCAAGAATTATTTTTATCCCATCTAGAGATGGCAATAGGGGGAACCGAGGTGGGTTTTCATTCCCCCAACTCTAATCCGATTTTATAAAATTTATATATTTGCATTTTGAATCCAATCTAATATACAAATATAATATTTTTATTAAGTTAATAAATTAAATTAAAATATTAAATAATAATTTTATTAATATAAATATAAAATTAAATAAATAATTAAAAAATATTATATATATATATATATATATCAGATCGAATGAGGAGGTCATGAGTTAAAACCTAATTTCAATTTGATTCCAATTTTAAAAAAAAAAAAAAAGACCGGAAATGCAATTTAAAACAAAAGAAATAAAGAATCAGGTTGAAACGACGAAACCTGCCAATTGCAGATAGTTTTGCCATCCCTAATCCCAGCTGTGAAATCAATGTTAGAGTTGAGTAACTGATTTAATATATCATTCCCTTATCCAAGTTTGACTCCTCAGTCCTCACAATGATGCTAGTGGTCTCACTCCCCTGATGGAATTCGATGCCACTGGCGGCGTCCAAGGGCTAAAGGGAGTTCCTGATCAATTGCATTGTTCTATAACCCACCCGTTTGGGCTGAGACAATACAGTAGCACTAATAGGTGTTTATTTACTTTACAGTTTACAATGATTTTTTTTAAAGGGAAATAGATGTTGGACAACAGATCCTATGTGCAAAATATTCTGTTATACCATGATATTTTGGCAACATTGCACTGGTTTTTACCCCACAAATTGGGGTTGATGTAGAACTCCATTTTCATCAATTATTCATGTAAAGTAATTGATCAATAACTCAATTGCCAACAATTGCCCTACTGTCTAATTGTCAGTATATTTTTTTTCTTTTTCTTCTTTTTCTTCCTGTTAAATTGTCTTTCTGGTTTTGCACCCTTGGAACCGATCATACAGCTGACATCTGATGCAGAATATCACACTCAATTATTTTTCTTAGGACTATTCAAGTGTTGACTAACCCTGATGCCAAGTTTAAGCTACAGAAAACTGGAAAAGTCTGCACTATCACATAATCTAAACCCTAAACTCAAAATTAACTTAATTCTACCTACCTGGGATATCCTCAGCTGTTACGATAGGAAATTGGTTGTTTGAATTGTACTGTTCCTTGTCTATGGGGACTTTGTAATGTGATTTTTGGGGTGTGACGGATAACTGACATTAAATGTTAAACACTTAGGAGGCTGCTAAATGGGGTCTCCAATCACCACAAGATATCAATATTTAAAGCCATGCATCCCTTGCATGTCTCATTGACTCCATACAGCTTTTAAATTATCTTTAGTTATTTTCAATTTGCTATTCTGTTGTCTAATGCAATATCTTTTTCGCATCAACTCTTGGCTGGCTTTGCAATGTGATTCGCTATCGTCTACCTCTCCAATACCATACAGATGCACCCAAATCTGATGCCATTAATTCTTCATTAATCTGTTTTCAATGAATGTGCAAGAGTTAATTAGTTTAATTAGTTTTGTTAATGAATGTTGTTGCCAGATGCAATCCCATTTGACATTTTTATGTATTTTCTAATTAGTTTTGTTAGCTCTAGGTCGTTCATTCTTTTTTTATATTTCTTTTCTCCAAGATTTTGTCTCAATCATGCATGCAAATTGGAAAAATTATTCTGATTTCTAGTTAAATGTCAAAAGCAAGCGGGCTAAAGATCCTTTACCATTAGAAAAACAAGATTTTCCACTTTAAGTGTGATCATGAATCATCTAATAGAAACAAATGTTTATTTATTTTCTAATCATTGGGGGATCCATGGTTTGTTTTTATTTCCCCCCTTCGAACCGATGCAAAAACAAGTCTATCCACTGCACATTGAGTTGGATTTTGAACCACAATTTGACAAGGCTCAAGACAATGCTATAAAACAATATTGTTAGTTTATTTAGGAAGAGCTCAAATCAATTCAGCTGAAGATGATTTCAGGTTTAACTTGTGTTGACTTTAATCTCTAGTTTTATGTTTCACTTCAAATTTTAGCCAAGGAAAAATACTGGCACGGTCACCCCAAAGACATGTCAAACAGTGAAAAAACAATTCGACAAACAAAAAGTAAATGAAAGAAATAAACAACAGAACAGATTGTTGCATAGCAAAAACTTTTCCAAAATGAACAAAGCAATGGGCGGAAAAGATGCAAAGTTCTAGACTGCTAAGATTAGAATTGGGTAGCCAGGAAGGCAGAAACCACCTAAAAAAAAAAAAACGAAAGGCTTTGAGCTGAAAACCCCAAAAACCTCATTGATAAGGAGAGGCATGTGGTCCACCAAAGGACAAAGGGATGCCAATAGGCATTGCAGGAGCTAGCACAGTGGCCTAGACATAACATAGGAGAAGAGATGAGGTGGTGACATGGAGATGGATGTGTTTATCTGTGGTGGCTAATGTTGGTTTGTCTCATGTGCACTGGCTGGCTCCTTTCCAAATGGTCCATCGAAACCCTGTTCAATAGAGGTCAGACCCAAGGGCTTTTACTAAATCACTGCGCGGGGGTTGGGGTGGGGCCATTTCTGTCACTTTTGTGGAACTCCAGGGGCCCATTCACTGCCCCAGCCCAAGTTTCACATATACATTAATACTTGAATAGACATGTTCACATGTGTTTTATTTTATCAATAAGATTTAATTTTTTTAATTTTAATATATTTAAAATATTAAGTTTTTATTTTTAAAAATTTTAATATAAGTTTGTTTTAGGGGTATCATTGTAGTTCTCGTTCCCGTTCCAGCTCCAAGGTGATGTGACGCGTGCTGGACACTGCCCCTACTTTTTATCAAATCAAATCTTTGTCACTAACACTTCACTTGTCCTTTCTTCTACAGCTGGACGGCTCTGATTGATTGATTTCATCACTCTTATGCCTTTCGTCCAAATCTTTTTCTTTTGGGCCACGGCTTTCCCTCCAAATCCACCTCTCTCCTTTCTTCCCTCCTTTCCTTAGTTTGCCAGTTGGCATCAGATCTTTACGTGGCATACGTCCGCGTCACGCCTGAAGTGATATCCTTACGTGCGACCACCCCAGCAAAATTGGCTACACTGAATTTACCATAATGATCCCGTATTGACTGCTTGTTTCATTACAGATTCTTGGCCAAATGTACATTAATAACCTCGTCAATCAAGGGTGCAATGAGTCTACTCACAACTCGAATTCTTAGATTTAAAACTTAATTTGAATTTGATTAAATTTTTTAAAAAAATTTTAATTAAATAAAATCGAATATATTTAATAAAATTATAAATATTATCATTAAATATTATTTTTTTATTATTTATATGTATTAAATATATTAATTAAGTTCATAAATCTATCAAATAAAATATTAAACTACTCAATTCATTTTTCGAACGGTTCGAGCTCAATTAAACAATAAAAGAATTAAAATTCGAATTTTTTTATAATCAAACTCATTCAGACTCTTACTCCATCCAATACGAAAGCGCCACTGGCATAAAATTTGCTTGGCGTATTAGTGTCTGTAATTTTTGTCGGACAAGTGGAGAACAGCAATTGTCCACACACATACAATTTGCTTGAAATAAACAAACAATTTTTATTTTCTTAAGAAAAAAAAGGGTATTTTGGTCCGAATGAAATGATCGGTCCAAATTCAACTATACTTGTAAGTTTTCATGCAGTCATTATTTGGCTATGGGTTGAGAATAATTGAAACATCATGAGAATTGAGAACCACGTTAAGGTGGTTTGACCAAAAAGCCCATAGCAGAAGAACAAAAAATGGACAGTAAAAAATGTAATTTTTTAAAACGATATTTATAAATACACGTTAATCGGATCGTTTATTTTTTACATATTTAGCTCTTAAAAATAACAATAATTATAATAATGATTAACAACTAAATTCCCTCTTCCCTTTATATCATCCAATCCCGACCCTTCATCATTTAAATAACTATTGACAAAAAAAAGTTCCACACTTTCTTAAGAGATAGATGGAGCAGGGGGTGGGTCTTATCTACGATTTCTGTACATCCGGAGCAGAGGACCGTAACCGCTTGGGTGGCGGCTCTTCTTGGCTACTGGAGCCAGGATTCTCGGAGCGCGTGTCACAGCTGCCGCAACCAGCCGCGTCGAGAACACCGACTGGGCTTGGAGGTGCGGGTGGCTGCTCGACTCTTCGCTCCTTGAGCCGAGTAGATGGACATGTGTCGACCAAATATTCTTCCATTAGTTGGTGACAGCTTCTCACCATTTCCTATCCCAAAAAAGGAGGAAAGAAAAAGAAAAATCACCACCACAAAGATTTTATTTTATAAAATTTTACACAGCTTTTTATGCTTCAAGCACCTACTTTGTTTACACTCTCGTAAAAAATAGCTTCAGTAGCCGGAAATTCAAAACCCTCTCCGGCGGCACAAAGCGCGGCGGCTGCCGCCATCGTCGACTGCGCGAATCGCAAGAAATCAATAACTGCAAACAACCCAATAAACCAACAAAAAAGATGAGACTCAAACAACATATATAACAAATTAAACTAGACTAAAAGCTTTTGTAAATCAGTTGATAGATCAATATCACATTATCAATCATACCACGAGTGGTGTTGAGAATGAGATCCGAAGAAGCAGAGATGACAGAAGCAAAAGAATCGGGTAACAGGGTGGAGCAAGAAGGGAGCTTGCAAACGAAGTGATGTAGATAATCAAACGGAGTTACGGAACGTAGTCTCCAATTGAGAGTGGCCATGACACGAAGCTCCATTCTTTGGATGGTTTTAGGTTCGAAAACGAATCTGGGTTCGAATACTTGAAGGTCCAGTAACAATGGCACTTCGGGTTCCTCCATTTTTGCTGCCAAAGATAAACAAGCCACCGATAGAAGCTGAAACAGCCACCCATTTGCTTCCTAAACACCAAATTTAAAAAAAAAAAAAAAAAGGTTAAGCATTTTGCAAAGAAAGTTGCAGTCAATTTCATTTGTAAAATGCAGAAGAACAAAGTAGTCTTTACGGGAAGAGAATGAGAAGAGAGGAATCGGTCGAAATAGTTGACGGAGAGAAACGCAGTTACTGGGCTGAAATTATAGTATGCATGGACCTGCATTGCCTCATCACATAAAAATCAATAAAATTTGAATGAATATATTTATATTTTGTACATAAAAGAGAAAAATGGGGTACCTTTAGGATCCAATTGATGGAGTCTTGGCGGGCAATGATGTCGACAGAACGGTCCTGGCAACGTTGAAGGTAATCGGGTAAAGGCATATGATGGGATTCCAGGTCAATGAGTTTTGAAATGGTATCCTCATCGGACGGTGGATAATCGTGAAGACATGGAAATTGATGGTGGGAAGACGTGTCAGGTTCCCACGGTACCACTTCCCCCGCGTCCTCACCACGAGACAAGCTGGTGCTGCTGCTACTACCAGCAGAGCCAGAGGAGTTGTTCACGGGAGTTGAGTGAGAATGAGAGTAGGACATTTGGATGATAATGATAAAGAAGCAGCTGCCGCGTTTAATGGAAAGATATCGGGTTTGGCGGTAGCTGAGGCGGCATTGATGACGGCGGCGATGGGCTTGAGGAGTAAGTCGAAATTGGTGGTGGTATTTGGTTTGGTCATTTGGCTTTTGGTTTTTATGGGGAATTTTGCTTCTTCACATCTTTCACAAGTTCTCTCTCTGTCTTTTTTTTTTTTTTCTTACTTTTATTTCCTTTTTTTTTCTCTCTTTAGAATTTATTGGACGGTTCGTTCGTGTGAGAGTGTGTTCACTGTTCAGAGATGAGCAGATGTCCAATGGTTGTGAAAATAAAAACTTTCTTTTTTTATGATATCTAAATTATTTATGAGAAATAATTTTTTCTTAGTGATTTGTGATAAATTTATATTCAATTAATACTTACTTGAATATTACCCTTCTTATATATCTAATAATTTTACGTATGATACAATAATATCATATAAAAAATAAAAATAATATATTTAAAACTTTAATAAAAATATATATATTTTATATTTGATGTACAACATTAATTTTTGATGCAGGAGAAAATTTCTATTACATTAGCCTGAAAAAGTGCTTGTTTATATTATTTGATAACTTTTTCATTTTTTTTAGTTAAAAATTATTATTAATTCTTTATTTTTTTTAGCTTATAGTTCAACAATATATTCGTAACAATTAAGTTTTAAATTTTTTTATTTGGATTGTAAGAAAAAAGTTAAAATTTAGAACATAAGAGAACCTTTGGTTTTCGATTTTCTTTGTACTTATTTAACTTTTATAAACATTAAATTAGGCATGGTTTCAATGGTAAGAAGAGACTGCAATCTTACAATTTCAATATATGTGAGTGTAGTTTAATTTTAAGTTGATTTATTTGTTCGTTTTATTTGATTTTTTTTTACTTTTTTTTCATAAAATATCTATTTCTAATTTTTATTCTAAAACAATCAAAATTTATCAAATTGTTTCAAATCTAAATTAAAAATGACTTTTGTAGTCAAACTTGAACACGTAAAAATGAACCCAAAAAAAAAAAAATCTCCCATCTCTTTCCAAGTTGCTATCTATCACGTTCCTTGGACTTCATATATATATATATATATATATAAACTCTATTGACTGCCATTGCCTTTGAAGATTAGATTAATAATTTATCAAAAATATAATTGAAATTTTAATAATTTTAAATTGGGTATAAAAATAAATTTAATTTAATTTAAAATAATAAAATGGTTTGCATAAATATTTAAAAGTATATTTTTTATTTTGGATAAAATAATAAAAACTTTCACTATTTTTTAACCACCGAAAATAATTATTTCTTTTGTTTTAACTATGTTTTTAAGTTGCATTTAATATGAAAGTAGATAATTATGTTTGAGTTCATGACATATTTTAACTAGAGATGTCAATTGATAGGATATGAGTATGATAGAATATTTTTCATCTTCATCTTCAGATTTTTATATTATATTTATTTTTGTATCTATATTTAATAGATATTTTAAATTTATTCTTATCTCCATCCATACAGATATTCAATAGGTATAGGTAATTCTTATACCATAACTTTTAACAAAAAACTAAAAACTAAAAATTTTTTACTTTTTTATTTTTATCTTGTATATTTAAGTAATTTTTTATAAATATATATTAATATATTTTTCAATAAATATATTAATTTTAATTAATCTAAAATAATAATTTATATTATTTAATAAAAAATCATATACTAAATATATATAAATATATGTATAAAGTATAGGTACAAGATGAGTACTATATTACGCATTATCATTTTCATATCATATAAAAATTTAAAATCATACACATCCTCGTCCTCATACTCACAATGTGATACCCATTTTTTTCCCCATTTAGGTAAAAAATTGAGTTTCTTATTGAGTATGGGTAAGATTAACATCCCTGATTTCAACCACTTTATTCATTTTTTTTTTTTATATTTGCATTTCAAGCATCAAATGTGATAGTTTTTGCTTTATTATAACACTTTTAATAAAACAAAAAAAAAAGTAAATAACAAAGAATTAGAAGAAAAGTAAATGGTTAAGCAAAGTCTACGTAAATCATGTACCATCTCTTTAAGTTCTATGAGAAAAAAAAAAAAAAAAGAAAACCCAAAGGAAAATATAAAGGAAATGAAATCTTAGCATGGAAAGAGCAATAATTTACAATTCAATGTACAAAAAAAAATATATATAAACACAATCATGCTAATGTTCTTCCTCTATATAATATCAAAGTATTAAAGTGCCTAAAGTAGATTTATATTAAAAACAAATTAAGGGTAGGGAAACATTAATAATGTTGTCAATCAAGCATTGATTAGTATTGCTTACTAGTTATTAACAAAGAAAGAGACATAATCCCATTTCCAAAATTAACCAAGCATAGATGGGTTTAACAAGTTTTAAGCATTTTGAAAATTTGCAATTTTTTTTTTTATTTTTTTAACAAATTAGGTTTAAGTTGGGAATAAAAAAAAAAGAGATTACAAGTATTTAAATTTGAATAATAAATCTATTGAATGTTATTTTTAAAATTATTATATAAATCAATAAAATTAAATTCGTGTTTAAATTTTAAGGTTTATTTGTCATTTTATTCACTAACAGAGTGAGTTTAATTACTTTTAAAATCCTTATAGTTATACATGGATAGCAATATGTCCACATACCATCAATTAATGTACCCACTCAATAAGCACAAACCAAGTCTAACTATAAAAAGATTTTTCTCAATTATGGGTGATGTTTTAAGTTTTCTATTTTTTCTAATGTGAATGCTTGAAGATATATATATATATACATACACACATATATTAATTTTATAAAGTACGGTTAATATAACGACATATATTTCACTTTTTTTAATTAGTTTTTTACAAATATATTATAAAAAACATGTCATTCTATTAATCTCTTTTATGACATTAAAAAATTACACTGGCAATATATTTAATAGTTTATTTTTGTATATATTTCATAAATTACCTTAATAGGAGATAGGAAACGATTATCTTTTTTATTTTGATTTTCATGGCATCAAATATTTCTTTTATTTTTTATATCTTATATTTTACCCATTTTAAAATATTTGTCATGTATTGATTTTCACGGAATTTAAGACAAAAAGTTTTGATTTTAATGTATTTAAGTTTAAATTTTTTTATAAAAATAAAGTTTCATGATTTTTAATATCAAAAAGTAAAAAAAAAATCATAAAATATAAATTTAAAATATAAAAAGTAAGAGTTTTTAACGTTAAAAAATAAAATAAAATATAATTTTGGGACATAAAAATAAATAAATGGGACAAAGAGAATTTATTAAATATTACCATAGGAAACTCTACATAAAAAGTCTCAAGTTAAAGTTTTAAAATTAACAAATATTTGAAATCGTAAAAAAAAAAAAAAAAAAACTATTATCGATTTTTCTCATTCCCTCCATTTTTCTTCCCTTCTCCTACCAAATATATGACGAAATATGATTTTCATTTATATTATTATCTTCTGTCCCTTTAATGCATTGTCTGTTACTATAGAAGAAAAGAGTACAAGCCTGCTAAGCATCAAATGTAGTATCAATTCATTTAAAATCTTTACCTTACCTAATAAAATTTGATGTGTGCTTGAGTGGCCCATTTATTACTTCTTGTTAATGCTTGGTGCCTTAGCTCATCAATAATCAAGTAATTCATTTTTTTTTTACTACATCCTTGAATGTAGTCACAGCAATAAATAGTTGCAGTCAAATCTTCTAGATTTATCCAATCATATAAACTTCTTTATTGCAACTCATTGTTAAGGGATGTTTTAAAAGCTTTAACTTTTGCATAAAAACTAAAAAAAAAAAAAAAAAAAAGAAAAGAATGGGAAGCAAATCACAAATGTACCATCAGAGTTACATCTTGCTTTAAGTGTAGTTACAAAGTTGGATTCTAAAATGATTTGATAGATCATTAACCATTTTGTAGCTTGCCAAATGCCAAGTCTCAAACGGGATTGGCAGTCAAACTTAAAATTGATGGATTCGATTTGATTCGATCTTATAAGATTTTTTTTTTTAAATTGAATTTCGAATCAGATAAGATATTATTAAAGGAAATCGAAATTGGATCAAGTTTAAATTTTAAGTAAATTCGATCCGATCCAACTCGATATTATATAAAAAATTATTTTTTAAAATTTTAATTATATATATTTATATTTTACAAATAATATTTTATATTTTAAAAAATAATATTTTATTAATTTATGGTCGAATAAGATCGGATACAATTTATATAATATCGAATTAGGATATAAAAAAAAATTCAAATCAAGTACGAATACATGTTTTATATTTATAAAATTAAATCGAATTTAAAACGAGTAAAATCTCATTCTGATCCAACTCGTTACCAACACTAATCTCAAATAGAAGCAATTCCATAAATTTCCTCACTTTTTACGATTTATCATGATAAATAACATTCTTTCTGTTTTTTTTTTTTGTTTTTTTTTAATTTTTAAAGTTCTATTTTTTATATTTTAAAATTATATTTTAATTTTTTTTACTTTTCAATATTAAAAATTATGAAATTTAATTTTAATATTAAATATATTAAAATTATTTTTTTAATTTCATAAAAATTAATGCAAGTAAAATATTTTGAGAATAATAAAAATGATAAAGATAATGTGGCTGAAAGACATGGATTAGGGGACTTAAAACTACTTTTGTATTAATGCTTTGCAATAAATTCGGGAAGAAGATGGACTGTCAAGTTTGATTAGACATTGATTAGGAGAATCAAAGCTCACGTGCTTACTGACTAGTGTTTTAATTCATGGGCTTCAGCTCATAGGCAGAGTCTAATAGAACATAGACCAATCGCTTTGCCGTTGGCCTTGGGTTGCAGACATGGGGTCCCCTGTGGATTCTGTCGAGAAAAGAGTGTTTTCTGGAACTCGGTATTATCGGTGGCTGTCGTCTGTCTTTTATAGTCAAAAAAGACGATCACATGAGTTGAAAGGCGTGTATAAAAGGGAATTATAAGAAGATATTTCCTTTTAACTTAACAGACCCTACTCGTGTCTTAGATGTCCCGATGTAGCCAAAAATTTTCAACTGCTTTGAGGTGAAATCAAAGCCATTATGTGTAATTGTGAGGGTGCCATCAGGCTAAATACATTACATTATGTTAATAAAATTTAAACTAAATTTAAGTTTTAGGTTTATTTGAGAGCGCATCAAAAGATATGTTGTATGATTAAATTCGTATAACTTAATTTTTTTAATAGTATTTTTTCATTTCATTTTCCTTCATAAACGGAGTACTAATCTAGTTGAGTGTCATAGTCCTTTTTTTTTTTTTTTTTCACCTCAATATCTTTGGGTTTGATGGGATAAAACTTGATCAGCCAAGCAAATTCATGTTAAGATTAAAGATGACATTGTTAAGAAAATACAGGCCAGCTCAAGCAGCTCTAAAGTTGTTTCATTTGTTTAGTTTGTACCCATAGTGTGAACAAGCTCGAAACCTATAACTAACTTCATGAAATGAATTTGCCTGCCCAATCAACCCATCCCCATCAGTTAAAAAACGAAACAACTGTTGCCCTCAAAGAAAATGCAGAGGACAAGGCTAACGTCAAAACTCAAACACAACTTTTAATGGCCTAAATTGATTCAACCAATAATTTTCCCCAGAAACGACAAATGGGGTCTGGAGTCTTGACTAACAGAGAAAGTCCACTAAACAGATGAGCCCTTTAATTTCGAGAATTTATTTTGTCATTCTAAAATCAGAGACATTAGGTGCAATTGGGTCCAGCGCATGAGCCAGGTATAAAGGGGCTCGTAAAAGCTTACTGTTTTTGTTCAGTATTCCAAATGCCAGAAATGTCTCAAGAAATCCAGAGATTGCTGCTGCTAACATAAATACGAAATAACATCCAACCATGGCCTGTAGGTAGTGGCTTTTAATGAGCATACAGAATGGACTGTCGAAACGGGTATTAAGTGTAACTATTAAGGCTTATACCGAACAATTCACTATAATTTAAGAACTATTTATGATATTAATTTTTAATTTTTTTATTTAAATTTATAAACCAAAATTTTAAAAGTTAAAATATTAAAAAAATTTTAAACTATTCCACTTTTCTTAAATAAATCTTAATTTTTTTGTTGTTCTTAAATAAACCATTATTATTTGATTTACATCTAAATAAATTAACTAAAGATTAATTTATATTAAAAAATTATTTAAATCCAAATTAAAAATTAAAAGTTACTTTGGATGCAATTAAAATATATGAACTTATTTAAGTAAAACGTTCAAATTCATAATTTTTTCGTTGTTTTAGTCAATTTTTAAATAAAAAATCTCTTTTTTTACTGTTTAGCATTAAGGGTGGATCAAATAAATAAAAAAGTCATTTTCAATTTCAATGTTAAACTAAACCCTAAAAAAAAAAAAAAGAATCTAATAGGAATTTATAAAAAAAAAACACACACACACACACTTAATGACGCTTCCCGCGTTAAATTAAATTTTACATAAAAGAATCAGTTTGGTACAATAATTCACTATAATTTAAGTTCTGTAAGAAAAAAAAAAGTTTCGTACATCTATGCTAAAAAGACTTGCCAATAAATTTCTTACAAGTACTGAATTGAAACTAGCATGTTAACAAACTGCCACTGCAAATTCTTGGCGTACGAAGGAAATTTTAGCCATAAGCTTAGCTGATAATGGTTTCCCAAATCGCTGTCTCAATTGCTCAAACAGTATATACGGTTTTTTAACTTTTTTATTTGCTTGTTTCTAGTATCGATATGGACTACTAATAACTAAGAAATTAAAAAGGAAGGATTTAATTTCCCAGCAAATATCTTCCATGGTCATTATTGTCACTGATCTTCAGTTTTTTGTCCATGGAAGGAAAGACTTGAAGTTTAAAATGAAGGGAAGAACCTATTAAGATTACCAGGCAGGGAATAGAAATCTTCACTCCTAGTATCTGTGTTGAAATTCCTGAACTTTTCCCACCAATGCCTTCCACTATCTCGCCAAACTGAGCTATGCCCGAAACTGTGGGTGCTGTCCAAGAAGATAGCAACTATGATTCCCACTGTTGCCGGGGATGAAAAAATTACTTGCATGACATTGTTGAACTGCAACCGATAAGAAAAATAAGAATCACTTGATGGGAATCGGATTTCTTTCAACATTTTTAAACTAAAAATGACGAGTTTGTTGGGGGTAGCATGCAAATCGAACACACTCACCCATGTAGAATGAGTGTGAACAGGGCCACGACCTGAAACTAGTAGATACTCGTTAAAATATTGAGGGATGGAGAGGCCCATGAAGAGAGAAAATCCCAGTATAAACTTTGTCCTGAAGCTGTTTAGGTTGCAAAATTGAAGGAGACCAAGTCCAGCTGAAGCTGCGCAATGAAGTCAACTCACATTATATTGGTTCAAAAGCTAACGATTTTAGAAGTGAAGCATAATCAATGTATATTGAAGAAGGCCTTTACTCCTTCCAAAACTGTAGTATTTACTTCTGTTTTTCTTCTGATAAAGTTTTGAGCACTCCAATCCATACGAGTAACCCACAATTTTCTTATTGCTCCCAGTTATAAACCTCACCATGTTTACCAAGAAGTTTAAAAGGGATACATACCAACATAAGCAAAGAGGAGACAGTAGAGAGCAGCCATAATTGGCAATGGTATTGAAGCCAGAACAGCCCCGAATTTTCCTGTCCATAATCAGTTAGATCAATCTCCGAGTAATAAGAACCCAAAGACGCTTATAAGTCCTTGTTTGAGTTATTGTTCAAAGATTATAAGAACGGCTCAACAAATTATAAGATCCTATTAGCATTTTCTTAAATAGAATCACAATTCACAATAGATTTAGCACCAACAGGATGTTAGAATATCTAGGATTTATTGTATTAATAATGGATTACCCTACCTAATACAGAAAAGAAAAGCATAAATAATGCCGATATTTGAACGACTCTCCGACTTCCAACTCTTGTTAATCCCAAAAGACCTGCATTTTCACTAAATTACAGCAAAATAAAATTAGATGACAGAGGCCTACCATGCTTTTTGCTTGAATCAACCATTAATTACTACAACTAAGAAAATATCAATTTGTTGATATGTACAAGATGATGTTGAGAATTAGAGATAACTTGTATATATCATCATCAAATAATTCCCCACAGATGTCATTATTAGCATGTTTGAAAAGATCATGATTATTACACTGAAGCAGTGGAGCCACTTCCTGTGCCAAATAAACCATCTAGTAAAATGCCTACTCCCTGGAATTCACAAAAATTGAAGAACTTATTAGAATCTGAAACTAGTAAAATGACAAAATTTTAGAAAATGATGACAAGAAGAGATAATGATTATTTTTATATTTACCAGCCAGCCAACACCACGGCTAAACACGGAAGGCGGCATAGGAGTGGCACTCGCATATCTTGATGCTGCAATAAACGTACCCGTAGACTGCCGAAGAAAAAGAAGGAGAGATGAAAATTTTATTTCAAAATAGAAGTTTCATGCATTCTGGACGCACGAACTTTAGAAAATTTAGAATGCTGATATAGGCCTTGAAGGAAGATGCGTGCAGATTGAGTCTTGAAATCACACAAGTAATGGTAAGAATATCAATCCCTAAAGGGAATTTGGAGTAAGTAATTTTTATTGAATCACTTATGATCTAGCTGATTTCTATATACATTTGCAAAATTCAGAGTATATATCAAGACTAACATCCCAGAAGTCACACCTCAATGATAGCAACAAAAGAGGCAGCTATCACTGCAACAGTATCAGCAGCATTGAAACTCGGTCTTCCCCATTGAAATGGATATGGAACCCTTATCCTGTATGCAGCAAACCAAAACAATTAGCTGAAGTCTAATTGGAATCAAAGTGACACCGAGGCAAGTTACAAACATCAGTATTAAGCAAGTTACAAACATCAGTATTAAAGGAGGGTTAACAATAGAAAAACCTCTTACCAGAAAATTATATACCGGCAAATTGCAAATACATACCCTTCAATGTGCTTTTTACATATTTATCCACTTTGTATATAAGATTACTAGCATTAGGATTCCATCTCATGTATTGCTTTTGAGCTCTAAATACTATAAATAAGCCAGTGTATATGACGAGGAAATCAGAGAATAGAAATTAGGGAATAACAATATTTTAACAGAGTCATACAACTAAAATGAAAAAAAAAGGAGAGAGAGCATGGGAATTTTGTGCGTCCAATATATGTCACAATTTAATTGATACATATGAGCTCACCAAGGTGCAGCGCTAATGAGCCCAGAACGATCAGTACGGCAGCTGAACTGAGTTTTTGAAGCTCTATTATCATAAGCACCAGCTGCTGTCAAAATTTCTGCATAAACCCATATAATCGCAACGGAGAAAAGGATTGCAAGACGATCAAATATTGCTCTCTTGGATTTGATTAAATGGGGAACATACTGCAAAGGCATTAATGATAAACCAAATCAATTTGAAACTCAAATAATTTAATTCTGTGCTTTACAGATATGACAAAAGGAATTAGTTATTAGTTGTCTCAATTTTTATCTATTCCTTTTTATTTTTTTTACTATTTGCAGATTTGAGGGAAGAGAAACAAAGATCATGGTAGTGACTCAAGACACAGGCAGAGGTGAAATATAGCCCATCGCATAAAACGGCACAGAGATTTGACACTTTGTTAATATAATCATTCTATGGTTTTTCCCTTATTTTGATTGTCAATAAAACCAGAGAAGGATTGCAATTTGCAAGTAAGAAAAACACTCTTCTTGTACATCTGTTATCTACCCAAAGGAATGCAAACGATACCTATACCATATAAGATAGAATAACATAGTTTTAAAATTCAAAGCCTTGCTCTACTTGTTGATGGAAAAGTTTCACTAAACATGCCCATAGTAATAGCAAAGAAAATAATGTCTGTAGAAACTCAAATTTCGTAACAGATTTATTTGAAATTTGTTAGATATTACTTGATAGATAAAAAGATTTGCAAAAAAAAAAATTTTAAGAGAAAAAATTTTCTTAATAGTCAAGTTTAACTTGCGAAAGAAGAATTTTAAGAAGAAAGTGATTCGTAATAGGTAAGTTTATATGCTTATAAATATATAAAGTTTCTATAGGTTTAGGTATAATAAAAATATGTAAAAGAGTTATAGGGTTTATGGGTAGACAACCCATAAGTCTACTTGAAATTTACACCTTATGGATATGTATATTTGAATGTATGTTTGAGTGGACTAGAGGATAATAAGATGGTCTATATAGGTATAGGACATGTGAGTGGACTAGAGGAGATTGAAATGGTCTTATGAGTATTGATTTTTGAGTGAGATTGATTGATTTGATGTATATTTGCAATTATCTACAATTAGTGGATCTTTTTTTTATCTATGGGCGTAGATCGATTGGTTCGAATGACAATAAATTATTATCTCTTATGTGATTAATTGATTGTTTAATTTTGCTTCTGTTGGTGTGATTGGATTAAGACTTCTCACCTAACAAGTGATGTTAAAGCTATGGTGATCTCTAACAAGTGATATTAGAGTATAATTCGAACTATGAAAAGAGGCAAGCCTAAAGGAGCTCAATTAAAGAAAAGAGTTGGAGTTCAAATTTTGAAAATTGAGAATCAATTTACGTGAAGCTTAAAGACACATAAAAGAAGATGATTGTGAGATTTTTATTATAGGTGAAGCCAAGTATGTCTAACATAAAAACAAATGATTTGATAGAATTTAAATCAAAATAGAAATTGTTGAGAATAATGACTCAAATCCCATAATAGAATTGTTTACGATTGGTTAAATATTACTTGATGGACAAGAAGACTTACAGAAGAAGAATTCTAAGAGAAAAATTTTTTTAATAGGCAAATTTGACTTGCAGAAGAAGAATTCTAAGAATTTTTTTTTTTTAATAAGTAAGTTTATATGCTTATAAATAAGTGAAGTCTCTATAAAGTTAGATATGAAAAAATATGTAAAAAATTTATAAGGTTTTATGAGTAGACATCTCATAAGGCTATTGAAAATTTACGTCTTATGGATGTATATGTTTAAATATTTGTGAATGAGCTAGAGGAGACTGAGAGGGTCACATAGATATGGTGTATGTGTATACAAATGTATGTATTTGTTTAGATTGATAATACTTCATAAGATTAAAGAAAATTAAGAGGGCTTATCGGTATTGATTGTTAAATTGTTGATATAATTTATATATTTATAATTATCTACAACTAGTAGATTTTTTTTCTCATCCGTGAATGTAAGTTGATTAGATCAAAGTAAAATTATTGTATCTTATGTGATTAATTCATTATTTGATTATCCTTATGCTGATTTGATTGATTGGGGCATTTTTGCCGCACATAGTAACCGAAGGATTAAGAATGCGGGTCACCTGAGATAAGAAAACCACTACTACCAATGCTGGGAGTCCAATTTCGATGCATCTGGCCAACTACATGCAACAAGAGAAAAATAGGTCAGTATGATAAAAAGAGTGAAACAATTTACTGACATTAATGTAAAATAGTGACAATAGTTTTGCATAAAATTCTCATTTTAATCAAGAGTTTCTCCCAGCATCCACATGGTCGGCAATGTCTTTCTTACACAATGAAGGAACATATACAAAATTTAATTTTAAATTTTAATGGAGCAGACCATCCAAATATTCAAATACCCACCATGAAAACTCATGCCAGGGCAATTACAAGAACAACAGAACCACAATGTATGTTTATCAAGACAGACAGAAATTTGAAATTTTAGTGGATAGCTCAAAGAAAATAATACTGTCAAAAGAAAGAACCTATAATAAACATGTTCTTTTACTTTGAACCAAGACCAAACTCCAAAGAGAAAACTTTGAAGTTTCTCAATCTGTAATGAGGCTGAAAACTTGTCCTAATTTCTGGTTTTGCCTCAGGGTAAACAGCGGCACAATCATAACCCAATGCAATATCCAATCGACCCAGTTGTCTTAAAAACAGTAGCTAAAGCTAAAGAGTTAAGATGACAAGAACTGAAGCTGCTTGGATACAATCATCTCTACAGAGCAATGATGGAATGAAGACTCCGGTGCACTTACTTGTGGGAAACCATGTGCGTAGAGCCCGAGTCCTGTGAGAATCACAAGAGGAACAGCTGCAAGTGGGCTGAAAAACCTGCATCACAAGATATCAAAAATCAAGCAGTCAGTTAGACTAATAGTCAATGGAACAAAACAAATCCAAAAATTCATTTAGGCATGTTTGCAACATCCTACCTTGCCAAAATTCTCCAGAAACCAAAGAAACCAATAACCATAGTAAAGAATGATGCAACAATGAGTGCTCCTTGTACATCTCTCATGGAGTGCTTAAACCTCTGAAAGATCAAAGATCATCAGCATGCAAACATGTTAAATCATACTAGTAGTCTAGTACACTCCATTTAGCGAGGCCTTACTAATCATCTACTTCATGGATGTTAAAAAACAAAACAAAGTTTCAAGTTGCAACAAAGGAAAAAACCTGGTGGGGATCAATGAAAATGCTATATCTTCTGGACAAAGCAATGGAAATGGTGGGAATAATGAAAGCATAAGATCCCCCAATCACCACCGGCAGCCTGGTTCCAAACAATGTCTGCAATAGCGTGTTTATGCCAGCAACAAAGAGAACAGTATTTATAACCTCAGCTTTCTCCACCTATTTTTTCACAAATGAAACCAAACGTTTAGCTTAAAGAGATCGTATAACTAATCAAAAAAGAGGCAAAAGAAAAAAATTGAAAAAAAAAATCTTTCAACAAAATCCCTGTTTTCTTACATTGCCACCGCCCATTAAAGGGACAATTATAGATGATATGATAACAGTTGTCCCAAGCATTACCACGTAATGCTGAAATCCTAGAATTATTGCTTCAGCTGCATAAAAACCAGAAACGATTAGCAGGTTTTTGAGCGTATAAAATCAGAATCACAATTATAAGGTATTGCCTGATCTCTGGAATAAAAGAAATTAATTATGCCCTTTTAGGTTCAACATAACAGAGTATAATGTGAGAGATCAAGAGTCTCAAGAAGATACTCTTCGTTACACAAAACCCAAGAAAACGAAATTTTCATTACAAAAAAAAAAAAAAAAACCGAATGAGAATAGGCTACAGAGAAATGGTAGTTTCATTATGAGGAAAGAAAGGACGATAATAAAGGAAATTTTTCGAAAATTATGGTTAATAAGATCTGTTTGGTTGTCTAGAAAATGCACGGGTAATCAAGTAACATACAGGGAGGTCTAAAAACCAGAGAAAACACCAGTAGTTGAAAAAGAATAAACAAAACCGAAACACAAATGAATAATAGATGAATATATATATATATATATATAACGTATAGCGTGAAACATTATCATTCCATCATATTTTTTCTGTCTTCTTGATGCATTTCTCGTTTTTCTCAATTATAAGAGGTTTCTCTCGGCTAGTTTTTCTTCTCCTTTCTCTCCAACCAAACAAACCTGCCAGTTTATTTATGGAGCTTTAGAGACTTAGAGTTACATTCAGCATGATGATTTACGGATTAAGGTAATAAAAGAAAAAAGAAATAAAAAATGAGAAGAAGAGAAATAAACATGGTACTAACGGAAAAGTGGTAAAGACTTAAGACTAGGGGGAAAATGGCGGGAAAGCCATGAAAGAAAGGCTCGTTATCAAAGGCGAAGGTCGATCGATGACATTACTGAAATTCATTATAATTTCACTTCGAGAATCGAATAGAAAGTGAAAAAAGAAAACCAACAGTCGAAAACAAAAACTTTATAATAGGGAAAAAAAAAAAAATCACTCTGTTGTTAAAACAACGTGAGAGAGCGAGAATGAAGGTATGGTAGTACGTAGGTAGAACAGAATCCAAAAACGCAAGAAACAAATGAAAAGAAGAGGAAATGAAAGGTCGTGATTCATAAATCATACACCAAGATGGAGAGCTGGAAACGCAGAAATCAACACCGGGGAGCTGTTCTTTGACAGGGAACGGCTGGAAGTCATCGGACTTTCCTCCTCCACCAGCTGCCATTGTTTTATTCTCTGTTTCTTGTTGATGTTTTTGAAGAGACGCTTCGTTATGAATATATGTATGGGAATACGGACTGAAGAGTGCTAAGGAAAATGATGAAATAATACTATATCAGGAAGAGCATCAAACATTGAGGGGTTAGGCGGCCACGTTTTGACTGTAACCCTCTCACTTCTTTTTTGTAGTATTTTTTTGGGTTTGCTTGTAAAGCTACCAACTGCAGGTGATTTGAAAGCTACCTCTTCCAGTCTCCATACAAAGAGACAGCAAAAGAAAGAAAGAAGGAAAATGGGAGAGAAAGCAACCGTTGCGGCTTTTAACGTTCCCAGGCAGTTTCGGATTTTTCGTACTATATAAAATATTAAGAAAAAAAATATAAAATCTAAAAAAATAATAAGCTTTATTTTTATTTTATCTCAAATTAATTTTAAAATTACATTTTAAAAATAATTTTAAATATAATTAGAATTTGGCATCGAACTATAGTTTAACGTGAGGGGTTTCTTGGTTGCGAGTCACTTTGGTTTAGCAAGTAATAGAAAATTATTAATTATGCTTCTCTTTTTGTATATATTTCTTTTAATTCAACTTACAATTAGCTATCATTGATCACCATGAATCCAAATTCAGCTAGTAAACAAAAGGGGAATTAATGAGTGATTACCTACACTTCCTTTACTTAGAAAATTAATACACATGGTAAAGGCATTTCTTTCTTCAATTTCAACATTGAATTCAATTAGCAGCAAAAAAAAAAATTTAAATCTATAATTTATATATTTTAATTGATTCATACAATTGTTTTTAATAAATAGCAGTCAACATTTGTAATTTATTTTATTATGAAAGTATGACTTTCGAACCAAAAAACTAATAAATATTTAACCAAAAAGGAAAAAAAACTTATAAGATAATAAAGCCACTGATTTTTGTTTTTATTTTTAGTTTTTCTGTTTACTTTATAGCAAAACATAAACAAGTTATAAAAAAAAGGAAGCAGCTGAAAAAATGTAGAAGCCATGGCGCAAATAGAGCAAAACCTTACAAAATACGAAGCTTCCATTTGATTGTATAATATTGGATATTAGTAAGTTAAATTATTACTAAAAACAATTCTTATTTGAGATTGTAGTGACCATTGGCACTGGATTTGAGCATGTGAGGTTCTTCTGCAAAAGAGTGAGAATTAAGCAATCGTGTGTTTTCGGCTGACCCATCCACCTGTTTATCATGTTCATGTGGACTTCTTACCCAATGTTGCTCGCCAATTACCCTCAATCCATTTTTTTTTTTTATTAGAATAAAGGGTTTTACTAATAAGTAATTTTAAAAGATCTTTTAAGGTTAGTTAATATATTATTTATAATAATATTTTTTTATAAAAGATATAATAGTTTGAGAATAAAAAAAATTATTATATATTTTAAATTTATTGAATGATCCTTTAAGAGAGTGGATGAACTAATTGAATTAAATCTTAAGTTTTCATGATAATAATTGACAATTTTATTCATGATTTATAATTTATTTGATAAAGATATCGCTTTATATAATAATTTTAGAGAATTATATAGAGTACTCGTTCACAAAATCTTTAAAAAATTTAACAAAATTTTTCCTAAGATTAAAAAAAATTGCTACAATGTTAATAATCATATCAAGTTTTTCTTTTTCTTTTTTTCTCCTTTTCGAATTCATTGTATATGCATATTTAGTTAAAAGAAGACTCAGTGTGTGTCTGGCTTTTGGTGCAAGAAAAATAGTATTAAAAAATTGTAATACTAAATTGTAAACGACAGTATTCATAAGAGTAATTTATTAATACATTAATAAGAGATTAGTCCAATTAAATCCAAATTTAATTAGTTGTAACAAAAGTACTCCACTAAGAATTAATCAAGCCCAAAAAAATTTATTCCGTGATTTATTTTGTGCAAGGGAAGAGAGAAATTCAATGATAGAGATTTAATGAAAGTCATGAACATAAGAAAATAGTAACTAACTTTAGTTGTTATTGATAAACATTGTTTTAAGTTTAAGTCTCATTATGTTAATGTTAGTTTTTATTTTATATTAAATTTGTTTAATTATATTTTAATTTATTGATTAATTAATTACTTTATTTAATAATTAAAAAATTACCTAAATATGAATAAATTCGAATTCAAAAACATCATGAAACATTACACTTTTTATAAAATCTCAAAAATATTTAATTAGCCTAAATACAAATTTGAAGTAATACAAACGAATACAAACATGAAATGATTTAACTAATGCCAGTTTGCCAACTCTTTAACTAAATTAAGCTTTTAATCTTATATTAAATGTTAGGATACAATCTAATATAAGAAGAGATTTAAATTCATATTAATAAAATTATTTTTATGAAACAAAATTATAAAACTTTTGGATTATATAGTATCTTATAAGTTAAATCGAACCTCCACAATTAAAATCAGAATGATCATTGATTGAAAATTTGAAAATTAAATGCTATATCGTGCTAAAAAATTTCACTTTTAATAAGATTTTGATTTTATGTTAAGCAAGATATGATATTAACGAAATATAAAGATATTTATGAAATATTTTTTTCTGAAATAAAAGTATAAAAATTTTGAGTCAAATAATACCTCTTAAATTAAAGGGTTTTCCACAATTTATATGATAGGAAGAAAGGCTTGTCGTTGGTATAAACTAAAATTCCAATAACAAATTGACTGAACAGTTGTCGTCGTAGTGGGCCAAACTAATTATTTCCACTTACAAAGCTGCTTGATTTTGCTTTGAAACGGGCTTTGCTGGGCTTGAACTGACCGGAGCCTTTGGTGCGATTAAATCAGAATTATTCTCTTAGGTGGTGGGAGGACTAAAAGAATTTTGGTCCATTCGTTCTGCTTTGTCCAAACAAGCTGAAAATGAGAGCTAACCAATTGGAAATATTTGAGAGGGGAAAAAAAAATCTCAAAATTCGATAACTGGTGGGTTAATCAATCCTGAAGATGCAATGTGACACTCAATAACAACCATTTCTTTTTTGTTTTATTGGTAAAGAAAAGTTTAGGTGATGGAAAACCATGTCATGCATTATAAAGTCAATCATATCATAAATTTCAACGAAAATTTATGATATATTTATAAATTATTTATTAAAAAAATTTGTTGATAGTAAAAATCGGATCTAAATTTTACAAGTAAAAGAATTTATAGTTTTGGTTGCTCCATACCTACATGCATGCCTTTGAATCTAAGATATTAGATAATTTGTCTACATATGATTTGTGAGTAAGAAATATTTATTCAGTCAATTGGATTAATTTTGAATCAAATTATTTAAAATCGAATTAAATAAATTATGTTATTTTATTTTTATTAATTGAATTAAATTTTTTAATTTCAAAATTAATCTATTAAAAATAATTCGGTTGGTTAGGTAATTGAATAATAAAATACATTAAATTAATTTTTATTTTTTCATATATGATAAACAAAATAAATAAAGTTATTTGATAAAAATATTTAAATATAAAAAATATTAAATTAAAAACTCTAATAACTTTAAATAAAATTAATAATTTAATATATTTTTAATTATATATATTTTATAATATATCAATTAAATTTTAATTAATTTAATTTTAAATCAAATTAATAAAAAATTAAAATTTTTTAAATCATTTTTGATAATTTATAAAATTAATTAATCAAATTAAATAAATTTAATCAATTAATTCAATTAAATTCGATCAAATTATGAGCATTCTTATTTACGAAACAAAAAGAAGACATATTAAATCTCAAACCCCACGGCTTTTCGGTTACGGCTGCATTCCTATAACTCCAGTCCTACTCCTACCATAATAATTTATTCAAGTAATTCAGCAACAACGAATTTATTACTAAATTCTTAAATAATACCAGTAGCTTTTATCGATAACACAGAAATTCTACGTTTGATTACTTAATCCAACTGTCCAAACACAACGTTTGTTACGGGAACTGTTTTAATATCATTATCAAACGGTGGTTGCAACATATAAATCAATCAGACTTCGTTTGATGGTACTTAATTTCTTTTTCTTTTTGTTGTTTACCTCTTATTTTTAGTATTTTCTTTTATTTTTATTATTCAATTTCCTATTAAAAAATAAAAAGTAAATAGCTTTTATAAATATTGAAAATGAATTTTAGATAGTCGAAGTTAAAGTTTCAAAATGAATCTCATTAAGAAAAACAACAAAACCTCCCAGCAAAAATCCACTAATAAAAAAATTAAATAAAAAACAATATTATTAATTATTTAATGCGAGTCAACGACCACTAATCTACCTAACACCATTTTATGGAGCAAAGACTCTTTTGTTCACATTATCATGTACGTTCGTTTTTTCTAAATTAGTTTGTAAGCGAATTTACTTTTTTATACTAAATATTATATATATTTACGAGAAGATATCAATTTTTACAATATAAAATTTAAAAAATTTTACATATATTTTTAATCATTGATTTCACTAAATATAAAAAGATGAGATTAAATTATTTTTATTTATCTCTCTTAAGCCTTAAATTTATTAAAATCAATGATAAAAATATATATAATTTTTTTTTAATTTTACACAATATAAATTAATCTTTATTTATATATATTTATTTATATTTATAAAAAATACGTTAAAATAATAAAAAAACCTCTAATTTTATAATTTTATTTAAATAAATTCTTACATTTTTATTATATTTAAAATAAACTTTCAATTTTTAATTTACATTTAAATAAGTTTTTAAACTTTTAATTTATATTCATTTGAAATAAAGGCTTACCTGAATATAAATTAAAGTATAAAAATTTATTTAGATATAATAAAATATAAAAACTTATTTAAAAAATAATTCATGAATTTTTTAATATTTTAACTTAGAAAATACTATACATTTGAGATGAAAGGGAAAGCTATTAAAAAAAATAAAAACGTGTTTTCCAATTCAAGCACATGAAGGGCAAACATGGCCCTGAATAAGATGTGGACTATGATTGTAAGTCGCGATGGTTTGTTGGCAAATAAGGACGAAAATTGAAGTTAGCGATAAGTATGAATGCATATACGACGACTGGTGCAGTGACATTTTAGTGCGTTCACACTTCATTCCTTGACGGTACAGTTTTTCCTGACAACAATGGATAAAATATCCATTGCGAATATGGCCCTTTTTTGAAGGGAAAAAATAACCATAATATGGGAAGAAAAATGGTATGATTACTAGGGCTTCCCTCCTTTTTCATCACACCATACGTCAACCACCAACATATTATTCATAGTAACATGATATTTCCTTTTGAATAAAACTGTGACATGATGTTTTCAACCATGTGTTCCAAAGATTCATGCAGAAAGCCTGTAAACAAATTACCTTGTTAAAGTTTTCACATATCTTCTTATTATATGTTTAAAATGATTAATAAAGGAATTTAATAAATTAAATAATATATGCCAATATTTTAATTTCACCTTTTTATTATCTTTAATTTTTAATTTTTTGAAGTTATTATTAACAATCATATAATTTATTAATAAAATATCGAACTTTTAATTTTAATAATTAATGTTTAATTTTTGATATTTTTAAATACAAAAAATAAGTTATTAAATAATAATTTATTATATTTTTTTAATTTTGTATTTATTTTACTTTTTATATTTGAAAATTTTGAATATTAAATATTTATAATTTTTAAAATTTATATTTGTTTATAAGCATATAGATATGTGTAATTAAGGTGCACTTGTATTTGTATTTTTTTTAGACAAAATATTAAATAATGTTAATAAACCCGAAATGGTACGCTGAAAGACATCAATACGGATACACATTAAAACTAGAAGAAAAACGGTATGTCCACCGGTTGATACAGACTACTTAGATTGAATTAGTGATAATTTTTTCTTAATTGACCATGTTAGCGGGTTCAAAGCATTGCAAAAAAAAAAAAAAAAAGAATTGAAAACCAATGGTACATTTGATTTGATAAGGTGCATTAAATTGGGTATTGTTCAAACTGGACAAAGATTCAATTAAATTGACAGAGCCATGGTCAAACCAGTATTTGAATAGATTTTGAACATTATTTTTATTATTTAATTATTTTAAAAAACTGTAGGTGATGATATTTAAATTTAAATTTAAATTTTTATCTTCATATTAAAATCAAATTATATCATTAAATCAGATGCATATTTATTAAATATTTGGTATATTTAATACTTATATTTATATTTAATATCATTAAATACTAAAATCAATTATCTAATTATAAAACCTTCTTTAAATTAGATAGAGTTGAATTGAAAATTGAAGCCTTCACCAATTAAACCTTTGATCCGGTTTTTTAAACGTCGGTCCAAAGTACCAAGCAAATATAAATAATTGAAATTGATTCGGAAAGCCAGCCACACATGACATGGACACCATTAACAGGAAGAAACGATATGACTTAAAAGTAGACTTTGGTACTAAACACATATTTACGAAATTTAAAATGATTTGAGTGGTCAGCTTTTGCCTTTTTACTTTAGTTCGTATAGCGTGTCTCCCTGGTTACGTTGTGGGGAGATTCTCGTGTGATAATTTCGTAGTATGATTGGATTTTTGAAAGTTTAATTATAATAAAACGATTTACACGGTGCGGTATTAATTTTTTTTATCATGCATTAAACGAAGCCTAATTAGACTTTACAATAAAAAGAATATATTTAAAATTATCAAAAATAAAATTTTAATATTTTATTAATAAAATACACGATTATTGACATCATAAATATTTTTATTAATATAAAAGTAATTCTAATAGAATTTATTAAATGAATTTTAAAAATAAAAGTTCAATTGACATTAAAGTTTTAATTACTAGATAAAAAACTATGACGTAGTTTCCTTTTTGCTATTATTTCTAATCAATTTTTTTTCAAACTGTTCATCTGTTGCTTACCTTTTTATATTTATTTAATAAAGTTTCATAAAAAATTCAATGAATTTCGTGAACTTCTACCAAATATTACCAAATTTGTGGTCATTATAACGCTATAAGAGTATGAGTTCAAATCTAACTAAACCTCTTCCCCAAAATCATACGGATTATAAAGTTTTCAAAACTGTAAGGCAAACATTAGTATTTTTTATTCAACTAGTGTTAATTTATACGGTATTTAATATTTTTCTATTTTTTTCCTGTATTTAATATCTTAGTTGGTCTCTTCCTTCACGTCGAAGAGATCAACCAAATTGCTGATTTGCCCAAAAAGAAAATGTAGACGTAGAATTGTACCTAGGTAAAAAAAAAAAAAAACTACAAAATTATCCAAATGGACTTGGTAATTTTGGAAGAGTGATACGATAGGATGAAATTAATGATAATATAAAAATTAATGTCTTCAGTTATGATAATAAAATTAAAATCGGCAGTTGTTAGCAGATGATCAAAGACGATTGATTCTTATAATTGAAAATGTTTTTGTTATAATTTTACATAGTCAACTGAGTGTTTTATTGATTATTTTAGACGAACAAAACTTAAACGCCATCACAATAGACTGTCAAAATGCATCTCACATAGAGTTGACCCAACCTAAATCGCAATGCATAGGAGTTGCAATAGAATCTTAATGGTGCCTTAATAAATTTTCCCTTTTAAAATTTCCATCACAGTTTACACGAGAGGACACGCGTCCATTTGCTTTTGAAAATCCAGTATAAAAAATCTCCACTTGCCCTTCCGTGTCTGCACAAAGCCGTCTCTCTCTCTCTCTCTCTCTTGAATTTTTGTCCAAAGGAAAAACAAAATCTTATATTTAAGGAATAATAAAAGAATAGATCAACAAAATCTTATATTTAAGGAATAAGATAAGAAAATATCTCTTCTTCCTGAAACTATCAGAAGAAAAAAAAAAAAAGAAAACAACCAAGAAACAATGAGTTATTACAATCAGCAACAGCCTCCCGTTGGTGTTCCTCCTCCTCAAGGTCAGCGCCTGAGTCTTCTCTTTAATCATCTGTGTTTCTGTTTTTTTCTTTGATTTTTAGACCATTTTGATTTTATGTTTTTCTTTTTTTGATCTTGTTGCAATTTGATTGGATGGATCTGGTCATCTGGTGGATCTGAAATTTTTCTTTGTGATTGGAATGATAGGTTATCCACCAGAAGGATATCCTAAGGATGCTTATCCACCACCGGGATATCCCCCGCAAGGATATCCTCAGGGTTATCCTTCTCAGGGTTACCCTCCTCCCTATGCCCCTCAATATGCTCAGCCTCCTCCCCAGCAACAGCAGAGTTCTAGTACTGGTTTGTTAGAAGGCTGGTAAGTCCTCTCTTATTCCATTCGTATATGCATACCTGTATATTACAGCTGTACGGGCATATCGACCGTATGTGGTATGTCAGATCGAGGATGATACTGAATACTTCAACTGAGCGCGTGTTTTCCGGGATGAAGGAAAGCGTGTTTGTGACGATTGCCGATAAAAATGGGTTTGGGTTTTCCCTTGGTCACTTCGGCAGTTAATTAGTCAAAGTCCCGAAAACACCCCACACCCAATTCCTTTCTCGGTTGGTGAAGATGGGGTGTTTTGGCTTTTTCAGCTCTTTTGCAAACAGCTTTTCGGTTTACTAGATAAGGGTGTTTTTGGTCAATAGAAATTATTTTAAAATTTTTCCAAATAAAAAATCAAAATAATCAAATCAAATGTCCTTATAAGATTTTGAATGAATCAAATTAAGGTGATAGAATGCATTCTTAAATCACCCGTTAAAGATTAAGTTTAAACAAAGCATAAGAACACTTGTGATTGTATAATGAAAAAATAAATCAATTGCTGCTGTTTGAATTCTTTCATTTGTTTGTAGTTCCTCTTCACAAACTGTTTAAGCAGGAAGTGATTGGAACGTGGGGATGAGTTCTTTGACTAAGGCTGCATTTGGAACTAAACGCAGCCGCATTTACTATGAAAATTCGTGTTAATTGCATTGTAAAGTGTAAAAATGTGTATTTGGGTAACATGAACGGCACGGTACAAATGAATTCTCACCGTGCTGAACCTCAAATTTTTGACTAGTACTTTGTGCCCCTGTCAGAAAACTCACCTCTACCAATTCCTATTTTTCCAAATAAGAACCTTGTTTCATTTTTTTTTTCTTTTTGCTTTTGCTCCTGGCGGCATAAATTTATAGTTAGTTATTGTCTATTTTTTTTTACTTTGATTTTTTAGTTAAAAGTTTTTAATATTTCTTGCCATTTTCAAATTTTATTTTCAATAAATATAATTATTATTTTAATGTAAAAAATAATTATTATCTTCTAAATTATTATCAATTTATGTAAATATATTATTAATTTTTTTAAAAAATAATTTTTATGTTATTATCAATTTTATTAATTTCTAAACATTTAATAACAAAATTATTATTTGAAATAAAAATAATTTTAGTAATTTTAACTATTTATTAATTTTATAAATATCAAATTATAATTTAAATTTTATTATAGATAATTTTTAATTTAATTTTTTTAATTGTCATTTTTTATTTTCATTACATTTCGTCTCATTGTTATTGCTGCATTTGTATCCAAACATGATTTTAATTTTATTGTTACAATATTCAATTTTACTATTACAATAATTAATTTCATTTCTACCTTTGTTTTCTCACCGCACCTTAAGTTTTTATCAGTGTTGTGGGTTTTGATTCTTGTTTTTCATCGCGTGTGCAGTTTGGCTGCTCTGTGCTGTTGCTGCCTGCTGGATGCCTGCTTTTGACGTGCCAAGTTTGCCAGCTTATATTGAATTGAAGTTGAATCAAATGGCATATTCCAATTTTAAATGTTTCTCATTGTCGCCTGTTTAATTTTCACGTCTCTTTCTCTGGTCGGATTGTCTATCTTATTTAATAATTGAACCTTTTGTTTGGAATTGAACTCTTGTTATATAGTAGCAGTAGTACTTTGGAAATATTTGAGCCTTCTTAATTCCTTTTTCATTGTTTCGGGAAATGTAAGGTTGGAAAAAGGAATTTATCGTGCTCGCCGGGTGTGTAAAAGAACAGAAAAAACCGAAAATTATTTGTTTTCTATTTGTAACATAGCTGGTTGGCGTTTGTTTTTATTGTATCCTCCGGGTGTTTGGGGGCACAGGCTGGATGTAATAAATTTTTTTAGGTAACTGTGCTTGACTTAGGCCCTATTTGAATTCAAACGAACCTCGGTTGAGACATTTTTGTTTGAAAAGTTATGCCAAGTGCATCATGCATTGAAAAGTTGTACCAAATGCAGTATGTATGCATTAAACATCAGTGCAGTTGGAGTTGAAGATTGTCTTAAACGCACCAAATTCCTTTTTTTTTTTTTTTTTTTCAGTACTCCATCTCTTCTCCAATGAAAAATTCTCATCCCCACACCAGACTCATTTTTCGTAATACCTTTACCTTTTTTAAAAATTTTTTTTACCCTTTAAACAATTGTGAAAGGACAAAAATGTGCTTTACACTAGCAGCTTTTAGTTTTTGTTTTTAAATTATTTTGTTATTTTATAAAAAACAATATACATAAAATATAATTTTTAAATATTTGCTAATAAAGTATTATTTGATATAAAAATAATTTTAAGATTTTTACTTATTAATAAAAATATACTTTTAGTATTTTTAATTATATATTAATTTCACAAATATTAAATATATATTATAAAGTTTATTATATATAAGTTTTAATATAATATTTTTAATAATCATTTTATTTTTTATTATATTTTATTTTATCATTATCGTTGTATTTATATTCAAATATATATTTTAATATCAATTTTAATTTATCGTTATAATAAATTTATTATTATAATAATTTTATCTTTATCATTATTTTTAATTTAACTTGGAAACGTTTTTAAAGCAACAATAAAAAAGATAAAGAAAAGAGAAAATTAAGGAAAACTATAATAAACCACATTTTTTATCTAACGAAATATTATTATTCGATTAATTGATCGGCTAGTACCGTAGCGCCTGCCCCTGATGGAGATGGATGCATTTTTTTTTTTTTTTAATTTGGCCATGATGAATGCATCTTGTGAAATACTAGTTTTATCTGGTGATGATTCAGCCCGGGGGGGTTTGGCCGTCTGGGGCAGTCTTAAAGGGTCAAAAGCCTTGACATTTCAAACTTGTCCAATTATATTTGCGTCCAAACATTTGGTTATGTGTGGTCAATGATTTAAATTTCTTCTTCTGGAACTCATTATTATTAATTTCAACGCTACCCAACTTGGATTACATAAAATGCTTTAAAATTTTATATTAGCTTATTTTTTCATCTTAATTACCATTTATAAATAATAAATTTATTCAACTCTTTTTTTGTTATACATGTATATTAAATATGTATTTAGTGCACAAAATTATGATAAAATAATATTATAATTATATTATTTATATTTATTTTATCTTGTATTTAATGTTGGTAACAATTATAATAAAATAATTTATTTATTACTCAAAATTATTTTTTTAATTTAAATAATTTAAATTATTAATAAAATTTTTAAAAGTATAATAGGATATATAAATTTAATCTCATAACTTAAAATAATCATTTCTATTTTAAAAAATTGAATCATTTTATACTAATAGAATAATTAATTTTCTTTACAATTATGTTTTTTTTAAATATAAATAAAATATGATATAAAATAATTATTATGTTATTTTATCTATTATTTTATACGTTGAACATAACCTAAAAGTTTTAAGTAGCCTTTTTCCATTTTCTTTTTCCATTTGATCCATTTCGTGCTTCACTTGAATAATTAGTTTAAATAAATACTTTATAACTTCTTGTTTAAAAAAAAAAAAAAAGCTTGAGCATGAGTTAGGGTTTTCATTCTTACCTATGGCAAAACAGTTTTTGCTTGACTGGGGATGTTCTAAATACACCACTAAATTTTTTTTTTTTTAAACAACATACTAAATATCAAATTTAGCTTTTAATAAATGATAAAAATACCTTTAATAGTTTATACACCAAAAATTATCTTGTATTTTTTGGAAATAGATTTTGAGAGTTATATTGTGTTCTCAAAATTTTATTTTTTTAGAATATATAAATTTTTTAAAAATATATATTTAATTATAAATTTTGTATAACGAAAAATTTGAAATCTCTAATTTTTGGACTACTTAAAAATATCATCAATAGACTGATAAATTGGACAGTAAAGATTGGTAGTTGAAAAATTAGATACTATCGGATTTATCAATTTGCAGATAACATTGTTAGCAATAATGTTCTGTAGGGTGTTCAAGCTTGGATTACCATGCATGCACACACATAAATCATTGATGTGCCAATTCTTACATAATCATATGTGCAAATGAAAGCGACCGAATTCTTAAGTATACATGGAATAAAAATGTTTTTGTCATGAACCTAGAAAACGAAAAAAATTATTTTAGTTTATTTCATGCATATTGAGAATATTGATTTCAATTTCATTTACACATATAATCAAGTAAATTGGTTCATAAGCCCATGATTAAAAATTTTAATTAAAAGTGAAATTGAGTTTATTGGATATAAAGATTCGAAAAATCTCAAATCTTTTTGGATATTTATTTATGAGAACCTTTTAGTCTTATTAAAATTGAATATCTAAGAAGTTTTAAAACTTCTCAAAATAGATATTTAAGAAGTTTTGAAACTTTTTGAAATAGATATTCGAGAATTTTTAAAGTTTTTCAGATATTCATTTCCTATAAATTTCAAAACTTCTTAGATATTCATTTTCAAAAATTTTGATTTCAATAAATGAAGAGAGAATAAGAGATAAATGATAGGAATGAAAAATGAGGGCTAAGGTGTATTTAGTAAAAATAAAAAAAATGAGTTTTGAATTTATAATATGTTTGAATTGAGGGGAAGGGAAAGAAAGAAAATAAAAATAAAGGAAAGTAATGGAAACAGAAAAATTTTTTTTTTGTTTGGATAAACTTTTAATTTGAAAGAAAAAAAGAATTAAAAACTCAATAACATTTAATTTCTTTTGTAATCCTCACTTTTTTAATATCACAATTTGGAAGGAAAAGCTAAGAAAAAAAAGTTAAAAAAAATATTTTTATAAAAAAACTATTATATTCAGGAATGTTCTAAAATTACAAGTAATAAAAAATTATAATTAAAAAAATTATTATAATGAATCATTTTCTTTCATTTTCACATTTTATCCAAACAAAGGTTATTAAAATTTTTTTTCTTTCATTTTCTTTATTAATTTTGATTATTCAAACAAGATGTACATATATCTTTTTTTTTCTTTCATTTATTTTTATTTACTTTATTAATATTTATCAAAATATTGCGTTAGAGTGTATATAAAAGTAAAACGCATATAACATTAAATAAGGTGCCTTAGAATTCTTCTACATTATGTTGTCCAATGTCCAATAAAAATAAAACCATATAAAGGAACCTTGAAATTTCATCAATTTCTTCATTAAAATTATAAGAGATTAATTATTATCATGACTTTAAAAAAAAATTAATTATCATTATATGCTATTTTTTGAAGGTTCAAAATGCATATCCTCCATCATTCACCTCTTGATTTAATGACTAAAAAAAATTTTATGAGAAAATAAAATCTTGAATTTGAGCCAAGATCTCTTTTTTGTTTTTTTGTAAGGATTATTCCTTCTTTTATTTTTTTATCCCTTGCAGGGTCACGTTCTCTCTTTAAAAAAATAAAAAATCATATCATCCAAAGTTTGCTATGGACACGTGTCTTTCATATATTCAATCACTGATCACAGCGTTCTCCACACGTGACATGAGAGTAACCATGGTCCATACTCCATAGCCTTATTTCAGTAACAAAAAAAAAAAAGTGCACAAAAATATTATGTAACTTGGAAGTAAGGAATTTTTTCCCTTTTTTGTCTACGATATTTCAGCACATCAGGTAATTCTATTTTCTTTATACATTAATCCGTGTTGTTCTTTGTTAATTTTTTTGATTTTTTCCAATGTCCTTTCTAATTTTGCTTAATTGCCTATTTGTTTATCTTTTTATTTTTTCTTGGCCACAGCCTATTTGTTTATCTGCTATTATTAATTTTTAGAATTGCAATCGATGTTTGAAATTAGGGTTTTTGACTTTCCCAATGGATGAGCGAAGTTTCTTTATTGAAATGGTTTTAATTTTATCATGATGGTCATTTCTTGAAATCAGGTATTATTATTAGTTATGCACGTTATATCTTGATTAGGAATTAGCTAAATATATTTAATTATAACAAAATTTGATGATAATTGTTTCAATACTAATTTTGTGGAGAACAACGCTTGAAGTCTAATTTCTTTGATTTTATCTGCTAATATAGAGCGAAAAGGGCTTTGCAGCTTTGTAAGTTTGTTTGCTCTGTATTGCTTTAAATGGGTGCTCCTAAGCAGAAATGGACACCTGAAGAGGAGGCAGCATTAAAAGCTGGAGTGATCAAACATGGTGCCGGAAAATGGCGAACGACATTGAATGACCCGAATTCAGTAGTGTATTGTATCTGCGTTCCATCGTAGATCTCAAGGTTTGTTCCTTTGCCCTCTAGTGTAAAATGGTTCTGAGGTAGAGCCCCTTTTTAATTATTGTTGGGATGAACTGTACTAATGGTTTTATACTGGCCAATTCATGTTTTCATACTCTGGGGTAGGATAAATGGAGAAATATGAGTGTGATGGCAAATGGATGGGGTTCTTAAGACAAGGCTAGGTTGGCTGTAAAGAGGACATCTAGAACTCCTGAACAGGAGGACAGTACTATGGCCCTTAATGTCGTTTCCAGTGATGAAGAAATTGTGGATGTTAAGCCTACAATAGTTTCCAGCAATAAAGTGCAGATTCCAACTTCTACAAAGAGATCCATTTTCAGGTTAGAAATACTTCTTATTTTTGTTTTATGTATTTTTGTCTTGTATCATTTTACTTATGATGTTATATTTTTTCACTTTTGTAAGCTAGATAACCTCATTATGGAAGTGATTACAAGCTTGAAGGAGCATGGTGGTTCAAATAAGACAACTATTGCTGCATATATAGAGGTAGTGTTTTATATGCAGTATTCATAGTTTATAGTTCAATTTTCTTTTTGCTATTTAAATAAAATATTGCATTAGAGATCTGTAATAAACTAGCAAGCGAGGAATAAATCATGAGAACTTTAAAATGGCACATGAGTGGCTGATAACTCTCAACTAATTTATTATAGTTTGAGGCTTATAGAAGACCTTTTTAGTTTCTTCTTTAATCACTATGGCTTTTCTTGCCCAACAATGGCAAAGAAGAGAAGAAACGGTTGTGAGGAAAGACTTGTGTGAACCCAATGTTTATGTTTGTATGTTATATTTAAAGTTTGATTTTGAACGTGGTAGTACTAAGTGACCAGTAAAGTTTGCATGTCACTCTGCTCTCCCCCTCTCTTTGATTAGGCCATTGCTAATCTTCTTTATTTTCACCATGAAACCCTGCCATTATGCATGACACCAGAAATTTGATGACACTTGACATGTCAAAATCATTATTTCATCAATTTAATCTGCTTACTAGGATTTAAAATGATACGATGTTCCATCTTATCGTTTGGTAATGACAGCACCCACTTTGTTTAGCACATCAGAACAACGTAAATAAATATATTTTCTATGAGTTGCTGGTCATCCTGTTGTGGCTTTAGCATTCCTATATTTCTGGAAATATTTTCCCACTTAGAGTTTGTTGGCATAATTTGCTGACTTATCTTTTTTATTCTGTAGGAGCAATATTGGGCACCTCCTGACTTTAAGAGGCCCTTGTGAGCAGAGATAAAGTATTTAACTGCATGTGGTAGACTGATTAAGGTAATTTATATGGTGCATGGAAACAATTTGACACTCCTTTTATTCTAAATCATGAAGTTTGTTGTCTGAGCAATTAGTAAGATTTATCTGGTTTAATGAAATATGTCATTTGCCTGTATTTTGGTGCCGGTGGGTGTATGCTGTGTTGTAAAGTTTTGGAAAGTTTAGGATTATGGAAGAGTTGTAAGTTATACATACCTAAAGAGTTGCAGTTGATCTTAATTTTAAGGATCACTATGCTTCTTTGTGTTTACGGCATCATTAAAAAATTCCTGGAACAAGTTAAGTGATTAATGCTAATTGAGAAGGTATTACAGTGAATAGACTGACTGCACTCTGCTCTCTGTATCAAACACACACACACACACTCGCAATTTGATTAAAAAAATCTGGGAAGAATTCTTAAAACCAACTTACCAAGTTTGGGCTAGTGTTTTACCTGTTTCTAGAACATTGATGTCTGGTTTTTCCTGACATGGGGTTCAATTAATCCTGTGCTTTTACTTGCAGGTCAAACGCAGGTATGGGATTGCACCTGCTCTGTCCTTTTCAGACAGGAGGAGGAATCATTCCATGCTATTTTTAGAGGGAAGGCAAAGGGTTTCTCCTCGATTTGATAGGGATGATTTCAAAATTATCACAAAATCTCAGATCGATTTAGAGTTATCCTGGATGAGGACTATGACTCCACAAGAGGCCGCTGCAACTGCTGCTTGAGCAGTTGCAGAAGCAGCAGCTGCAATAGCAGAAGCTGAAGAAGCAGCAAGAGAGTCAGAGTTTGCAGAAGCTGATGCGGAGGCAGCACAAGCTTTTGCAGAAGCTGCATTGAAGACTCTTAAAGGAAGAAACAATCAGAAAGTGGTAAACGATTGCAATGCCTTGTCACTATTTACTTTGCCCATGCACATATGCAGAGATAAAAAGATTGGATTTAGAAGACTTAGGCGTCGGATATTCAAAGATATGATTGATGGATATCGAAAGTTATGATGGCATGTGAGAGAAATACAGTGGGTGCAACTTGTTTTCTCTTGCTTCCTCATCCACACACGCTAAGGTGGATTTTATACCTAAGGAACCTGTAAACAGCAGATCTGGGATTGGTCATCGATTGTCCTGCCCCTTAAATTCTGTTGATTTCTACTGAATATAGCTAATGGCTTCATATAATATTGTTTGTGTACACACAGATGGTTCGAGCTTGATTTGACAAAATGAGCGACAAGGTGTCATGAAGCATGACAGTTTTGTAGCAGCACCCAAACATGGTCCCTATTTGTAAAGAATACGGTAAAGGGCCTAAAAAAAAAGTATGTTCAAGGCCAATTTGGGTGCAATGATTAGGATTCTTCCTTACCTGCAGATGCTCTTGGAATAGTAGATTCATTAACGGCCTTTCTAGCTGATGGTTTCAAATGCAGGGATTCTTCCTTTTCTTTTTGTTTTGTTTTGTTTTTTGTTTTTTTTTTTAAATGGAGAATATTCTGGATTGCAGTTGATATTTATTCATTTTGAAAACCTCTGCCGTCAGGATGCTGGAAAACATAGAAATTAGAATGTAAATAGGGATAATAAGAGTTTGTTTCCATGTGAGATATTTGTTATATTATACATATCCGTAAAAAGTTACTATTATTATATATACGGTAATTTATCATAAATTTTATTTGCAGATGAGTCCTTTCTTAAATCAAAGAATCAAAGTAAAGTTGGCGTGGGCGTGCAATACCAGAAAATAAAAATAGCAAGCTAATATATATATATATATATATATGTATGTATATATTAGCAAGCTAATGTATATCAATATATATTAGCTTGTTATGAGATGACAGTAGGTGGGTTTTAATAGGAAATCGGATCCGTTGAACTTGTTTAAATTGACTTTAGATGATTATAGATGGATAAGCGTAAGTTATGAATAATAATAAAAATAATATTAGCCAGAGTTTTAAATAGATTTCGAAGTTAAAAGTTTGAATAATTGATTAAAATTCGTTTTAACTTGAAAAGAGGAAAAATTTTAATTTTTGACAAATGAAAAAGTTTGAAGCTTTGTCCAAACATTCAATTTTCATTTTTAACAAATTAATTTGAGTTATAATTTTTTTATAATATGATAAAATAATGTTTAATTTTAATAAAAATTTTAAAAAAATGAAAACTAAAGTAAACTGTTTGAATTTAAAATGGTATGCGTAAAATAAATAATTTTAAATAATTAACGGATATCAATAAAAGCTAGGTTTTCAAGTAAAACTTAAAAATAAACTATTTTTCCGAAAGGAGAAGGGGTAAATTTGCTACTAACTTCCTATTAGGCATGACTTGAAGTAAAATCACAGGTTGTCCTTAGCCAGACAAAGGAGAAAGAGAGAGAGAGAGAGAGAGAGAGCCGTTTGAGAAGAAGAGCTGGCTCCCTCCCTCTTCTACCTACCTAGATAATTAATTAGTTCTTCCTTGTTCCCCCTTTTCTCACGTTATTCAATTTATCCTCAATCCCTAACAAAACCCACAATTTTCAACTCTTCTTCTCCATTTCCTAATCAATCAGAGGAGAAATGGAGACGACCTTAAACGACAACGAATCGTTACTTGCTCGCATCCAACAGTTAGAACATGGTACGCTTTATTTTAATCCCATCTCCTTTATAAATTCCATTGCCCTTTCTTTCCCTTTTCGCTTTATTTTTCAACCTAAAATGGGTTTAATGCTATGTTATTCCCCCAATTAAAAAAATATGATTTTGTTTTGTAGAGCGTGACGAATTGCGTAAAGACATTGAACAATTGTGTATGCAACAAGCTGGACCAAGTTATCTTGTTGTGGCTACTCGAATGCATTTTCAAAGGTATAATTCTTCTCCACATCCGATCGCTATAATTGTTCTATTTTTTTATTTGGGGAGGGTTGGTTTTTGTGAGAAATTAATACCCTACTAGGACAGCTGGATTGGAGCAGGAGATTGAGAGCTTGAAAAAGAAATTAGCTGCTTGTAGTCGGGATAACCAAAATCTTCAAGAAGAGCTTTCCGAAGCTTATCGAATTAAAGTAAGGAATTTTCTTTTCAGTTCTCAGTTTTATCATTTGTTTAACCCCTTCTACAAGCTTATATGATTGCTTTGTTGTTTGCAGACTCAGCTAGCAGACCTACATCGTCAGGAGGCTGCAAAGGTATCTCCCTAGTTTCTCTCTTTGTCTGGAAGCCTCGATTTTGGAATTATGCTCGCATTACAAACATTCGTTAACAAACTGAAATGAAGTTGTTTCATGTGTTTTAGTGAATGGATTAAATATTGGATTTGGATTTTCATTTGTCTCTGTAATTTGTTTTGACTCGTTATCCAGAATGTGGAAGCTGAGAAGCAGGTTAAGTTTTTCCAAGGCTGTGTGGCGTCTGCTTTTGCTGAACGGGACCATTCGATAATGGAGGTTATTCCCATAAGTAGTTTAAGCTGATTCATTTTTGATAGGACTCTTGTTATAATTATAAGTGCTATTTTGCTTGTACATATAATAAAGTTTCAATATTCCACATGGCTGGTAACAGGCTGAGAAGGCTAAGGAAAAGGAGGAGCTGATGGCTCAGAAATTTAATGAGTTTCAGACTAGGTAATCTTATATCTTTCCAGGAATCATTTACTTCTGGGTTTGGGAGGATTTGCTGCCACGGTCATTGTGGTCTTTTTGAAGTAAAGATTTGGAGTGTTAAGAATGTATATGAGCTGTAAAATTATTTTATATAAAATTTAAATTTTAGATATGATCTACATTGGTTGAAGTAATTCTTTTGTTTGAATAATGCTTGAAATTTTGTGATACAGGTTAGAAGAGCTCACATCAAATTGTCTTGAACAGAGCAGACGTAATGATGCACTGCAAATTGATCTCGCAAAACAAGAAGAGGAAAATGAAATTTTAAGGAAGGTTGAAGGCAGAAATCTTTATCTTCTCATCATGAGCTGATTTCTTATCTAAGAGCTGCAGTGTCTTGAATTAATATGATTGTATATGTTACATAGTGATTTCTTAGGTATTATACCACCAATTATGGTTAGTGACCTACTTTACAACCTGCCTCCATGCTGTCCATAAGATGTTATCTAGGTTAATTAGATTACATTACATATCAATTTACTTTATTTTGGTTCTTGAGAAATTTTCCCTGTTCTTTGAACTACGGTAAATGCTTATGTCTGCTTTGTATAGATTGTAAATTATCTATTTACATTTTCTCCTAATAAGGCCCATCTTACCTAGAAAAATAGAAAAGAAGAATCCTAATAAGAAACAATGCTTAATGGTGCCATATGGACCTTGTCATCTTTTGGTTTAGGATCACAGCCTGCTTCACATTTTACCCTGGTAGTTGGTACAACTAGCATTATTATTGGATTACTACTTCTATGTACCTTGTAGCCTTTTCTTCAAATAATTGCTTTATTTTAAGGTTGCACAGCCTTTTACATCATCTTCATTTGCTGTTTTTCTGGAGAATTCTTTTTCTACTTTATAAGGGCTTACACGTTTACTTACCTTTTCTAAATTTGGAACAGGTTATGAGTAAGTTTTATGAGATCAGGCAAGAAGCTATTGGGGAACTAGAGGATGCTAGTTGGGATGATAAATGTACTTGTCTATTACGTGATCCTGCAGAAATGTGGAGTTTCAATGACTCTTCCACCTCTAAATACATCGTGAGTTCCAATAAAACCTAAAATTTCCTCTATTCCTTGATTATTCATACCACACTCTTTTATTAGGTTATGCGGTGACCTTATTATAAATAAATTGAATTAACATTATAGAATTTGCCTCTTCTGAATATTTTCCATCACTTAACGTTTTGTATTTCCTTCTTAGTTTGGACATAACTGCTATGGACAAAGTTACCTATATGATTAGTTGTACTTCAAAATGAAACATCAGAATATAGCATGTTAACTTTGTTTTGTTTTCTAATGCATATGTTGTTAAAATAAATCTATCAAAATCTAGATTCAATGTGTATGTTCTATATGCTGCTTTCGTTCATATCATGTTGATTAAATTTTTTCTTGGTTGGCAAGACTAATATGATGGCAGGCTTCGAAAAATTTTCAGATCTAGCTTATAAAAATTTGAATTTTGTTTTCAACATGCAACTTGAATAACTTTTCCTCAGACAGAGTTCATTGGAAGAAGAGCTGGCAAGAGTAAGGAGCTTTGTTGATGATCTCCAAAGCCAATTGCGAGTGGTATGAATTTGTTTGAGTGCCATGCTTGCTTTATCTGTTTCACTAACTGCATCTCATATTGATAAAAAATGGATTGTTGTGGCATACAGGGTCTGGAAATTGAAAACCATTTAAAGAAGAAAGTTCGTGAATTGGAAAGAAAGAAAGTGAGTACTTTTTAGTTATGGTTTTTTATTTTAATTTAATTTTCTATGTTTAAATTCTAGACCTTTTGAATTATATGCAGATTGCATCGGACAAAATGATTTTAAACAGGGTCACAGAATTACGCCATTATCATTCTCAGCAAAGAATTCAAATTATGAATTTACTTGATATGGAAAGATCACATATCAAAAGATTTGTTGATGTAGTTGAAGAAAAATTCAAGCAATTTTATCCCAGAGGGCAAAATGTACGGAGTGATCTAAAACCAGATGAACATGAGCATGTAGATGTTCATATAAGTACTGATGCTGAAGCTGAGTTGGTACTCAAGGTTTTTTACTTAGAGGCTAATGTGGCACAATTGCTTACTTGCTCTCTCTCTGCATTTATGTCAATCTAGCTCGATCTTTTTTCAGCAGACTTCTTTGAATAATAGAAGTTTTATTAAAAAAAAATCCTGGGTTGGGTAAATCCTTTGTGCTAACTATGAGTTATAGAAGGCTGAACAGAATCACATTTTTTTTATCTCTTTGTTTTGTTTTTTGTGTTATTTTTTACTATTGGCTCCGTTGTCCTTTGATGCTAAAGCATTTGATTTTGGAAGTTCTAATTTTTCAGAAATAGCAACTGCAAGACTGAGCACAGAAATGAACTTTGCTGTTACTAATTTGAAAAAAGATACAACCTGCTATGTTCAATTCCATATAATTTTCTTTGACAACTTTTTCCTGAGTAAAAATCATTCATATTAATAGTATTCATGGTAGGGACGCATCTGGATATCAGGAAGTTGGCTCTACTTATTTTACTGGCCTTGTACCATGTAGTTTCAAGCTGTAATTTCTATTCATTTCCATCATATTTTGTAGAGCGATATGCTGGACTTACATATTTCTGGGAGAAAAAGTGATACCTCAGAAGCCCTGGCACAGGCATTGCAAGAAAAGGTTTTGGACGTTTCTTCTGTCTTGTTATAGTCTAGTTTCTGGTAATTTATACATGTTGGTTTCTCAGCCTTGAAATCTTTTCGCAGGTGGCAGCGTTGTTGCTTTTATCACAGCAGGAAGAAAGACATTTACTGGAGAGAAATGTTAATGCGGCTCTTCAGAAAAAAATAGATGAGCTTAAGAGAAATTTGCTTCAAGTAACTTTCTTGGCTAAACTTAAGATGGAGGCACATTTTCTTTTCCATTGTTTTTGTTGCAGCACATAAATGAATGATTATATTTTTCCTAAACTTACCTACGCATCCATGCTTAGAGAATTTAGACTAAACATTAGATTTTTGAGGTCTACTTAGTACAAGTCAAAGAAACCTTTTTTTCTTTTTTAAAAAAACTTGATTAGTTTCAAGAGACACTATCTGTTGAAGACTTGAAGGATTTTGTTACTAGTCCATCTTGTGTGGGAACAAGCCTCCTCCTTTGTCTTTAGCATTGATGTGTAGTTTGATTTACTATTATTTACTAAATATCTTTTGTCCTTTGTTGTTGAATGGCTGGCTTCTATCTTAAGTTGCTTTATACCCCTGGAATCATGATGGACTTCTAAGAAATTTGTTGGTTAACGCAGGTTACAAATGAAAAGGTGAAGGCACTCTTGGAGTTGGCACAGTTAAAGCGGAAGTATCAGTTATTGCAAGAGTAAGATTTCTTCTTCGACATTATTTTTTGTTTTTTTATTTAATTATACATTTTTATGTTTTTGTGAGTTGCACCAATTTGGAAAGTCATTATATGGGGCTGCCCTTATGTTGAATAAAAGAATGATTTGGGTAGATAAGGGATTTTCCATGTTTTTTATTGATACAAAATATTTCCGAAGAATTTGGGAATATGACCAAATTCCTCTTGTAGTGTGCTTTTCTAATCATATATTTGGAGATCTTAACTTTGCACCCACTCGTTCTTTATCTCTGTTTTCCTGGTTTCTTGCATTATGTGAATCTATGCTTCAATCTATATTTGTCTTGTTTATGGTGACTAAATTGTGTATAGGACTAACTACTAGGTGACACACCTATCACAGGAAAAATTGTCATGAGATGAAACAAGGGAATGTTTTGGCTGAAGTTGCAGACAGAAGAATTGGTACTTATGAAAGAGATGGTAGGCTAAGAAATCTGCTAAAGAAAACATATCTGAGACGTTGGGTTGGTGCACTAGACACCAGGGGAAATGAAGCTGAAGCTCAGCCAAATAGCATGGATTTTGCTAGGTATCCAGAAATGCTGTAGATATATTTTGAATTGCATGGCACGTAATACCTGACCATAGATAGATGGTTCTTATGCATGCAAATTGCAAAGTGATGTCTCCAGTTCTGTATGCCAACTTTTCAGTAGAAAATGGGTATCTTTGTAGATTATGTTATTACTATTCCTTTTCCAGATTGAGGATTGAAAATGCTACGCTGAAGGAGAGCATGGAAAGTATGGACCACCTGACTTCTACACTTCATAGACTGCGTGTTTCACTTCTTAAGGTAATCTACTTGTGTTCCACCATGTGTGCAAAATAATATCACCAAGGTGTGGGATTTGCTGTTTCTTTGCTTCGGACTTAGGTGGGGTTAATGTTCTATAATATTTTAGATGGTTGGTTCGGAATGGTGATTCATGCATAATTATGTTGAGATTTATTGAGTTTAAGATGAAGGAAAAAAATGATTATCATACGGTTAAATGTCCAAATTTATTCTCACATTATGTTCTGTCATATGGAATTTCTTATGCAAATTGACCATTTGAAGCTAAGTTGTATTAGACCGTTACCAGTGTCTTATTTCTTGCTTGAATCAAACAATAAATAACGAAAATATATTCCGTTTTGTAGGTAACAGAGTCAATTACTTCTGAAGGTACAGATCCTAATGCGTCAGAAGTTCTTGATGAGATCATTACTGATGCAAAACTTGTGAAGACTGCCCTTGGCAGCTCCCTCCCCGTTAGTTGGTCAGCTGAAGGAGATGGTGAATCAATAGGAGAAAATATGGACAGTGAGCCGGGTGATATGTTTGAGTATTCAAGCAATGAGAAAATAGATTCAGTTTCCGCTGCAGGGTTTGAGATGGTGGATCTACTGATACTTGCTGCACAGATATTAAAGGAAAGAACACCAACTGCCTCTTTAAGTGGAAGTTGAGTTTATTCCGGTTCGTTTTCCAGTCTAGATTTCAACTTGTACATATTTGTGAGCCAAGCTGGTGTATATAAAACTACAGCCCGATAAATGGGTATCTTAGGAGAGGTTGAAAAACCAAGTTTCCGTCTCAGCGATGGAAGAGTGAAGAATGTGAAACATCTGTGCAGCTGAGGAGGGAGGAATTGCATGACTTGTCGACATTAATATATATATATATATATTTATTATAGTTACTACAATGTAAAAGGGTGTTGTCCAGAGATGCTATATGCTATACGTCTGTGTAACTAATCTGTTGCTTCTATAATGTACAGTGAGTGTATGTTCATTGCATTAATACTTTTATAGTGGCTCAGAAGCTGAATTTACAAATGCTTTCAGAGTTTAGATTTACGTTCAACAAGCCATGGCCCGCTCTTGAATTGGCATTCCTAAAGAGGGCGTTTACAGCCCAAAATCTATCGGTACATAAATGAGACATCCCATCTAATTTCTTTGGGCCAGTCACCTCCCATCTAATTGAATATATTACTTGCGATATTCATTTTGCAGCATCAGTGGATAGGATTGGAGTGCAAGACTGTGAATTTCATGTTATTTAATATTTATTCAAATATTTTAGCTAATATAACATTTAATTTATCTTTTCTTTGTTAATTTGTATTGTCAATATCTATCTTAGATTACAAGACAGGGTAATAATCTCTCTTTTTATAATTGAGGTTATCAAAATTAAAACTTAAATTATTGAAATTAAGTGTAACATTTTACTTACAAATCACAAAATTGTTAGCTAATCTTTTTTTTTATTTGTGCTAAAATAAGTTTTTGATCATCCGTTAATCTAAAATGGTTTTCATAATATAATAAAAAAGTTAAAGAGTACTATAATAAAAAGCCAAAAAAAAAAAAAGCAGATTTATTTTAGTGTAACATTTAGAAGTTAAAAGTCCAAGGAATCATGGAACCAAAATCCAGAAAACAAACAGTTTATAATTGGTTTGTTGCCTTGGACTTGGTAATTATTACCGGAGTCCTCACTTTGTCAGCCATTATAGTTGCTTTTATGATGATTGTCCTTTTTATGGATTCGTCCCTTTCTGATCTTCATTGTAAAAAGGCTCATGTGTATGTATTATTTTGATTAGATACAAGTGAAGGATTTCACTGCCGCTGGTGACATCATGGGTTATTGGATTTAAAAACCAGCAGACAAAAACCTGAAAATCAAACATATAGAATAAGATGTTTCAAGCCACAGAAATCCTTTGATAGTTTCACAAGCAAATGCTGAAACAAACCATGACTAGTCTTATTTAAAAGCTCACTCCACTTAGGAAAATAACCCAATGTCACACCATGAAATCTCATCTCGCAAGGGAGGTTATGGACTAATAGTAGGTGAAAAAAAATTCCATAGGACAAATCGACACAGCAATGACATGGATGGTCTGTCGGACTCGGAGAGATACAAGAGCCAGCGAGGGAAATAAAAAGGGAGTTTCATTCCAGTCGTAAGCTATGATTCAGCAGCAATTTCCATGGACGCAAGTTTCTCAGTCATGGGGTTTTTGTCGCGGTCATTCTCAAGCTGGCTGTAGTTTCCTTTCTCCTTGAAGAGTTGGATGTGGTGATGTTTGCAGTAGAGTTTTCCTTCATGTGCAATGTAGTTTGACGGACTAATAGTGCAACCTCCATGGGTACACTTGAAGCAACTCTTGTGGTATGGTGTCCCATCAACCGTAACCTTGAAGATCATGAAACCATACTCAAAATTTCATTTTTTTTGGCACAAATGATATACAAATCGGCATACATTATCTAATCCAAAATTTATGGGTTTTACCTTCTCAATTGGATAGACAGTCTTATTACAGCCCACACATTTTTCTCTGGTGCCACCGAACAAGTTCACCACTTTCTGTGCATTCTGTTGGGATCCAATTCAGTAACAATCAATGTCAAGATATTGCTAAACTTGGGGGAAAAAATCTGAAACCGGTAGAGATATTGCTATTTGCTAATTATTTGGTGGCAAACCTATATAGTTTCCGAGAATTACCTCATTTTCTATGTGTCTTTCAGGTTTGACAATCTTTGGTGTTCCTGAAAGAATGTTGAAAAAGAAATCGAAGCAGATCGTTTAAGGACTGATATATAGTAATAAATGGTTTTTAAACAGAAATTTACAAATTTCTTTTACCTTCAAAACTTTTGTCAAGACTGCCAGTTCTCTTGAAGAGTTGATCATAGTGAGGCCTGCAGTATAGCACCCCTTCGAAAGAGTTATAGTTGCTAAGCTGCAAAAATAAAGAAAAGGTTATCATGAAAAATAAGAAATGGATGAAAATTTTCCATTTTGATCTTACGATCCTAAACCTTAGCATTATCATCTTCATGCAAAATCATGACTTTCAAGATCATGAAAAAATTTGGCAAATTGAGACATATAAAAGCCATATTGAAGAAGAAGAAGAGGAAGAGGAAGAGGAAGATTATCTTGCCAGGCCAAAAGATGCAAAATGTGTTTCAATGTCATCACAAAATTACATTGAAAAACTATATATATATATATATATATATATATAGACACACGCACAGATGACAATGTTACCTTGAGAGTACCGTTGCAATAGTGGCATCGAAAGCAAGCCTTGTGGAAAACCCGGTTATCAGCAGTCAGCTTGTCAACCAAGTAGACAGTCTTATCGCATGCCATGCATTTTTGTTGAATCCCAGCAAAATTTGCCATTTTTTGCTTCCAATGCTATATATAATTTCGACTGACCGCTAACCTTTGGGAAGAGCAAATAGCTAGAAGGCTAACAGAGTAACCTTTTTGTTTGTTTTCTTTCTGAACCAATTTTCATTGACTTTGTTTCTGCTTTCCTAGCTCCTTGTTCTTCAATTTGATTCTCTCCTTCTACTCTTTTATTAATAGGCAAAGTGGTAACAAAAACCAAAGGGAGAAACACATGTGGACTGCAGTGAATTGCGGGCAACACGTTAAAACAGATTTGTAGAATAATTGATAGGAATGACCTGGCCTGCCGCTTTTGTTATCATTTTGTCCGTTTCTAAAGCAATTCCCTCTAGCATCCAACTCCGTATTCTAACATTTCCTTTACATTTCAATCTGTAATTTCATTTTTCCCCCAAAAATATATTGACCTAGTATAAGAAATTTTCCCTTATCTGTATTTAAGAAAAAACAAAGTGAAAATATCAATAATTGACAGTTATTTACGACTTATCTTCAGTGAACATAGATAATATTAGAAAAATGTAAAATGTAACTGAGACTGAGTTGTATAATTTCTTTGCTTTTTTTTTTTCATAGTGGAAAGGATTTGTATTTTTAGTGGTTAATTTCATTTTATTTGTTAATGAATCATTAGTTATAGATTTTAAAGAGATTGAAATGAAATTTAAGATAAAAACAATCTAAACCAAAGATGCCAACTTGGGTTCCAACCCAAAGTGTAAATTTTGGGTCAAGGTCATATGCTTATGAAGTTGCATGTTGAAGTAATCAAATCGATTAAAGTAAAAAAGGGAGTTGGAAACTTTTGTTGATGATACTTTTAGGTAGATCAACAAGGCAGTTTGCTTTCTTTTTACCTTCCTTTTTGATCAAAGGTGGTGGAGCCTAAGGTTATGTACAAGAATTTAATCATGAAAAGATAAGCTGGATTCCTGGTTGGTTTCTTTTACTTTCTTCCTTTCTTTATATTTAATTTAATTACTGCTTTTATAAAGTTTTTTTTTTCTCAGGATTAATGGCAGTTAAGGGTGTTCATGAATTGGCCCAGCATCACATCATTCCATGATCCAGGAAGTGATCTGTTACATACATAAATCTTTTCTTTTATTTGGTTATAAGATGGGATACTCATCATACAAACTTGAATGGTCTGGCTTTTACGGTGTGGTGATTAATCACTTCTGATCATGAATAAAGAAAATCACCTTCAACCCTACTCAATCAACATCAATGTAAAAATTTTATTTGATAAAACCATTTAAATATTTTAAAATGGGAGTGTTGGTTGTGCCTTCCCAATTTCCAATACAATCTCAGCCTGAGATATACTATTTTATGTTAGTATCATTGCTGTCTATGTTATGTAACAGCAAGAGTGCAGAGCATATCATGGTGACCATAGAAAAAGGAGGAAATGAAGAACTTGGGACCGAGGGGAACACTTTTTGCTCTAATTTCTTTCATGAATTGATCCTTGCCAGTACAAAGAAACAAAAAGGTTATGCAACTGATATTTCTTGCTTGATACAAATGTTATTAAAAATTATTTCAGAAAACAATGTTATTAAAAATTATTATAGCCCAATTTTTAAATAAATTTTAAGCCTAATTATTTACATTGCATCTATCGTGTTCAAAACAATTTAAACTAATCGAACCAATTTAGACAAAGGAAACATTTGAATTATCATTTGTGAATGCACAAAGACGGGGAACAGCTTTGGAAAACCCTTTTTTTCTTTAAGCTTTTGATTATTTTAGTACGATTGTTGATTATAAAATTGTACAGAAAATCGATAAAACGAAGAAAAAAAGCCGTGGAGGTCCCAAATTCCATCCTCGGAATGCCCCCAAACTCATGTTTCTTTTTTGTTCTATCTTACAATTTGAAAATATTGATCAAAAGAATCATGCCAGGAGTCAACTTCGAAATTTATAAAAATTCATCGACTTCATCTTGATTTCTTTTCTGACATCAGTATGCAATAAGTCGATAAATGTATATAATAAATGTGTTGTTTGCAAGTTGGGCAAGCTATCCACTGACCTGTAATCTTGTAGCATCAGGAAACATTAGATCTCCCATAACCTGTCAAAGAAAGTTACCATATTCACATGGAATGAACACACGTTTGAGGAGCAGGTTAAAATACTTGACAACATCCTCTTCTAGGTCATACCGTTTTTAAGCTCTTGCATTTGGCATGCAGGGCCCAAAAACTAAACAGCATTTTGGGAAACTTTCTGCAGTACTACCTAATTGTCTTGCAAGCTCATCTTTATACCATTTTACCCATCTAGCTATTAAGTCAAGCATTTAACCAATAAATAAAGAAAAATTACAAATAAATCCTTGAAATTCATAATCCAAAATCTTGTCTTTTAGTTTACCCAAATCTGAAATTATGTATAAACTAACATAAAAAACTAGAACTAGACAAAAAGATTTAAACCAAATCCAAGGTCCAAATGCACTATTAAGAGACACTGGGTGGTATCAGAATAACGGGGAAACCATAACAGAATTACAAGCAAGAGACCACAATCAATCTAGTAACGAAATGATACCAGAAGCACATCAAAAGCAAGAGAGAAGAAACTACGGGCAGCTCACTTGGTATTAGCCCGTTGAAAGTTAAAAGAATCCTTAGAAAACTACTAATAAAGATATACTAAACATGATAAACTTCAAGACTGGGCATTTGGTCTAGTGGTATGATTCTCGCTTAGGGTGCGAGAGGTCCCGAGTTCAATTCTCGGAATGCCCCAGCCCCTGCTGCTTTTTAGTTCCCTAAATTTCAAATATATGATCAGAGAATCGGCTGTTAAGTCAAGTTTAAAAATAAAATAACATAGAAGCTTTCAGATCCATTTGTTTTCTGACAAGATTCCTTTGCAGTGAGTAAAAATAAATAAATTGTGCTATTTTCTAAAGTTTTTATTGTATCTTCAATCTTATGGTTATCCAAAAAATGGAAATCTGCCTTAGACCTGCCAAACAAAAAGCACCAAAGAAACAGAACTCATACATTTGAAGAGGAGGTTAAAATATTTTTTAAAATACCTATTTATAGTCAAGCAAAAATCAGAGAATGGAAAAGGCTAAGTAATTTCCTCCTTTCTGAATGAGTTTCCATCATCTCTATCAGTGTGTAAGACTGCTTTTATTTCTTTTCTCTTGACCCAACTTCCAGGCTACACTATGTGGGCTAGCTCTCCGCTGTCCGCAATCCCCACTCCTTTACCCTGTGTGGGAGGTGGGACTCATCCTCTATCTTTATGGAATAACCAAACAACTTTACGAGCAAAACTAACATCTAAAGACTTAGATATTCAGCTTGAAAAGTTTATTAGGAAATTAAATATTCTGATTAGCTTTCTGCATGGCTGCCTAATTGTTCTGCAATTTCGTTTTAAAACCATTTTGAAGCATAAATCAAAAGAATTTAATTTCTAAGACTGCAAAACTTGCAAACTATCTAATTTCTAGTGGAACCATATTCTGAATTAGTAAATATATAATGGCATCATAATATAGATGACAGCTGCAACCTGGTGTTAATGCAATTTCAAAAGCCACTAGCATGCAATTGTAGCAGTTCAATGATACATTGAACCGTATTGAAGTGAGAGATTTGAAAATGTTAGTCTTCTAGAATGAGTTCATTGAATATTAACAGGAGTCCTAGGAGAAAAGATACAATAGTTAAAAAACCAGATATGATACTAAAAAATTTGGGCATTTGGTCTAGTGGTATGATTCTCGCTTTGGGTGCAAGCGGTCTCGATTCTCAGAATGCCCCAATGCCTTGCTTTTTTTTTCTTTTCGGTTCCCTATATTATATCCTAAAATATTTGATTGGAGGAATCTATCCTGAAGTCAACTTTAAGAGCATAATGCAGAACTTTATGGACTTAGGGCTAGTTTAGCATTGCAGTTGCTGTTGGAAAAAGTGTGTCTAAAAAATGTGTTTAGAAATTTTAAGTGTTTGATATTACTGTGAAAAAGTGCTGTGAGTGATTGCATTGTCTTAAAAGATAATCATACAATAATAAAATATTAAAAATTTATGGATAATATAATGATCTTCTATTCCAAACGCACTTTTTCACTGCAAAAAGGCCTATTAAAGTGCTTTTTGGTTTGGATAATGTGTTTAGAAATTTTAAGTGTTTGATATTACTGTGAAAAAGTGCTGTGAGTGATTGCATTGTCTTAAAAGATAATCATACAATAATAAAATATTAAAAATTTATGGATAATATAATGATCTTCTATTCCAAATCGCACTTTTTCACTGCAAAAAGGCCTATTAAAATGCTTTTTGGTTTGGATTGACAAACCAGGTTTTTTAACTGAAAAGCCATATTTTTTTGTTGTTTAACATTGAGGTTGAGTCAAAAGCAGCTTTTGAACGCAAAAGCTATTTTCAACAGCAACGCTAAACTAGGCCTGAGATTGATCTGTTTGCTAATATATCCTCAGAAATAAAGGGGAAAATAAATAAATTAGGCTGTACATACTATCTTTGCATGTGGAAAGCTAGCCTCATACCTGGAGTCACAGACTTAGAAAATGAAAATCTGCCTTAACCCTGTGAAAATAAAGGAATAAACAGTTAACCAACAACAACCAATTTAGCCAATAAGACAAAACAAAAGGCCAACAGAAAAGAAATGTGCCTATTTTCTTCCTTTGAGTAAGAGGTATGTCTATTTGTCATTCAGACCAATAATCCAGCTACAATCCGTGGTATGGGCCTCCTCCATTTAGCCTCTTCTCTTGCACCAACATGCCTTCAACCAAGGGTCAGAAAAGGATTTAAACCTAGCTCAATGAAATTACAGAATGACTTTGCAGCTAAAGTAGTCAGCATCCCTATTGCAAATAGAAGACTTTAGTATTCATCCTTCAGAGCCTTGTAGAGAAAAGGTTATTTGGTGAAAAACTCCAGCAAAACTGCTAATCATCCAGTAGGCTCATCCATGAATAATTCTTAAGCGCTTTACTATATATTCCAATAGCAAAAAAACTCACAAACAATCTAGTTCTGATCAAAGACTTCATAAATAAGTAAACAAACGCAAGCAGCATTTCTTGAAAATTTACGACCAATAGATATTATAATAATAACAAAACAATATAGACAACAAAATTGGGCATTTGGTCTAGTGGTATGATTCTAACTTTGGGTGCGAGAGGTCCCAAGTTTGATTCTCGGAATGCCCCTAGTACTTGTTTTTTATTTTCTTCTACCATTTGAAGCATTAGGCAAGAGGAATCTGGCATGAAGTCATCTTTCACGTAATTTTTTTCTGACAAGATTTTCCAAAACGAGTTGCAAAAATAAATCAAATAAGCAACTAATCTATATGTAATCTTTTTAAATTTCGGCAAGCTATTCTTCATACCTGTGATCTCAAAGTCTTCAGATAAAAGAAATCTGTCTTAAACCTGCCAAAAAAGGACATTGCATATGCATGTAATGAATCTACATTTGAGAAGCAGGCTTAAATACTTAATGAAGAAAATGTTTATGGCAAGAAAAACTAGTGAATAAGAAATCCTAATGTCCAGTTCTTTATCAACAAAAAACCTTATTTTCTTCTTTTTTGCGCAATTACAGTACTAAACAGAGTGGTGAAGCACTGCAAAGGCGCAAAACTGGGTCAAGGTGGATTCATTTCAGGATTCTTAGTAAAATTATGAAATGGCATTCAGTTAGCAGAGTCCCACAAATAAAAGATTATTAGGACACAACATTTCGTGATCAGTTGCTAACTGCCTAATCATCCAATAAGCTCATCCTTAAACCATTCCTTTAAGTACAAACGTAGCATTCAAACAGCAGAACAACTTGCTAAAAAGCTAGCAGAGAGACATCAAAATTTAGCAGGATCTTTAAGAAAATAGCTAATAAATAAAAGCAAATTCTGTTAAACACCAAAGATTGGGCATTTAGTCTAATGATATGATTCTTGCTTTGGTGCGAGAGGTCCCGAGATCAATTCCCGAAATGCCCCAACTCCTTGTTTCTTTTTAGTTCTATCTTACAATTTGAAATATTGATCAAAAGAATCTACCCAAAAGTCAACTTCGAAAGTGTAATATAAAAATTTATTGATTTCATCTTGATTTATTTTCTGAAATCAGTCAGCAATGAGTTCTTAAATGTATATAACAAATCAGTTTTTTGCAAGTTGGGCAAGCTATCCACTGACTTGTAATCTCATACATCAGGAAACACTAGATCCGCCATAGCCTGTCATAGAAAAGGTACCACATACACATGGAACAGACACATTTGAGGAGCAGGTTAAAATACTAGGAAAAAGTCATACCCTTTTTTCTCTCTTGCATTTGGCCTGCAAGGCCCACAAAGAAAACAGCATTTCTTGAAAAACTTTCTGCACAACTGCCTAATTGCCCGGTAAGTTCATCTTTTACAACACTTTATGGTACTATGCATGCATGGTAAGTGTGTGACAGAGCTCACTAGCCATCTAGCTATTAAGTCAAGCCATTAACCACTAACAAAAGAAAAATACAAATTCATAATCCATAACTCGTCTAATATTTGACCCAAAAACGAAATTAAGAAGCATAAACCAACACCATTACTATGGTTAGACAAAAAGATTCAAAGGAAATCCAAGGTCTAAATACAATTTTAAGAGGTACAGATGGCATCAAACTCTAACAGGGAAATTATAACAGAATTACATCAAAAGAAAAACACTACAATCACTATAACAAGATATGATACCAGGAGCACATCAAAAGCAAGAGAAGAAACTAATGGCAGCTTACTTAGTATTAGTCCATTGAAAGTTAACACGAATCCTTAGAAAACTGCTAAAAGATAAATACTAAACATGATAAACATCAAAATTGGGCATTTGGTCTAGTGGTATGATTCTCGCTTAGGGTGCGAGAGGTCCCGAGTTCAATTCTCGGAATGCCCCAGCCCCCTCTTTCTTTTTAGTTCCCTTAATTTCAAATATATGATCAGAGAATCTGCCATTAAGTTAACTTTAAAAGTAAAATAACATAGAAGCTTCGTAACTTCAGATCCATTTGTTTCCTGACAAGATTTCTTTGCAGTGAGTAAAAAATAAATAAATTGAGCCACCTTCAAAAGTTTATTTTTGTACCTTTAATCTTATAGTGGTCCAAGAACAGGAAATCTTCCTAACAAAGGGCACTAAACAAATACAATAAATATACATTTGAAAAGCAGGTTAAAATATTTTATTTAAGATACCTATTTATAGTCAAGCAAAAATCAGAGAACAGAAAAGGCAAAGTATTTTCCCCCTTTCTGAGTGAGTTTCCATCTTCTCTATCTGCTAAGACTGCTTTTATTTTATTATTTTTTTCTTGATCCAGCTGCCAGACTATACTATGTGCGCTAGCTCTCGCCCTTCCCATAGCCCCCACTCCCTTACTCTGTAGTGAATGTGGGACTCAGACCTACATCTTTATGCAATAACCAAACAACTTTACAAGCTAAATTAACATCTAAAGACTTTGATAACCAGCTTGAAAAGTTTATTAGAACATTATATATTGATTAGGTTTCTACATCTCTGCCTAATTGTTCTGTAATTTTGTTTTAAAACCATTCCGATGTATAAATCAAAATATTCTAATTTCCAAGAGCACAATAACTGGCAAACTATCCATTTAGCAATCAGATTCTTCATTTGTTAAATGAAATTACAAATTTTGGAAAATTCATAACCTATAGATGTTTTGGCTTCTAGTGGATCCATATTCGGAATTAATAAATATAAAAAGGCATCAAAATATAGGTGAAAGGTGCCACCTGGTGCTAATGCAATTTCAAAAGCCTTTAGGATCCAATTGTAGCAGTGCAATGATGCATTGAACCACATAAAAAGTGAGAGATTGAAAAATGTTGGTCTTCCAGGAATGAGTCCATAGAAAATTAACTGGAGCACTTGGAGAAAAAGATCTAATAACTATAAACCAGACATGATGCAAATAAAAAATTGGGCATTTGGTCTAGTGGTATGATTCTCGCTTTGGGTGCGAGAGGTCCCGAGTTCGATTCTCGGAATGCCCCAATGCCTTTTTTTTTCTCTTTTTGGTTCCCTATATTATATCTTAAAATATTTGATTAGAGGAATCTAGTCTAAAGTCAACTTTAAGAGCGTAGCACAGAACTTAATGGACTTAAATTAATCTGTTTTCTATAAGTCCTCAGAAACAAATGGATAAATAAATAAATTAGGCTGCATGTACTATCTCTACATGTGGCCAAGCTAGCCTCATACCTGGAAAAACAGTCTTAGGAAATTGTAATCTGCCTTAACCCTGTAAAAATAAAGAAATAAAACAGTTAATCAACAAAAACCAATTTAGCTAAAACAGGATTCAAACCTAGGTCAACACAATTAAAGACTGACTTTACAGCTAAAGTAGTTAGCATCCCTTGCGCAAATAGAAGACTTTAGTATCAATATTCATCCTTCAGAACCTTACCGAGAAAAGGTTATTAGGACATGTAATTTTATAACAATTCCTGCAAAACTACTAATTGTCCTGTAAGCTCCTCTACGGACAATTCTGAGGCACTTTAATAAGTAATCCAATAGCCAAAAAGTTCACAAGCAATCTAGTTCTGATCAGAAACTTCACCAACAAATAAAGGAAGGCATCCTCCATTTCTTGAAAATTAACTACCTATGGATGTTATAAACTTATAACAATAACAAAACATTAAAGACAAAAAAAATTGAGCATTTGGTCTAGTGGTATGATTGTCGTTTTGGGTGTGAGAGGTTCTGAGTTCAATTCTCGGAATGCCCCAGCCGCTTGTTTTTCAGTATCTTGTATTACCATATGAAACATTAGGAAAGAGGAATGTGGCCCGAAGTAATCTTTCAAAGCATTACATAATTGTTTTCTGACAAGATTTTCGAAAAAATAAGTTACAAAAATAAATAATATAAGCAACCAATTTATATGCAATTTTTTTTTTAAATGTTAGCAAGCTATTCTTCATACTTGAGATCTCAAAGTATTCAGATAAAAGAAATCTGTCTCCTGCCAAAAAAGGGTATCACATAAGCAAGTAATGATTCTACATTTGAGAAGCAGGCTTAAATACTTAACGAACAAAAATGTTTATGGCAAGAAAAACTAGTTAATGAGAAATTCAAATATCTAGTTCTTCATCAAAACGAAACCTCATTTTCTTCATTTTTATGCAATTACTGTACCAAACAGAGTGGTGAAGCACTGCAAAGGCACAAAACCAGGTCAAGGTAGGATTCATTTCAGGATTCTTAGTAAATTAGCAAATGGCTTTAGCATCCAAAGTATATAGCACCTCTACCTAGTGCATCAATAAAAGACTTTGGCATTCAGTTTGCAGAGTCTCGCAAATAAAAGGTTATTAGGATTCAACATTTAATGATCAGTCAATTAACTGCCGAATTGTCCAACAAGCTCATCTTTAAACCATTCCTTTAAGAGCTAAGGTAGTATTCAAGCAGCAGAACAACTTGCCAACAAGATAGCAGATAGACATCAAAGTTCAGCAGGATCTTGAAGAAAAGAGCTAACAACTAAAAACAAATTCTGTTAAACATAAAGATTGGGCATTTGGTCTAGTGGTATGATTCTCGCTTTGGGTGCGAGAGGTCCCGAGTTCGATTCTCGGAATGCCCCTAACCCTTTCTTTTCTCTTGTCCAAATTTTACAACTTGAAATAATTGATCATCAGAATCAAGCCTAAGGTCAACTTCAATTAAGAGTATTATAATATAGAACTCAGATTAATTTGATTTCTGACAAGATTCCTCACACAATAAGTATCTAAAATAAAAATATAAGAAAATTAAGTTGCATGCCTTCATCGGCTATTTTTGAAATGTGGACATGTTAACCTAATTTCGACCATGTAATCTCATTATCATCGGGGAAAGAACGAAGTATAAAAAAAGAGTGAAAAGATCTCCTTTTCTATCATAACATATAAATTATAAGAGTTAACGTAACCCTAGGTTTCAACAGGTTAAAAAAATCAGAGAATTTTTGTAGAACTCTAAAAATACATAAAAATTAGAAATTGAGAAATCATCAGTCGAGAAACTTTCGCTTACCGTTGAGCAAAAGTCACAAGTAATTAGTAAACCGTATACCAACTACGAGAGAACTCGTCAAGCTCCGTAGCAGCGACTTATATGCGATTCCTGATTAGTTTGAGGAGTTGGCGGTCCGTTTGGATGGCTGGGAAAAAGAGGAAAATAAAAAGAAAAGAGAATGTATGGAATCTTGATATATTTCTGCTTTTGAGTACTTTCTTTTTCCCGGTTAATTTCCATGGCTTGTCGTCGGAAACGGAGGAACAAGAAAAGGGCTTTTGTGAAGAGTGAAGACTGGGTCAAAATAGAGTCTCACCTAAGGAAATAGCTGTTTCTGTTTGGGCTTCGAGTTCAAACATTCCTTTTGGCAGTCAAGAGTTAATAATTCCGCCGTCATACTAATATATTCTAAATTTTTTTGAAAATGAGACCCACTTTGATTTATAAAAAATTGTAATTTAACAGAAATATTTATTTATTTGATACCTTTGTGACTTCAATTCAATATTTAAAAATACACCTACATTGTAATATAATTGTTCAGATATTTTGACTAAATGTACACAATATTTGTTTTATGCACGTGTAAATAGTTTTAAACTATCACTTATTGAATATTTTTTTATCATGGTACCAATTAATAAATATTTCTATTAAAACACTTTTTTTTATTTTCCCCTAAATTTTCTTTTTATCTCTAAAAGGCTCTATTTAAATTATATTAAAAATATTGAAAAAATAAAAGAGAAAGAAAGAAAGCAGTACTCAGATTTTTTAGAACATTAGGAAATAAAAAAAAAAAAAAAAACAAATGTTACGCAATGTTTCTTTCTTAGAACACGGTTCTTGGATTATAGCTTCCTAAAATATATTATACTTTTCCTTTTTGTTTACAAAATTCATGGAATTCGAAACCATTTATTTGATTCAAAACCACAAAACATTTACCACGCAATATATTGTACATAAAAGGATCAAACAAATTTATGCCCGACTCACCCACCAAACAAATATACTAAATGATACTTATGATTCAAGCCAAGCTGGAAAATTAAGACAATGGTGTCAGACATTCACAAACCCTGTTAGAAAGACTGACTGACAGACAGAGAGCAAAGTCATATTGGAGTTGGACCACCCTGGAGGAAGGAGCAATTATAACTGATTATAATCACAAGCTGAAAAAGTTCCTGGAACTCCGAGACTTCAATTCTTTGATTTTGAATGCTTCACAAGCCAATCAATCACCGTATCAATGTTGGTAGAGTTCTTGCATGAAATCATAAAGCAACAAACTTCTCTATCTGTAATAGATTTGAGCCCCCTGCACGGTCCAACAACAAAAACATAAATGAGAAATTGCCAAGAAATGCAATAGTTAATAACATAAATGTGGTTGCATTAAGATTTACAGAGAAAAGCTTCTCCCTACGATACTTTGACAACCAAAAACCATTGTCTATGTCAGGCGACAGTTGCCTAAGCACAAAGATTTACTTTTAAGTCTCCACTTACATTTGCTCTGTCAAATCCTCCTTAGATAAGGCCTCTGGCTTGTCAATCTTGTTTCCAAGTACCAGTAGGGGAATACCATTGAGTGAGGATTTACTTAACAGGTCATGGAGTTCCCTTCTCGAGACAGACAAGTTATCATAATCGGCAGCATCCACAACATAACTGTACATTGTAGAAATCCAAGTAAGAACTAGTTGACCATCAATATCATTGACAACATACCGATGAAAATTTTACCTACATGAAGAGGGCAACAAAATATGCATTTCTACCTGGTAGATAGCATATATCAATATATACTTCTTACATGACTAATTTGCAAGTCTTATAAAGCAAAAAGCTATCTTTAAATTTGTCTGTAGGAAATCAAGAAAACCAGTAGATAAGCAGTAATAAAAAAATTCAAAGAAAAGGTGGCATGGGGGTTGTGGAGTTGCCAATTGTAAAATTTGTGGAAAGTAAAGATCCAAATCAATTTCACAACTCTGAGTTTAGGGCATGCTAGATATAAGCTCAATTGTAAACCAGAAGTCATATAGATCCTTGCCCAACTTCTTATTGCCCTCAATTAGATATTCAGATATGTTCGTATATTCACACCTGTAGCACATACATGACTGCAATTTTTTGACTTTCCCTTTTTTACCTAACAATTTACTCATACTTTTAGTTTAACATAGTTAACCAGAAGATAGAACATAAGTTTTCATGAATCAGTCAGAGGATAAGGGGTGGTTGTTTCCTAGTACATTTAAGGAACTTAAATGACCACAAATGCAGATCACAGCAGCAAGGAGAAACAAGAGGAGGTATAAGAAAACAAACTTAGCTCAACACCAGCAGTAAGATGGAGAGGAAATTGTCTACAGTGACTGCTTTTTAAGAAAACCAACTTACTGCAAGACCAGCAATAAGATGGGGAGAGGAAATTGCTTACAGACACACAGACAGAGCTTTTTTATCTTAAATCAAATACAGAGGGCAAAATTAGGATGTGAAAAAATGTCAATTAACAAAGGGAACCTTTTTCTCATAATTTCCAGTAGAAAGCTATCTGCAGAAGACCAGTACCTTCAGAAAACAATTAAATGGCTTCTGTTTCTAGCAAAATAGATCCTAACATCCTTTGAAATATACTAGTACGCTCACAACAATGAAAATTTTGATAAAGAAAAACAACTTTGTGAATAAAGACACATACCATAGAAATATTAAACGATGTAACATGTACCAAGGTCATGCTATAAAGAGAAATATAGTAGCTAAAAAGTATGAAGGCATACACGATAGCTGAAACAGCACGGCAATATCTCTCCCACATACTTCGAAACCTTGGTTGACCCCCAAGATCCCACAACTTTATTGTGACATTTCCTTTAGTTACCTTCCTCATGTTAAATCCTACCTGCAAATAGAAGAGATGCCATGAAAATTACAAGGAACAAAATAAACCAACCAAAACAAAAGCTTGTTGCACAGAAGTGAAAAATCTCAAGAATAATTGTTGGTGTCTGGTCTTTGCTATATAACTTACTGTTGGTATCATATCTTCACTATATCCACCGGTCTACAAATAAGATACAGAAACCAAAGTGTAGCCATCAGGACCAAGTTAGAAGAGATAGGACAATAGCAAACAAAACAATGTTAAAACTCTCACATAAATATTCACTTACTGCAATGACATTAACTAGGGAAGTTTTTCCAGCATTCTGAAGGCCTATTAAAGATAACTCCATTTCTTGCTTGAAAAAGAGACTACGAGGAGGAGAAAGAAAATAAGAATGACTATGCAGGAAATTTAATCGAAATAAAATGGATTAATGTACAAAAAAGGTCAATCACAAACATGTAGTCCTAGCAATGCAAAACACGACAGGATGACGTGACACGAAAATGATACAAAATATGATACGAAGATGACACAATTTAAAATTTTAGCAAAACCATATACGAGTTTGATAAAACCAAAAAATATATATTTTGTGTTGACACAAATTATATCGCAATTTTTGTGTAAAACAAGATATGGATTTACAAATTATTAGTGCTTTATACGACAAGAATACACAAATTGTTAGGCACATCAAGAGCTCTTCTAAACTTGTAAGGCATTCCCTGAATATATATAAAAAGTCGTGCAATGAAGAAAATGGCCAGAGGAAACAAGATAAATTTTGAGTTTTCCAACCCAGCCACATAACCCCAAAAAAAACCATCCTGCCTGAGCCGCCAGCAGCAACTAAATGCTTCCCTTTGTCACCCTACGTTAAAATCCCTTCTTGTTTGAGTAATTCATGACAGATACCGCTATTCAGCAGCTTGCTAATTTGGACTTGAGACTAGGAAGGCACTGAAACATGCTGTTGCAGTTCATTACCATTGGGGAAAAACATATACTGCAAAAACCAGCTAGACCCTAACCAAGAAGTAATCCACAAGAACCCCATCACTTATCTAATTCTCCTAATTCAGCATTGCCACATAAGTACTTCCCTCATTAATAGCATTTCTACCAAAAACATTATGGTCATCATCTAGATGATCCCAGTATAACAAGCCATCCTTATTTCAAATACTTCAGCAAGATAACCCAATCACTCTCCCTCCCAGCAACTTTTGCTGTTGCCACCAGCTGCGACTATCACTTTCCCAACTGCAATACTGCAGAAACTGGAATTCACACAACAGCCGACATAATTCGCCTAAATACCTCCACAAAGCCACACCAAATACACACAATTCAGTGTAAAAACATGCCAAAGCACCTTGAGCATAGAAGAGAAAAACTTCTCCTCTATATCTTTTCAAAGTTTCCAAAATCAAGCACTTCAAAAGAGTGGTTAACAAACCATATATCAAGTATCTAGGCAACCATGTTTAGAATCAACCAAAGTATCCATCAACCAATTACTACCTGAAGAATCACTTCAAATCTAATCTTCAATCACAACCATCAACATTGCATGCTTTCACTTTACAAATTTCTTCACGGGGCAATTATCGCATATATACATATATACATACATACATATATATATATATATATATATGCATGTTCTTAGCATCCAAATATAACCCCATTAAAGGGGAAGAAAATCCAATAAACAACAAAAGCAAAAACCTTTGCAATCGCAAGGCACTGATTCCAAACATTTATATACTTATTCCAACTTTCAACTATCAAAGTAATAAAATTTTAAAATCGAAACGAGAAATTCAGTAATAAAATAAATATGTAAGGAAATGTCTTTTTTTTTTTTTCTAGTTTCAATAAAATTTACGGGAAAAAAAAGAAAAAAAATCTTTTACAGGAAAGCTGGAGGATCCGATTAAGTGAACATGAATATAAAGAATCTCTTTCTTTTTTAAAAAAAATTAGCCTCGGTTAGATTACAGATTTAAAATGAATAGAAGAAGTAAAATATCAATCTTTCTTTAATTCTTTTATTTTCCTAATAACCAAACAAGGAAGAGAACTTACCTTCGAAGCCAATTGAGGAAAGCTTCCCATAATCCCATTTTTATTTTCGTATGAGAAGAATTCCAGAAACTAGGGTTTCAATTTTGAGTTGAAGAGATTTTTGTCGAAAAAATAATAAAAATTGAAACGTCTTTTATTCGCTTCTTTTCAATGATTGAATTCCCTCGCCATTTAAATCAAGAAAAATAAATGCAATGAAAACCTTCAAAAAAAAAAAAACATGAACTGCTAGCAAAGAACGTTCTCTGCTGGTTTTCACGCACCTAAAAGAGAGTGGAGGATATAATCCAATTATGAAATGGTTTTGTATATTTGGCGATATGCCAGTAATGCGTGGATTTCACGCTCTAGATAGGTATTGGGTACTGAGTTATGAGATGAAAACAAAAACACCTTTGGGAAGTGGGTAACGACGTCGTTAAAGTGGCACTTAGCTTTTGTGGTTTGTGTGCATGAGGCTACAAGCCAGCTCTTAGGTTGCAATCTCCAGGTTGTCGCTTATCGACTTATCACGTGAAGATTGGGTTGATTCGATTTCAATTTAATTTTCTTCCTTTATTTAAAAAAAAATTATAAATTACTGCTATGGATGAGTTATTTTTTTAATTTTTTTATTTATATTTTGGCCCGCCAAATGAATTTTAATTTTAATTTTTGGTCGGTTTGCTATGTGGAGCTTGAATTAAAGTGAAAAGTATTTTGGACAAAGTTCATAAAGAAAATTAGACAAAGAAAAGAACGATCAAAATATTTGGCCAATAAAAAAGTCACGCATGCAAAAAAAAAAAAGAAAGGTTAGGCCAGCTAGGAGTTTGCGTCACTTTGGTTAAAACCTAAAGGGAGAACACGTGTTGCAGTTCAAATAGACAAATCAAAGCAAAACTAAGTCCAAAACATATGATTACAATATTTGGGAAAACTAAGAACAAGTTTAGAATTAGTGATTAGGAAAAAAAATAGATGAAATTTTTTTAAGTGAAATTTATAAAAAATTTTATTAGAAATGATTATATAAAAATTAAAATTAAAAATTAATTAAATTGATAGAATGAAAAATCTGATTATATAAGTTAAATATATAAAATTTAATAAATTTTTAATAAATTTTTATATATATTTTTAGATAAATATTTTTAATAAAAATATTAACAGAATTTTTATTGTTAAATAAGTATCAATCAAATTTAAATTATAAATAATATTTTTAATAATTTTTTATATATTATTAATTTTTACATTAAATTTTATCAATTTGTCAATTTGAATTTTTTATTAAAACTTTTTATTAAATTATTTTCAAAAAAAAAATTTAACAAATTTCATCTAAATAATTTTATGTAAGTTTTATCTCTGTATCTATGTTCGAAACCAAAAACCTGTCTTTCATATAACCATGCGATGTACTCGTTTTTTTTTTTCTTTAACATAGTATTTCAGTATTTGGATTTCAGAAATGAGACGTTATGATGGGGAATGGGTATCTTGTTTGTTTCTGATTGTTCATGGGGAACGTTTCATGGTTTCCACTCTTTGCGCTTTGCAGCCATTTTTCGATGATGCGAGTTCTTTAGGCTTGTTGTGGCCGCCTTGTCATGTTTCATAGCTATGAGAAGTTGAATGAAAGGCTTCAACTGTTCACCAACTGCTTACTGCTCTTGATTTTCGGATTGTGACTAGCTTTCCTGGTTGTAGATTTATGTTTTTCATCATTACCATACATTTTTTCCCATGATTGAATAGTTCCTTTTCCTTTTTCTTGTAATTCGCTGGAAAAACTTACACTTCTGTCCGTTGCAATAAATTTTGTTGCAAAGTAGCAGAAACTATGAGCAGTCCTTTTTTCTTTCCATTTGTGAAATTATCATCCATCATCATGTTTGTATAACCCTCTTTAGTTTCAAATTACATCAAATTAACAACAATTGCATCAAAGTTTTTGTTTGTATTACGTAAAATTCTTGGTTGCTTTTCACGAGTGGATGTGCATATTTTGCAAGCACGTCACTTGGGAAGATATTGTATTTTGAAAATTTTCAACCTTTCAAATCTTGAGATCCTTTGATCCCGAAGTTTGAAGATTGCTTTGTATTCCATAATCCATTATGGTAAAATTTTGTGAGAGATGTTGAAAAACAAAATGGACTTGTTGCCAGGCATAAGATGACCTTCTTAACAATAACTCAAGGATCAATTTGAAGGAACACGGTACCATGTTCGGTTTCTTTTGTTACCTGAAAACGGATAGTACTTGAGGAGTTAGTCTAGGGATGGTAAATTTTTGCCTCGTAATCTCCATGAAAGAGTGAAACTTGAGACCATCCTTTACTATCTGCTGCAAGTTGTGTATTCCCAGATTCCCACTCGTTAATTAGCTTGTCCACAACCTCTCCAATGGGAGTAGATGCGAAATCTGTATCTGCCAGGGTCATACATAAAATCCGGAAATTCTGGTCCTCCAAAAATGATAATCCCTTCAACTGCAGGATGAGAAAAAGCCTCCCTTAGTATATCTTCCAAGTATTGTGCCTGCCAGGAAGCAATATCAGACCATCAGGTATCAGCAGTCAGCATCCCCTCTAAAACTCTGTTAATTCAACATTGCTAAGGAAAAAACAGAATAAGTAGTGCATGTTTGTGCTTGTGTTTGTCTTAATTCATTCAAGGAATGTAGTAACTGATACGGTCCTTTACCCACGTCCACTTCTGTAAGCCATATAGGCAATCCCATTGTTCCTAGAATGTCCAAAGAAGATCTCATGTAGGCAAGGTTGGGCTGGCCAGCACTAAAATGGCCTTCCAATCCTTTTGCTGCCTTTAGGCCTGCATTTCCTGGAAATGACAGAATCTCCTCAAGTTGCTTCTTGTATTTTGATGCAGTAGATGCCTGATCGTTACTGTATTCAATGGTATTGTACTCATTCATGAAAAGGGTTGTCTTAGGATCAAGATGGTAAGCCATCGAATAGAAGGCTGAAGATGCGTTTTCACCAAGTTTATCCTCAAAGAAGCTGAAATGCAGATTCTCATTCATTACATCCCACCCAATTAATTGTCCTGCATATCTTGAAACCACTGAATTCAACCTATGCGTTGCTGCTTTTTGTAGCTCCTCAGGAGGAAGGTCTTTAACCCATTTAGGCTGTGCATTTTAGGATTGTCCCAGAAAATATTATGACCTCTAATAGAAATTCCATTCTGTTCGGAAAATTTCACCATTGCGTCTGCAATGGTATAGTTTTCTTCACCTTGTCTTTTGTCAGTGCTATACCACTTCATCTCATTGGTGAAACTGGTAACCTTGAATCTTGAGGCAAACCAGTCCTGATAACCTGTGCTTGTGAGAATGTTGTGGTTCATACCACATCCAAATGGGAAGCTTGACGCGGTTTGCTTTATTGAGATTACAGCACCATCTGCTGCAGTTTTATTGGCATATGTTACCTGGAATGTCACCTTCCTCCTACGAATCTGCAGGAATCAAATTCAATCATAACCTTAGCCTCAAATAAGGAATGGCTGTTAATGCCATCAAATCTCTTTCATCAAGGAGATTCTTTATAGATAAAAATTTCTAGAGTAAATATCTCAGTTTAGATAAAACACTAAAACTTCTTACATTTCAGGCATATTCTATGCAATTTGCAAGGTTCTTCTCAATTATTTCCAGTTACCTTGTCAATGCTTTTTTCTTGGTGGGATCTCCAGTCTTTTGCAGTGAATGGCTGCAACGAGATACTATCAACCCATATCTCCACACCTGTATTTTTGCTCTGCATTTATGGAACAAAAACATCAATCCATTCCTATCGTTCCCAAAGATTAGTCTTTGACGCAGAAATGCATGCCAGAAGGCAGATGAAAGAACCAAAACAGTAATGTACTTCTCCTCAAGGAGAATCTCAACCGGGCTTGAGAATTTGGCAACAATGCCACCTTTTAAAAGCGACCAGCACCCTTGTTTAGCTATGGTTTCACCCCCACGTATCAGTTTACCATCAGAAGTCTTGAACACAACAGCTACGGTCTCACTCCCTTCGCTAGTTTGAATCCAAGCTAAATATTTATCATTCAGTCAATCAATTAAATCTTGGGAGGAGAACCAATCAATTACACAGTAAAACAGGTTGTCCTTTCTTTTCTTTTCCTTTTTTTTCTGGAGTAAGTGTTTGTTTCATCATTAAACATCTTCTAAATAGATGTGGAATTCAAGCTTTGCCAAACATGATTGTGATTTACCTGAAAAGGTATAAAAATTTCCATTCTCAAGCTGAACTGCCTGCGAGAAACTGTATAATGGGTCTGTTCTATTCTGTACTACAATAAACCGGTTCCCATCTGCTGAAACTCCTTCCCTGATCGCTCCTTCACCGGAAAAGGTCCATGCTTTTGCTCCCTGATTGAACTCCGGATATACTACAATCCCTCCACCATATTGAGCTCTCCGGGGCGCTGCCAAGCACTGCTTGATACAGATTTCAGTAACTAGTGAATACTGATCATAATTCATAACTTGTTCTCTTCTAAAAAGGGTAGTTAGTAATAGTAACAACGCATGCACATTAACGTTACTTCCTTCTATGGAGTAGCTGCAAGTGCCAGCCGTTACAACATAATTTCTTCTTTGAACTGTAAACCAAACGATACCACATTGGCATTGCAGGGAAGAAGAATGTTTGAGATTAATAGAAAATTCTTGCTTGATATTGGGGCCATTTTTTCCCCAAAAAGCTTGAAAAAACATTAAAAAGAAGCAATAGTTTTGGCAATAATTAGACTGGGAAAGGTCCATAGCCAGAACATTCTATTCTACTTGCCTTTGTTGTGGCGGAATAGTCATACTCATAAGAGAAAGCACAGATGCCATGTCCTGCATAACCAGTTAAGAGCAGACAGATTAGTGATGCAACAATAAAAAATGGTTGGGACAGCATAATATCTGCTACAGGGACCGCAAACTACCACCTGAAAACAGGAAAATGCATGAAAGAAGTAACATCCAAGCCTCTGCAATATTGATCTTTTCACAACACAGTCAAAAGTAAACCTGATTTTAACATATGAAAGCAAGTACTAATATATACTTAACAGCAATTTAAAACAAATAAATCAATAAATAAAAAGCAAGAGCCTAAGAAACAAGACATAAAAACTCCGACAGAATATTATTGTAACGGACATGGTCACTAAAATAAATTTGACCCATTCACTTAGTCCCGTGAAGCATTTCCGTTGTTTAAATATATGTATGTATATAATTATTCCTGATTTGTTACGAAAGAAAATTAAAAGAAAAAAGAACTAAATTGTGGGGAGAGTTGAAGTTAGGTTAATGTTGTCCAGATCAGGAATGGGCAAAAAAAAGCCGAAGCCGATCACGTGAAATCAGCTCGAAAAAGAGGCTGAATGCATGGCAACAACATTTGAAATTTATTATTACTATCCCTTTTTATGGAGTTGCCAATTGAGATCTCATGCAATAAAAAAAGGTACTACTATATATTGAGAGAAAAAAAAAAGGAGGGATTAATTTATATTAATGTAAAATTTTTTAATATTTATTTTAATAAATCTAAAGGATAAGATTAAATTATTTATTTATTTGTCTATCTCATTCCATTGAAATAAATAATTACGAAATAGTGGCATAACCACGGAATACACAGGGCAACAACATTTGAAATTTATTAGTATCCCTCTTTATGGAGTTACCAATTGAGATCTCATGCAATAAAAAAAAGGTACTACTATATATATATATATATATATATATATATATATAGAGAGAGAGAGAGAGAGAGAGAAAATGAGGGATCAATTTTATCAATATAAAAATTTTTAATTTTTTTAATTATTTATTTTAATATCCAAAGAATGGAATTAAACTATTTTTTATTTATTTATCTCATCCTATTGATCTATTAAAATTAATAATTAAAAATATATATAAAATATATGAAACGTTTTTTATATAACTTAATCTCTTCTTATATATATAAATAAATAAATAATATATATATATATACACACACACAATAGCAACCCGCAAGTTGCTTCAGTTTATCATTTTATTATTTAATATATACTACAGTAGTAAATTTGAGAAAAGAAAAAAATATACTTGTATTATAGAAGAAACTGCAAATAATTTGAATGAAAAATAAGTGATTAGATAATTATTAAATAAATTCTAAATTTGATAATTCCTTATAGAACAATGGATTTTTTTATTCGAGTGGATTATTCAAACCAAAGGAAGATTGTTTTGTTTCTAGGTTTAAAAAGAAGGTGAGATTTTTTTTCTTTTCAAAAACAAATGCAAAAAACAAAAGTGAACTTAGGAAAAGAAAGAGAAAAAGAGTTATGACCTAGAAGTTGGTAACTATTATCCTTTTAAAAAATCATTTATACGAATGAATGTACCCAATAAACTTTCTAATATAGAGAACAAATTCTTTTAAAAAAATTTAAGTATAAAAATATTTATACTTACAATCAAGAGTTAGATGAATAGATTTTTTTGGATAATTAAAATTGAAAGCAATAAATAAATAATCATGAGTAGGGAAGACAATAAGTTACTTATATTAAGAATTAATTAAGAATCAATAGTGCAAATTTATCTTCTCTCAAGCTATAAAAAAGATTCATAGTCTCTTAAATAAAGAAATATAATTTTTTTAAATAAATGAAAAAATAATACAAATAATGAGGAGACATTAGATCAAGAATGGAAGATGAAGCATTCTTGATTCTAAATTGTAGGGGATGAAAGACATAAAAGAGGGATAATTAAGGTTGAATGACTTGAAAACTTAAAATAGATAAGTGGCAACTTAATAATCCTATGTGGCAAATGGAGGTTGCATACGTGGCAGTCCATGTGTCACAAATCGTGGCAATAGGGGATGAAAATATATGTTTGTTAAATATATTACATATATGTATTAAGTTTTAACGATGTTGCGTTCTGCATTTGAAAGTTGGTTATTTATAATTAAAGCCCTTTGGGCAAGTTCAATGCTGGTTAGGGAGTGTTGGACAATAAAAGGGCTACTCCTACTCGATTGGTGGGACGAGAGCAAGATACCATTTACTGGACTGCCTCCTCTAATGGGGTGTTCTATCCAATCAGCTTATAACCTCGCTAAAGGGACTACCCAGAAAGCTGATAAAGGCCAGTGGGAGTGGATATGGAAACTTCAAGCCCTGCCAAAAATCAAATTTTTTATATGGCAATGTATGCATGATATTTTGCCTACGCATTTCTTTTGAGTTTACTAAAAGAAGGCTGAACGTCCCAAACCGCTTGTGTGTTTTGCATGCATGATGTTGAGGATTTGGGGCACATCTTCTGTAATTGTCAATGGACCAGGAGCTTATGGTAGGCCGTGCGAAGCACCCAGCTACCACCACCCATGCAAAACCTTGACCATAAACAATGGATAAAAGAAAATGCTCAGAGCAAGCTTCAGTCCATCCACAGTATTCCCTGGTATTTATTGTTTATCCATATCCTATAGGAGATTAGGCTAGAGAGAAATAGGAGAGTTTTTAGGCAAAGTGGAGGGCATTTGGACTTGTTAAATCTGCGATGGCTAAGGCTGCTAAATTCTTCGCTATGAACCTGCCAGGTGTTCGTGTTCCGCTGTAGTCCTTTGTTACTATCAGATGGCATCCGCCGAACGTGGAATGGTATAAGCTGAATATGGATGGTTCGGCCTTGGGAAATCCTGAGAAAGCGGGTGCTAGCACCATCATTTGGGAGAGCGAAGGAAAATGGATTGCTGGTTCATCTAGATATATTGGTGTGGGATCAAACAACTTGGTGGAGTTGTGGGCTCTTAGAGATGGTTTACTACTGTTGAGAATCTTAATATTCATAATCTGAAAATTGAAACTAATTTCACTGTTGTTATGGGTATGGTTAAGAACCATTAGGTGACTAACTCCACTTTACGTCCTCTAATCTCTGATGCAGGAAGCTGATGGAGGATTTTGACGACCAACGTTTGCTGCATGTGTTCAGGGAGGGTAATAAGTGTGTTAATGCCCTTGCCCAGTTTGGTAGCAGTAGTTGTTGTATTAACTCGTGTTGTTCTTGTGGCGGTAGTTCTAGTTGTTCTGAGGTAAAATGTGGCGTTCCATTTTATAATTAAATCGTTCTTGTTTCCTACAAAAAAAAAAAAAGGTTAGGGACAAATTCAAAGTCTATATTATGAGAGAAAATTTCGAAATTTATATTGCAGCCAAACTAATCCATTAGATACTTACGTTATGTTTGGTAATTAAGATGATAAATAAAATATGATGATAATCATCTTAAGTCATGTTTAATGTATAAGGTGATGGATAAAATGGTATGATAACTATTTTATATTATATTTAGTTTATATCTAATTCAAAGAAATATAATTACGAAGAGGATATTTTATCATCTTAGTATAGAATGATTTAATTTTTTTCAAAGCGAAAAGAATTTTTTTAACCCATTAGATTAAACTTACATATCCTATTATACCTTTAAAAATTATATTAATAATTTAAATTATATAAATTTTGAGGAAGGATAATTTTGATCAATAAATAAATTATTTTATTTTAATCTTTGTATACATCAAACATATGATAGGATGATATTATTTAATATAATCATATTTATAATATCATCTTATCATATCGTATCATAATCTTATATATCAAATATAACCTTATATCATGTTTAGTTTGTTTCTAAAGAGATAGATATAATTGTAAGAAGGACTAATCATTATGATGATTAAATCCTCATAAAATGATAAAATTATTTTTAATTCATGAGATTGTACTTACATGACTTATTATATTATTAAAAATTACATAAATACTTTAAATTATATATATTTTTGAAGAAGAATAATTTTGACTAATAAATAAAATTATCTTATCTTAATTCTTATACATATTAAACACAAGATACGATGATATTATTTAATCTAATCATATTATATTATCATCTTATCATATCATATCATAATTTTATATCAAATAAACCTTTAAGATCTAGGATATATGATACCATTTAAGAACGGGTTTTAAACATTTACAATGAGATAAAATTTTAGATTTTTGATTTATAATTGTCAATAATTAAATTCTAATCATTACAATTAAAATATGATATATATCAACGAAATCAATTCGTAAAATAGTTAATCACGTACCTCTCTTTCTTTGACATATATTAAGCCTTAATATGTGCATGAGAAAAAGGTACACTATCTTGCTTGAACTCATTGCTTAATGATTCATTATAGAAATTATAACTAATTGTTTAAAGATAATGTCTCGATTCGTTACTCATGATCACAAGTAATGGACATTGTAATTGTAATTGAAAACTACAATTGAGTTTTGATCTTAACGTCAAGATTCCATAATAATTCTAATTGATTGGGATTTGTGAGATCATTAACTTGGTACATAATAAAGACATTTTACTGAGAATGGAAGTTGTAGAAGATGAATGTAGAGTTGTTGAATTAGAGCTTCTCAAAAAAAGGAAAAAAAAAAAAGGAATGCTGAATCAGCAAGCACGAATAAAAAGTCTATATTTATGCTGAATCATCAATCCAAATTGATAATTAATTATTTTAATATAATTCATTAATTATAATTTAAAATTATATATGATTTATTCAAATTTTTTTATGAAATTCATATTTATAAATAATTACAAAATTGTAATAAAAATGTAATTACTAAAATGGGCTTCCAGCCCATTTCCTATACTCACATTTATCCTTATTTCTCTCATTTTTTTTGTTTAAATTAACGATATCATTTACATAGACCATTGTTCATGATTTTTTTTTTTTCCATTAGGAGGATTAAAGGATTACTACATACTTCATCGAAATATATTTTTAAAAAATCAATAAATTAATAATATAATAAATAAAAACATATGCAAATGAAAAGCTCTTCTTTTTGCAATCGAGGACCCGTCCTCCTGTTTCCCCTTTTTCCTTTACTCCCTTTTTTTTTTTTAATTTGAATTTTAAAAAAGTCAAAATTTAATTTTGAATTAAAAAATCATAATTTTTTAATTTTTAATAAAATTTTAGATTTTAACATTTTGTTCTTCCTTTATCAATTTCTAACTTCTAATAGATCTCTTAGTAAGATTTGAACTCGAATAAAGTTTTGATTATCTATCAAAAAATTATTTTTTGCACAAGAAAGTCTCTTTGTAAAGACTTTAATGTTTTTTTATAAAGTTTTTACTATTTTTTTTTGTTGCAATAAAGTTTTTACTATTTTTACTTTTTCAAAAATAATCTTATTTTTTACAATTTAAAAAAAAAACTTTTCAATTTTTCTATATTTTGAAAAAATTTAAAAAAATTTATAATTTTTAAAATTTTATTGTTTTTCTCTCTATTTTGACGGGAGAAATGAATCCACCAACAACACAAAAATGTATGCTTTATTATTGACCAAATAAGATATTAAATAATAAAGTTAACTCCTAAAGCAAAGTGATTGACAGAATAAAAATATATTTAATTAAAAGTTTATATTTGATACATTATCAGTGTATAAATTTTATGTACCATCAATAAATTAGATGATGACAATTCATTAATGATTAAATATTAACTTTTAAAATAAATGTATAATAATTAAAATAACTTACTTACTAATGAGGTATTATCATCTGATTCACTTCATTAATGAGTTGTCATCATCTAATTCATTAACAGTATATAAAATTTATACATTAACAGTATATCAAATATAAACTCTTTATTTAATTGTGCATTTTAATTTTGCCTACCAAATGTAATAATATATGGACCAAATAATCAATATTTAATCTCAAATAATTCATAACAACTTTGTCGTTTAAGAAGAAAATAGCTTTCATTATTTTGTGACCAAAGTCGTAACAAAGAACTGTTTAATAGTGATTGAATAAGAAAAAATGGTTGACAACAACCAGAATCATTCAGAAACTCGGAGAAGCATCATGCTTTCCTCAGAGGCATATCTAGGTTCCACCTTGAATCTCTTAGACAAAGAAGAATTGGTTGCAGCTGGGTGAATGATTTTCAATTCATATTCTCCGTGGGAAAGGGCGGCCTCAAAGAAACCACCGGCATCGGTTGTGCCTTCTAAGGTGGCCATGATTCCCCATTCTTTCAACAGCTTGTCAACAACATCCCCAGTTGCCAAGTTCTTGAAATTGTTATCAGTCAAACACATCCGGTAACATCCCTCTGGCTTCCAGGCAGACCAAATGATTATCCCAGCAACACCAGGGTGGTCATGACCCTCCCTCAAAACTTGCTCTAGGTACATCGCCTGCTCATAGAATGAAAATCATCAAACAAAAATACTTACAATATTGAGTATTAAACATATTGTTATCCAAGGACTAAGGAGTATTACCTGATTGGGGTTGCTCTTTACATCTACTTCCGTTAGCCAAATAGGCATTTTTGTGGCAGCGAGAGTATCAAGAGAAGATCTTATGTAGGGGATGTTTGGAACACTGAAATGGGACTCTAGCCCAATAGCCATCTTGTTACCATTGGCACCAAGAAAAGTTTGAGCATTTTTCAGTTTGTACAGGTACTTAGCCGGTGTTGATGCTGGATCTCCACTCTCCTCTATGGTATTGTAGTCATTCATAAAAAGAGTTGTGGATGGATCAATATTACCAGCCATTTTGTAGAAGGTATCAGAAGCATCTTGCCCAAGCTTACTTTCGAAGAAATTAAAATGCAAATTCTCATTGACAACATCCCAGCCGATTACTTGACCCTTATATCTTGACATTATTGAATTAATCCTTTTATTGGCTGCTGCTGAAAGATCCTTTGGTTGAAGAGAGGGGACCCAGCTTGGTTGGAATTTAGGATCGTCCCAGAAAATATTGTGGCCCCTGACAGAAATATGGTGTTGTTTCATTAATTGCATCATGGAATCTGCGACTGAATAGTCCTCCTTGCCTTGGGTTGGTTCGTTGCTGTACCACTTCATTTCATCCTCGAAGGTTGTGTGTGTAAACCTTGAAGTGAACCAGTTTTGGTAGGCAATGTTACCGAGGATGTTCTTGTTAGTAGCACAACCAAGTGGTTTTCCTGAAACCTTTTGCTGGATGGAAATCTTCGAGTTGGCCAGGGGGTTCCCTTGTGCATCGATTGCACGGATTCTGAGCCTTCTCTTTGTCTGTAAAATTACAGCTTGGTTACGAGTTATTGTAAATATACACAGCTTGATTCAATTATGTACAAACTGACCTTCTCAATGCTTTCAACTTGATGAGACTTCCACTCTTCTTGGGTGAATGGCTGCAACGAGACGCTATCAACCCAAATCTCAACCTCGGTGTTATGGCTCTGAAGAAATATATTAGCAATTAAATTCAAGAATCTTTGGACAAACTCTCGGTTTCTTTTTCTTTCTTCGGTGTATTTGCTAGATATAATTGGAGATCCCGCACCTAAAAAAAAAAAAAGAAAGGACATAATTACCTCAAAGTAAAGCTCAGCAGGGCCTGAGGCATCCACACTAAGGCCACCCTTGAGCATGGACCAACACTTGGACTTGGCTACAATTGCACCAGCCTGCGTGAACCCCGTAACTGTTCTGAACACTGCCTTCACTGGAGCTTTCCCTTCATTCACTTGTATCCAAGCTTCGTTGACACAAAAATTATGGTCATTTTAAATCAATAACTATATAACAAGTACAGTAGTATATATGTATACAGGAGAAAAACGTGAAGAAAATTGGCAATACCAGAGAAGGTATAGAGCTTGTTCTTTTCAAGGTAAAGCTTCTGGGAGACACTATCGTAAAAATGGTTTCGGCTACGAGCCACGATGAATTTATTGCCATTTGGTTCTTGTCTGTGTTCCATTGTGGCATTCCCAAATGTAGACCATCCAATCAAACCACCATTCAACTCCGGGTTTTTCATTATTCCTCCGCCATACTGAGGTTTGGAAGGTTGTGCCAAACACTTGAAATTTGATAATTTTGAAATTTTGCCCAGAAAAAAAATGATTATGAGAATTTTTCATATCTTATTAGCACGAAAGACTTCAATTTTTATATACTGGTGTTGAAATTTTTTAATATCAGATGGATATCCAAAACGAATTGTAAGGAAAAACTAATTACCTCAATGCTGGCTGTATAATCATAGGACATTGCCTTGGCTTTGATAAGTCCTGAAAAATATTGTACTGTGTTAATTAATCGTCTCTTTTGTTTGATAGAGTAACACTAATTTCATTAACACTGTTACAATTGTCTATTGTGGCGATTAAGGGTTTGTAATTTGTAGGCTGGATGGAAAATATGGAAAGATAGAAAATTAAAAGGGAAGAAAAATTAAAAAGAAGGAAAATGTGTTTTTTTTTTCTTCTTTCCATGATATGCTTGATAGAAGGGATAAAAATGTAAAAGGAAAAAATTCCATCTATTACTTGATATAATTGAAAAACGAGAGGAAGAAAAAGGAAAATTATAGTCTTACCATTATACCCCTTGTAAGCTAAGATAAAAAGATAAAATCTAAAAAATAATGGATAATTTTGTAAATAAACATATTTGATTTACATACACCTCCCTCATATCTTTTCAATTTGAAATTATTTATTTTTGTTAATAAATACGAAAAATATATATTTTTTATTTTCGTTCCTATTACTTTTATTTCCTATCAAGTACACCCAAAATAAATTTGTTTAATAATCAAACCTGCAAAAAGTATCCACAATGGCAACAACAGAAGCATACTTTCTTCCTTCCGAATCTCCATTGTTATGTATTTAATTCGATCCTGCAACCACTTCATAAAAAAAAAAAAAATCAATCACATTCACATTGTTATGAAAAAAAAAAAAAAAGAAAAAAACCCAAAAACAATCTGCTTCCATTAGATGATGATGACTCTAAAAACATTAAACTGATCACATTAAGACTCTAACCACTTAAACATTTGAGTATAAAAATAAAATAAAAATTGATCTAAGATATATGAATGAGAGAACCTGAATTACAACGGGGTGGGAAGATTAGCTCTTGAGGAAACTGTAAAAAAAAACTTGTGGTTCCATAGATTTTATAGCCAGCCAAAAGTATCAATTGATTCAGTTATGCAATAATTTTATCCAGTTTTGGCAACACACCTGTGAATTTCTGTGCTTCTGAGTCATGATGCTTCATTTATCACATCCGTCATAATTATGTATTTAAGGCTAGTGATTAGTGAAATATATATATGGCTAATTTTGATTCTTGAAAAATTTTTTGCTACATATTTAGAAGGGACATGTTTTTTTGCCTTGTATATATCATATCCATTTCAGTAGAACAGCAATTCTTTTATTGCTTCCAGTTCATGAATGTTTTGTATTTAAATTTGCACTCATGAAATTTCCAGATATATTTATTTTTATGTAAAACATTATAGTCTATCTTTGACCAAGATGCCATCATAAATACCAATGAACTTTTATATCATTTGAACTAATTTTCAGCCTTTTTATTTTAAAAATGGATTATAAAAAAATAATTAAATGAGTAATTTTGTGATGTGCTAATGAGTACTTATTAATATCACAATATTTAATTCCTTTAAAATTAATACGAATGAGATATAATATAAAAATGGGATTGTCAATAATCATATTGTTCAATAAAGTATTGGAATTTAAATTTTAATAATCTTAGATAAAAAATTACAATTTCTGATTTTTTTTTATGTATAAACAAATAGATAATCGCTTTTACTAAATAAACTCTTAGGTCTTGCATTATCTAAGATATCATATAGTATCATTCTATTTAAAACAATAAAAAATATCATAATTTAAATACATCAAGCTAAATTTAACAGAAATTCACTTAACAATTACGCTGTCGCTAGTTACGATCAAGATAAATGTTGAAATATTAAAAATTAGAATAAGGTAAAATATATATATAGTAACGTATATATTATTTGAGGGAGCCTGAAATGACACCCGCCTTTGTTCTGGCTTGATGGCTTGGTGTGTTTGGTTCAGGATACCCCAATCGCCACGTCCCGGGTTCGAAGGCTGGTGAGAGAAGACGAGAAAGAAGAAATAAAAGCAAAGCCAATAAAATAAAAGAGGTATTCTAAAATACCTCCCTTTTGAATTTTGATGCCCCAAATATAAATTGGTTGTTTTTCAAGCGTTCGCTTACCAAACCCTTTCCTTCCCTTCTCCAGCAAGCATGACAGAGAGCGAAAGCGCGAGCGACAATCAACGGCCATGGCAATCTTATCACACTGTGTATACCAACGCCAAAGCAGGTAATACTAACATTTTCGATCCTGACTTCTGATTCCATCATCAAATCGCTTCTCGCTTGTTCGATTTCTACCGTCAATCTGCCGTTTAATTTATTAACTCACCTCGAAATTTTCTTTCATTAACTGGTTAATTTTGCAATTTGATTATTATTGGTTAATAATGATCTTTTAGGCATGGATGGAGTTGATAAAGAGAAAGTTCAAAGAATAGTGTACGAGATGAGCAAAGGATCAAAATATTTCGAAAATGAAGAGCGAAAAGAGGCTTTTATTCGGCAAAAGATAGAGCATATGCGAGCTCGAGCTGCGAAGCTCTCCGCCACTGATTTATCTCATTATCAAAAGGTTCTTTTAAGCGATTTTTTAAAATGATGCTTTATACAATTGAATTTTTTGAAATTATATATAAGTAAACGAATAATTTGCTCTTTATTTAGGTTGTGGATAAAAGAATTTTAGAGCTCGAAGCTACACGTGAGCTTTCTAGGATTTGGTTACATGTAGATATGGATGCTTTTTATGCTGCTGTTGAAACTTTGAGTAATCCTTCGCTGAAGGGTAAACCGGTGGCTGTTGGTAGCATGTCTATGATTTCCACTGCTAATTACGAGGTCTTAATGGCTTGACATGATTCAATCGCTAATGCCAATTCGTTGCTGGAAATTTACTCTTGGTAAATGTTATTAACTCTGTAGGCACGGAAATTTGGGGTTCGTGCTGCAATGCCTGGATTCATTGCTCGTAAATTATGTCCAGAATTGATATTTGTTCCTACAGATTTCAAGAAATATACTTATTATAGTGATTTAACTAGAAAAGGTTAGATGCGTTTTTTTTTAAAACAGAGTTCTTGATGCAACTTGGGCTGTGGTGTGCTGATTTGTTAAATTGCACATGTTCCTCTATGTTAGTTTTCCGGAACTATGATCCTAATTTCATGGCTGCCAGTTTGGATGAAGCTTACCTTGATATTACTGGGGTTTGCAAAGAAAGAGAAATCACAGGTGAAGAAGTAAGTTTTTGCCATCATTTTGTTATTCTGACTGCTTCAGTGTAGGCTTTTAAGCTGATGCCTTTCTTTGTCCGCCTATTTAGATTGCTGAAGAACTCAGATCCAGAGTACATGAAGATACTGGTTTGACATGTAGTGCAGGAGTGGCTCCAAATCGCTTACTTGCTAAGGTTCTATTTGCTGTTCTCAGCATACAGTTGTAGTTGGCAACTTGCATCTGCAAATTGTCATAAAAAACTACTATTGCATTGTCAAACCAAAACTGGAATATTGCATATCATGTAGAAAATTCTATAATTTCCTATAGGAAGCTATTTCTCCATATTTTTGAGGTCATTTTTTATGTGGGATGAAAATACGGCAATCTTTTCGTTGATTAACAATAATTTGTTGTTGACTGGTGAATTGTTTTGATTACGTGTATCAGATTTAGTTTAATGGAATACAAATGTTTTAAAACATCAATTTGCCTGTCTCAGTTTATGCTTCCTAATCAAATCATCAAAAGAAAGGAATCAAACAGGATATTTAATATTATTATCATAGCTGGTTATTTACACTTTTTTTATATATATATATATTTGATTGCACCTTCTGAATATATAGGATTTTTTCTTCTTTCCCTCAGGTTTGCTCAGATATTAACAAGCCAAATGGGCAGTTTGTTTTACCAAATGATCGCATGGCTGTCATGGCATTTATATCCTCACTTCCTATTCGAAAGGTATTCCTTGATTAGCTAATCTTAAACTCTTGTTTAGGAATTGGAATTTCTGATTTGTTCATGAAGTCCTTAATATGATTTCATTTTTCCCTGAATAAAAAACAAGAAAAAATGATTTCATTTTTCACTGAATAAAAACAAGGCAAAAGTGATTTCATTTCTTAACTGGATAAAAGGTTTCTGTCTGACAAAAGTGGATGTTGAAAAAAACTGGATTTGCAGATTGGGGGTATAGGCAAGGTCACAGAAAACATTTTAAGGGGTGTTTTTGGAATCAGTACCTGTGAAGAGATGCTGCGGAAAGGCAGTTTCCTCTGTGCGCTATTTTCTCGCTCTACAGCAGGTTAGCATACTGATAAAGTGTTTCTACCGTTCAAGGTTGAGTGATTAATCATAGGAAATTTTATGAAACTGATACACATGGTGGGGATAATCCTCCTGCATTCTCTTATGGCTACAGTCTGCTGCATCAACTTTCCTTGCCAAAAACCTAGCGAACTCAGTTGAGGTTCACTTTTAATTAGAGTTTTCTGAATCATTAGGCAGTCATAGCATGTGCTACATTACCTTTGTTTAGATATTTTATTTCAAGTGATTCTGTGAACCAAAAAGAAAAGGTGGTAACTGAGAATCAATTCTGTTAAATTCTCCTAAATATAAGTGAGCCCAACGTTTCTAAGTTCTTGAATTAATTTTAAATAATCAACCCATCAATGAGGGCAGAGTGACCATCAATGTATATGTATTTCTTTTACAAGTTTCATGAATTTACTTCCATGTGTACAGAGGGAATGAGGATGATTCTCATGGGCTTTTGACCTTTTTTTTCCAAATGATATTAGATTTTTTCCTATCTGTTGGATTGGGGCTTGGAGGGACGGATATGCCTGAAGCCAGGTTTCGGAAAAGTATCAGCAGTGAGAGAACATTTTCAGCAACACAAGATGCAGCATTGCTTTATCAGAAATTAGGTAAATGGTCACGCAGAGATTGGTAGTTTCTCTTCTGTTTTGACTTTTCATGATCTTGTATTTTGTACTTCCTTAAAGGTGAAATTGGTTTTAAACCAGTTGAGCTTCAGCAATTAAATTAATAGTTTATTGAAGGTATCAGTATCAACGATTTAGCAGTTGCATTTTCATTAGAGTGGTAAGATGGATAACAGTATGCACCTCATTGGACTCTGTTTGGCTTGGGATGTTTTGCCTAGTCTCCAAGCTTGTTCAATGGTCAAATTCCATTCAGCTGTACTCCTTATAATTGCACCCTTAAGGCAGGCAACTTTTTGTTGGATTAAACTTGAGAGTTGAGTCTAATCTTGTGTATATACATATATATGTATATATATGTATATGTGTGTGTGTGTGTGTGTGTGTGTGTGTGTGTGTGTGTGTGTGTGTGTGTGTATAACAGTTTAGATGACATTTAGTTTTAGGATTGTCTTCGTAAAATCATTTAGCAATTTAGCTTTGTCCTGTTTGTATTTGCAGCTGATATTGCTGAGATGCTGTCGGCTGACATGCAAAAAGAAGGTCTTTCTGGACGGACTTTGACTCTTAAATTAAAAACTGCATCTTTTGAGGTACATTCATGAATCATGATGCTTTATTGCTTTTTCTTTGTTCTTCCTTCCGTATGCTCAATAGCAAGTGGCACAATGTAAAGGAATGGTTGGTTATATTTTTCAATGGGCCAATTCTGGTAACAGGTCTTTTCTCTCATTCTACCATTTTGCCTTTTATCTCTAGGAATAATGGCAATTGCATTTTATTTTATGAACTTCGTCACTTGTTATCCATTATTGGTTTTATTTCTCTTATCTTTTTAATGCCTTCCCTTTTTTTGTTCATAGCTGATCTGCTCTATAACTTTCAGGTTCGTACGAGGGCCATGACTTTGCAGAAATATATTTGCTCAAGAGATGACGTCTTAAAATATGCTTCAAAGTTGTTAAAGGCTGAACTCCCTATTTCTTTGAGACTGATAGGTAGACTTTTATATGTTGGTCTAATGTCTCTTATTTGATAGCTATAGAGTAGGAAAGAAGATATAGGTAGAACATTTCTTTGTAGTCTGCAAATTGTAGGCTTTAGAATATAATGGCGCATTTGTGTTCTTTGCTGCTAGGTCTGCGAGTGTCTCATTTCAATGAAGATAAGGGTGGTGTTCCTGTTGACCCTACACAAAAAACTCTCACCACGTTTTTAATATCAGAGGATGCTTCTAGGAGAATTGTGAATGATCATAGCTCCTTGGGTCCAGATTTGAGTGATCTTCACTTCATGAATGAAAGGGAAACTGCCCTTTCTATGGACAGCCATGAGACATGTCAGTATGAGTTTGGAAATCCATTTGAGAGCACTCATTTACCAGATATGGATGACAACAATTGCATTTCCAGTGAAAATGCTTGGGAAATGGAGAAAACTTGTGAACTTTCGAACAACAAAACTGCAGCCATGGTACTTGTTAAAGTTTATATACCAATTATATAACTATACTAAATCTTCAAGTGTTCATTACCAGTACTTTTTCTAGTGTTAGTTTTGTTCTACCATCTTAATTCTTTTTGGTTTGTCGTGTTACTTTGGTTCTCCAGTATTACTTTGTATTTATCTGTTTTATCAGGTGAAGACTGCTGATTGGATAGTGCCTACCCCAAAATCTCCTAAAAAAGAAATATTACGAGTGTCAGAAGAAGATTATTCTGTCCAAAGGGAGTCTGAGGACAGCAACCCTGACAGATTAAATAAAGAAACCTCAGGAAATGAGGAACCTTTTTCATCAAATGAGATGAAACAGTTATTTTGGGTGGATGACTACAAGTGTTCATTATGTGGGGCTGAATTACCTTCATGTTTTGTTGAAGAAAGACAAGAGCACTTTGATTTTCATTTTGCTGAGAAGCTTCAGAGGGAGGAATCTGTTTTAGACTCGAGCGCATTGATGCCAAGACAAAGGTACCACAAGTTTTAAATTAGTATTATAGTAAATAGCTCTTATTCGATGATTTTAATCAGCAAGCAACATTTTGCTATGTCACTAAATTCTTGGGCTGCAACCATGTCGATTTTTTCTTTTCTCCTCTGCCTCTAAACAATATTGACGTTTGTAATATAAGCATACTGCATTCAGGCCTGATATGCTACTTAATTTGCATGTTGTGGAGGGTTAAGTTTCTGGGTTCAATGACCTTGATATGTTAATTCTTAAGTACTTTATGAGATTTTCAGATTTCTAAGTACAAAATTAATAGAAATTTTAGATGGTATTCCTTTTGTTCTTTACATATTCCGATTAGAGTTGTGATGTTTGCATAATTCAATGGTTTCTGCTGTTCAAAATCTTCCTTGTAATGCAAGGTTCCTAGTGCACTTAGACAAATTCCCTTTGGTTTGCAAAGCGTTTTCATTGCATATCTTCACTTACAAATGTGCACTTGTTGATTTAAAAAATTTTGAAATATTGACAGGATTGTCCCGAAGGATTGTGTTGCGAGCCAAAGTAGGCGTAAGAAGCAAAAATCACAAGGCAAGCATCTGCCAATTGATTCATTCTTTGTCAAGAGCAGTCAGAACTTCTAGTACTGTATGTATAATTTTGTATATTTATAGTTCAGTGAGTAATTGTATAAATCTAGATTTAAATAAGTGAAATAATGACAAATATTTTGGTCAAAATAATAATAATAATAACAAATATAATAGTAGAAAATTTTTTTCTAGTTCCTCTTAGTAGTCCTTTATATGGTTACAGATTACAGAGTAAGTAATTAGCTAAAATAACAAAAAAAAAATTCTTGAATTTTAACATTTTGTTTATAAATAAATTTTTATATTTTTATTGTACTAAAATAAATTTTTAATTTTTAATTTACATCTAAATAAATTTTTAATTTTTAATTTACGTTTAAGTAAACTTGTAAATTTATTTGTCATTTGAAATAAGGAATCATTTAAATACAAATAAAATGATAAAGATTTATTTAAATATAATAAAAATATAAATTTATTTAAAAAAGTAAAAAAGTTCAGGGATTTTTTAAGGGATGTTTGGTTGGTATCATTTTTTCTCTAAATCACTTTTTTTCTTAGAATTTTTTTATTTGATTCTTTAGTTTGTTAGAAAAAAATTTTTGCATCAGAAATTTTACATTTTTAACGGTGTTAAAAAGGGAGAAAGTAAGAGAATAAACTTTTTTTTGTTCTTGAGCATTTTAGATTTAAGAAGGAAAATAAAAATTTTATCCCATTTACTTCCATTTAATTGTATTTTTAAATTATATAAATTACGTTATTGATTTTATAAGTGTAATAATTTTATATGCTATTTTTTATTTAATTTTTAGAATTTAACAAAGATAATATTTTTAAGATAAAAATATAATTTTTGTTAAAATTTTGAAAACAATTTATTTTTCAAAAATCAATAAAATTAATATAATAAATTATTTTATTAAATAATTTTATATTTTTCTAATGAAATAAAAAAAATTTACATTTAATAAGTATAACAAAATTTAAAAATCATATGTTTTTAATATTATTTATTTTGAGAAAATTTTTTCTTTCAAAATTTAGAAATTCGCAATCAACACTCCGTTAATATTTTAGTCTAAATAATTCATTTAATTTTCGTTTTTCTATTTTTTTCATTTCCATTAGGCTTAAAAAAAAAGAAAAAAGAAATGTACCAGATACTGATCGGAAATGTTGATCGCACGCCTGCCACGTTTCACAACGAGTAAACATCGAATGAAACACGAGATTTTATTTTTCTTTTAATGTACGAAATTTGAACCAGTGGATTAAAATCCTCTCAGCAATTAAATAAACAAATAAATAAAGAAGAAGAAATCCTCTCGCTCAAAGCAAGAAAAAATGGAACTAACAAACATTTTTGCAGTGTCCAAAATCTGCTATCCGAATCCCAGAATTCCGTGCAGAACCCAAACTGTTGCAGTGTCTCAGCTTTCAGTTTCACCACTCCAATCATCCTCAAACCAAATATCACCGAAAACCCATTTGAATACTCTCCAAACAGGCACCAAACCATATGATAGAACTACAAGCAATGTCATAAAAGAAGCCACTATCAGTAAACCATCCATGTCTGATATATTGGCCTCCTCTAGAGCTCAGAACTTTGACCTTCAGCTCCAAACTTTAGGACCCTTCTTCAGGATCACTGCCAAAAGCCTGGACACCAACAGGGAACTTGGAAGAGCTGAGGGGCTGATAAGGGTCTGGTTTGGAGGTAGAATACTGCACCTGGATTCCATTAGACTCAAGAGAGAAACGCTGGGCATGGAAAGATCAATTTTTGGTATCGGTTTGTTCATTGGAGCTGTAGCTATTCGGTACGGATATGACTGCGGTTGCAAGACTGCTGAGTTGCTTGCCATCAATGACTCGGATCTTTACCATTCCAAGGTTCTTGCCTTACTCAATACCTCTGGTTTCTGTTAATGATATTTTTTCTTAAAAGTAAATCTTCTTTGTGGCTGAATAGTGGATAATGCTTTATTTTGATGTTCTTTTGAACTTTCAGCTCGTTAGGTTCTACAAAAGGATTGGGTTCAAGGCTGTGCATGAAGTGACTGGTTCAACAATTGGGGATATGCCCCACATGCTAATCTGGGGAGGAATTGGAACTCGAATGGATGCCAGTGTAGAGGAGCTTCTAGTAAAATGGTGCAGCAGGCTCAAGTCTCAGAAATGATTCTGCCACAATCTGATGTTTTAAAAACTGAAAATTTTGTTAAATGAAACCTAACCATCCCAATATCTAGTTGCCTCGATGATATTATTTAGCACTGCTATGAAATTGTGGTTTACATTTTACTCTCACCCTCTGAAGTAGAATCTTGGCGGGCTAAGACTGAAGAGCAGTTTCCATCGGCAGATTACATGGGATTAGTCCATAAGGGAAGACCAAGACAGTGCCTCAAAGAGTTTTATCAGCAGTTAGAATGCTCGAGCTGATTATAGTCATTAGACCATCTTCCAAGCAATTGGACTACAGCTAGTCCTTCAACTAGATAATTGATGCGGCAGCTAAAGTAGTGATCACTTGTGAAGGGCTAGAATATTATCAAGCTTTTGTGACTAGTAAGACCTGTCTTCTCCTATCTCCATGCTCTCTCTTTTCCCTTTTTTTAACAAGAAAAAACTGCCCATGCTTTGAAAGTATTCTTTAAGTGCCATCTTCTGGACATACTCGAACTGCCATCCATTATTGTGATCATTTGAAATTGTGCTCAGTTTCAATTAATTTGATTGAAGTAGTTTTATGCATAGATTGCATTATGTGCATTATTTATTATGATTATGGTGTACATAATACAGCCTCACGTGAATCGGATTTCAGCTAATTGATCTTAATATTTTGATTGGTAATCTTTTACTGACCCAAAGGCCAATGTTAATCAAGCTTTTTCCATTTCAGAGAAGGATAGCCATGCATCCTCTCAACTTAGCAATAATAATTGTTGCAGATTAGAAAGAATCTTTGTTGCTGTTGAGAGAGCTTCAAAGCTTGAGAGCAAGAGCCAATCCTATCCTAGGGATCTTGTCTAGAGCCCTCGTGTCAAATTCACCAGAAACGTTTAAGCATGAGATTGGTTTGCTTCTATGGAGTAGGAGGGCCCGCAGCTTCCCCTGATTGTTAAGTGTTGCCTTTACTGTTGTTAGATGATCCAAAATGCATGATACTCCAACTGCAAGGGAGTTTTTGTTTTTGGACAACCTCCTAGTGACCTCTGCCACTGCAGAAATCTTCCTTGAGTGGCCAAATTGATGCGCATATGCCAGTCTTAGAAGGTCACACTTTTCAGCCCTGAAATTTACAAATCAAGAATCAAGCACTGAAGTTTCCCCAATAACATGATGCAACTTTAGCAATGTTATGTCAGCAAAAGGTATTTCATTTATCATTATTAGCTTAAACTAGGAATCAGTTGTTGTCAGTTGTTAAACGGATAAGCATCAGAATGGGAGCAACAAGGTAATTACAGAAATTTATTCCTAACCCTTGCAAATTTTGATAATAAATAAGGTGGATTTCTTCATGGTGTTTGCAATTTCAAGTGAAGCAACACACAGAATTATCGAAGCATTGCAACTCGGCTTAGTCACTGAAATGCCTGCATCATACTGGGTAAACCTGTGAGAAGCAGTCTTGTATTTTAACTCCATTCCAAACGCAATGCTTGAAGTCCCCATAGTTGCTGAAAGCATTACATCAGGGGATTGGCTTAGGCCTACAGAGATGGATAAGGCAGCATTTCTACAGAGATGAGGGAATTGAAGGTTGAGCTGAAACAAAAATGAAAACAACACAATTCTGCAGTTAAAATCTTTTTGAATGACCTGAGATATTCGGTGACTCATAATCTCAATTATGTGAACCTTACCTTGCTAGAATTGTAATCAGGAAATCTCACTGAAGCTTTGATATTTGTGGATGGCAAAAACTCACCCCCAAGAGTGAGTGTTGTTGAAACCTGACGTTACAGAAGTAAAAACCAGATTCTTAGAATTTAAACCAGTTCACAAAATCTGAAATGCAGAAGCAGCAAAGTAAAACAAACACCCACACTTGATTTTGTATTAAAGTTTACATCAATTGCAGCATTCCTGTACTTATATCGTGCTCCAATATTTGTGCTTGATCCTCTTCCTTGTTTCACTGCCCTTGAAGTTAAAATCTGGAAAGAGTATAGTGTAGAAGATAGTTTCTCTCAAAAATTTTGTAAGGAACTGCGTATAATAAACGCAATGTAAGTGAAATATCAAATAAGGAGAAGTTTCAAAACATACCACTCCATTACAACTGTGGGTGGAGATGCTAAGTGTCTTATCCAGGCTATAGCCCTTTCTAAGCAAATCTAGAAGTTCAATAACAACAGAATGCTTTAGGATTTGCAGGAATATTCAAACAGAAAAGTAGTCTTCCAACAGGGAATAGGTGTTTGCCCTTTGATCAGGACATAATATAATTAAAATACTATATAAATCTTCCATATTTAACCAGCTTGCAAGACGAATTGGAACATGTACAAAAGGAATTGGTAGAAATGGTTTTAAAACAAGGCCTTGAAAACTGCAGGCCTAAAATCAGAGAACGAACACAAGTTCCCAAACGAGAGCAATCCCAAATAAGTAAAGAGATGAAACAAACCATTGGCAATCCTTTCAAATTCAGAGAGAAGTCTTGGTCCTGAACTTCCTGCTTCTTGCTTGTGTCTTTTACTCGTGTTCTTTCTCTTCTTTTTCCTCTGATGGCTATTGCCCATGCTTTGCAGGACTCGTAAAAAAAAAGACAAATAACTAGATACAGAATGAAAAGGAAGACTCACCGGCCGCTTGAAAAGCCCCAAGTTTCCCAAGAATAGAGTAATAAATAAAATAGCTTTTCCTATTCTGTCAGCATTTTCTGCACTAACATATTGTTTATTTCTTCTACGATCTGGTCTTCTTTTAAGAGTCTGTTGACTGAGCTCGTGGATAGAGATCTATTGGTTTACCAAGTTTTTCATAGTCAAAATGTATCATGAATGGCAATTGGTAAGAAATCTCCTGTCATATAATTGTAGCTTTACTTCTGTTGCTGACCTGAAACACCTCATCTTCGTGGCCTAACCATGTTTTTTCTTCAGTTTATTTAGGAAAGAGATTCCAACTTTACTTTTTAACCAAAAAATCATACACCTATCATCATTTCAAACGCTTGAATGCTTTAATTTTAATTATGAATATCTTCTCAAAAAAAATAAAAAATTAAGCGTGCATCAACCCTTACAATGAAAAATCTCAGCTACTAGTATGTATTCATATGGGCATGTCCCATATCATATACACTTAATAAGTAGTAACATAGCATAATTCAAGAGTAATTCACACAAATTGTAAAATTCCGAAAAGACAATGTACCAAAGTAGAAAAAACACAACATTTATAAACTTGCCTTTTCTTTTAAGGGATTTAGAAACTAGCCTTGAACATATTTTTTACAACTTCATTTACCGTACTATATGTTTTCATAGATATCCATTGGACCGTTTGACCTTAAACCACAATAGAAGGTAATTTCTTTTCTAGCATAACTTGTGTTCTTTGTTTTGGTCAAACATAAATTTTGTGTTCTTAATCTCAAGATTTGATTATTAACTTTTAAAGTTGAAGCCTCAAATTTTAGTCCCTTTATTAGTATTTCCTTTTTCTTTTTTGGCTTAGAAGGAGAGGAAAAAAAAAAAAAAAGCCCACTACATTCCATTTTCCTTCCAATCCTCCAAAATTTTTTAAATAAATCTTTTACTCATTATTACTTTATTTTCTTCTATTTTAACTCCATCCAAACTTTTTGTAAAGTAATTTTATAAATTGAATTCAAGACTTAATTAAATTATTTTATATAATTATTTTTAAAATTAATATTTAATAAAATTAAAATTAAAATCCTAAGAGCAATCGATATTTTCAGGACATGAGCTCCTTTTTATAGAGAAAAAAAATTATAAATTTCATGTTTCTACGTTAAAAAAAAAAAAAGAAGTCCCATGATTTTTTTCCGATAAATATAAAGGCCCAGGAGTCAATTTTTTGATAAATTAAGAAAAAACCCATGATTTATTCATGTCCGAAAGTGTAATCGAACGGTGATGATGAAATGATGAAATTTAAGTTGTAGGCTTAAAAACAAAGCGGGATTCTATCACAACATAGCCCTCCCCACCTCTACTTCGTCGATCCAACTGGGAAGCAAAGCAGCCCTAGAAAATTTCACTCTTCCAAAGTTGTAAAGCAGGGCAATGCCTCGCCGAGAGGGTAGAGATTCCGACTCCAGGCGGCACCGTTCAGGTTTCGACCGTGAACCCAGGTACTCCCATCCACTTCTCTCAACTATTTTCCAACGGTTGATTGGAAACCAAATGCAGCCTTGAATTATAATATTATCTCAATTTATTGAGTTGGGTTTTCAATATTGTTTAATTTTGATATCATAGTGTTATAATCGTAAAGAAAGTGACTCATTTGTTGTTTTTGTATATGTTTAGTCCTAAGAGGTCTAGGAGGGATGGGAAACCTGAGACTGAAAGAGTGGTCTCCAACGCTGATGTTGGAGACAGGGTAGACCAGGATAAGAAGCAGCGGCGTCGGTTACAAGATGCTTTACCCCTTGAGGCCCCGTCAGCTCCTGATTCTTCTAAGATTGAAAGTGTGATTCTGAATAAGGAATCAGATAGGAAAAACAATGGACGCCATGAAGGAATTAAACATTCTTCTGATCCTACTGAAGTACCTCGGTCTAGATCCTATTTTCAGGTTTTCAATCCAATATGATATCATTTCATCAGCATGCACTCCTTTTATTGCTTGGTGCATGTTCATCATATGATTAGCGGGTTTAGTCTAATCTTTTACCCTGTTGAATTTCATCTACTGAAGTTTTGGATTGCCTACGATGTGGCGATGGTTTTCCCTAGGAAGATTATGAATAAAGCTGAAGATTTGTCATTTGTCTGCTCTCCTAGAGTTCAGGAGTATAACTTTCAGTCCTATAGTCATTTAGTATATGTGTTGAATGACATTGATCACTTTTGTGGTTCAATAATTGAGCATCAGAATGGGTCTAAATACAACAGATCAATTTTGCGCATAGCCTCCTACGAGAAACAAATCAGAGATTTGACTTTGGTAGGATTGTCAAACAAGCTTATTATGTTGCATAAATCTTTGCAAATTGAAAAAATAGTCATCCCCATGCATCTCTCTGCCCATGAGTTTACAGAATTTTGCTTTTATGGAGCAGCAATCTGACATGGAACTGAATAATGATTACTAGCTCGAGTAAACAACCTGCATTTCACTTGAGTTTAATAATTGGTTGTTATTCAGTGTGTGTAAACCTTTTTTCTGGGCTGATGTAGTGGAATTCTAGTTCGGCCCCACTTTGAATGGTCCATTTATATAACAATCTTAGGCTTGCCTGTGCATGTCTTATAACAGCACGATGAGCGTGGTAATGCCACTCAAGCTGGTCAAAGTTTTGGTCAGAGAGCAGCTAATGGTTAGTTGTCACTTTATATGATCATGTTACCATGTCGTATTGGCCTTCATATTCAGGTTACAGATATTACTTGTCAAAACAGTTGTCCTGATATTATGTTTACATTGCGGGGAACGGTTTTTGCGAAGCTTTAACAGCAGTCTCTTGTTATTAAGAAAAAGGAAAAGGCAGTGTTCTCTTGAAAACTATTAATCAAAAATTACTTTTACCCTTTTCAGAGCGTGGATGGTGGAGAGATGCAAAGGATCAGCATAATGAAAGGGAGACTAAAATATATCAAACGAGGCAAAGAGACGAGAAACCACAAATCATTGGGGATGGCAATGATGAGTGGCGCCATGATAGGTTCTTTGAAATGGAGGTTGATGCACTGCCACAGCCACCATCTACCAGGAAACAACCTGCATTTAGGGAGAAGAAGATCCTGGCAGCAACTAAAAGTACTGACAACAAAACACAGGAGCCGGAAAAGGCAAACCATTCTGGCCATCAGGTATTAGGAAGTGAAAGAAGAGTGGATAGGGACCGCAACCCCCAACATTTGGACAGACAGGACAGACTCTCCGCTGGAGATCAGGTTCCAAACAGAAGAGAAGCACCCAGAGGTGGATTTTCATCACATGAGAGGCATGGAGATGGTGGTGGCAATTTCAGGGGAAGAGATAGATTCAGTGGCAGGCAGGGGTACCGTTCAGGTGGTACTCGTGTTGAGAAGTGGAAGCATGATTTGTTTGACGAGGCTAACAAGAGTCCTCTCAGAAAGAACGAGGAGGATCAGATCGCAAAGGTGGAATCACTCTTGGCTTCTTAGAGCTCAAGCTATGCTCTCACTGGCCCTTTGGTTTGATTATCAAATGTCAATGGTCTTTGATCGAAACATTTTTCAAAGCCCAAAGTTTTTTTTTTATTATTATTTTGTTATTTTTATCTTTGTTGCTTCATTCCGTTGTGTTGTGTTTCAGGTGCAAAGTTTTTCCATGTGTTTATGATTTCAACTCTTTTGTAGTGGCTGAATGACAGAATTTGAACAATTTGGCTTTGTTTGGATGCTTTTAAATGCAGTCTGATTAATGCTTGAATTATTGTTGGAAAGAATGGGGGCTGATCACAATGGCAGGCAATTGTATTGTTTTGCAATTGAGTCTGAAGTTACTCCATATTTCTTCCGAACAATTGGTTTCTGCAAAATCATAGCTTAAAATACTATAATATGGTCATTGCTTATAAGTACCGCGGGAATGGGGTAAAATTTTTGACTGAAGAAAACGACGTCGTTTTATAGCCCCACTCACCCGCAGTATATAAATAAATCCTCAAAGCGAGACCAGCAACAAGAAAAAAAGAAGCAGCAGGTGCTCAAAGAGCATGGCGACGCATCGATCAGTGTTCGACGCTGCGGAGCTTAGGGCCCAGTTTAATGATGCGGGAATCAACCCTCAGTTCATCCCTTCTATTTGGAAGTAATTTGCTCTTTCTCCACATATTTATTTATTTATTTGGGGATTCTGAATCTTTTATGGTTGATGAAGGTATGTGCTGCAAAACCCTGGGTGCGAGCTGGACGAAATTCCCGATTTGCCCTCCTCTGCTTACCCTCTTCTTTGCTCCAAGTTCAAGCCCCTTACTTCCACCGTTCACTCTGTTTTGCACTCCACCGACGGCGTCACCGCTAAGCTCCTTATCAGACTCCAGGTCTTTTTCCTTTTTTTAAATCATAAGAATAGTGCATTTCTCCTAGAACTAGAAGCTTGAATACTATTTAGCACTTTTTAAAAAAAAATTTTAACTTTTTATTGCAAAATTTGATGACCCTTTTTATTATTGTCATTAGAATGGAGCTTTTGTAGAGGCAGTGATTATGACATATGATACCCGTTTAGGTAAATATGGAGGAAAACCTCGTCCTGGCGGTCCTAGGTCGACATTGTGCATTTCATCTCAGGTATTTGCTGTAAACCATTGCTTCTGAAAGTAATTTGTTTAGTATTGCTCCTTAAATTGTGCTAAATGTTTTTTTTTTCTTTTTCTTTTTTTTCATACAGGTTGGATGCAAAATGGGTTGCAAATTTTGTGCAACTGGAACTATGGGGTTTAAGGACAATTTAAGGTCGGGAGAAATTGTGGAGCAACTGGTTCATGCTTCTCGTTTGAGTAACATACGCAATGTTGTTTTCATGGTAATTATTTTATTTTCATGCTACTTCTGTTTGGTAAAACTTTTTTTTCTGTAAAGTTGTGAAATAGAGTGCTTTATGCGAAGCATTAGCCATGCTGTTTTGTGAAGATTTCTCTTTGAAGATTATGAATTTCTGTTTTGCATTGGATCATTTTGATTCTTGCATAGTTCATTTGGACCTCGAATTTTATAACTTCTTTTTCTTAATTTGTAATTGGTGGTGCCATCATTTAATCTATTTATTACTATACTACCGTTAGTCCGTCATTCTGTGGCTGTCTGCTGTCATTTCTGAAGTATAATACTATATCTTGTCATGTTGCTAATGAAAATAATGATGGTGGCTTAACATTTTTGGTGCCAGCATCCAAGGTAGTTGGGGATTGTTAATGGTCATGAAGCTCTGCTGGGTTGTGTAGTGAAAGCTCTTTTTTTGAAATGTGGTTGAAATTTCCTTCCTATTATTTTGTTAGGGAATGGGAGAACCATTGAATAACTATACTGCCTTGGTGGAAGCTATTCGCGTCATGACAGGATCACCGTTTCAGCTGTCACCAAAGAGAATTACAGTATCAACGGTAATTCCTCCAAATTTTGCTATGGTAGATATTCATAACAATTGTATTATGTATCATCTTTTTTATCTTAATGTGATTTTTTTTTTTTTTTGCTGCACCATAGCATTCAATTGGCTTATTGCCAGTACTTGTTTCGCCCATCTGAGTTGCAATATGGCTTTTCTTTTGCCTTTTTCAAAGAGTGAAATCTAGTCACAAATGATACCATACTGGGTGTATGGTTCATTGCCCGTATTTGAAATTGATTAGCCATGGAGAATTATGTTATTCTATGTGATTAAATTATGGTCAAGTTGACTAGGTGCAGTTAGAGTTTGTAATATTTTCTCTTTTACTTCTTAAATGAGTTTTTATTGTTTTGGAGGGGTAGAAAAAGGAATAATTTCTTTCAAAAAGAACAAATTGCTTATGACTGCTGTCAGCACCCAACTTACTAGCATTGTGATTGTATCTCATTTAATGTAGGTTGGGATTATTCATGCTATCAACAAACTTCATAGTGATCTACCAGGTTTGAACCTAGCAGTATCATTGCATGCGCCAGTCCAAGAGGTCCGTTGTCAGATAATGCCTTCTGCAAGGGCTTTTCCTTTGGAAAAACTTATGACAGCGCTGCAAGCATATCAAAATAACAGGTCGCAGTTTGTAAATAATTCTGCTTATAATTAGGTTATGGTTTTGAAGCTTGCACTTCTGCAGTTATTCTGAGAGCCATAACTTTTGGTCTTAAACTTTCAGTCAGAAAAAAATATTCATTGAGTACATCATGCTTGATGGGGTGAACGATGAAGAGCAGCATGCACACCAGCTTGGTAAACTGCTGGAAACTTTTCAAGTGGTGAGATCCTAAATTAAGCATATATGCAGATGGTTTTTTGGTACTTTCACTACTGTAAGCAAGTATTCATGTGTGTCTCTGTTTTTTTTTTTTTTTTTATGGTTGGGGGTGCAGAGTAAGTAAGGTTTCTTTTTCTCTGGGTTGGAGATGGGTGTAGGGGAATAAGGGCAGTCCATGGGGATTGCGTAGGACATTATTGGTGATTCCTTAATGGCCTCAAATATATTATTGAATGCCAGTCAAACTTATTAGCGAGGAATTAGGCTACTGGGACTACCAAGCAAATATGAAAAATATTGTTTGCGCAGAACAGAGCATATCAGCTAGTTTACAGAACTTGTAATATATTTTTAGTTTATCAGTTCATAAGCTAGCTGCAAAACTCTTCTTAATCTCCCCTTTTGAATTTGACCAAGTGACTTTTGAAGCAGGTGGTAAATTTAATACCATTTAATCCAATCGGTAGCTTTAGTCAATTCAGAACCAGCAGTGAGCAGAAAGTATCAGAATTCCAGAAAATTCTTAGGGGTACCTATAACATCAGGACAACAGTTCGTAAGCAAATGGGTCAGGATATAAGTGGTGCATGTGGTCAGCTGGTAGTGAACCTACCTGATAAGAGATATGGTGAAAAAACAGGTCTCATAACTGACATTGAAGATCTTCGTATTTGATGTGCCAAACCCCTTTCAGGTGAGAGTTTTAAAAGAATGAAAAATTGACATTGAATTGCTAGTTTGCAACTACTTATAATATTGTTTAAATTTTAGAATAACATCTCTTTATCTGCAGTCAGGCATTGTTCTTAGATAGATTCTATCTCTCCCAAATTTCGCAGCATGTGCATTTAGCATGTAATTATGTGGTTTCTTACCTTCTATTTTCAGGCGAGTTAACGAATCATACTCATCATGATGACTTTGAAGAAACCTTATCAGGATGATGCTACTGCAAGGAGTGGGTTAAACCATCTTGAAGATGTCAAAGGTCTTGAATATTCATCAATTGGATATCATAAGTTCACGTGTCAGAGTTTAGATGTGTAACAATTTTGTCTATATATATCTGTTACTGGTTTCACCATAAGAAAGACGGTAGTAGATTTCACTTAAGAGACAGAGAGACTCTTGGATAAAGTCTCTTATAAGCCCTAATCTTTGGGGGCATTATCATTTAAAATCACAAAAACGAATTTGTTTCCTTTCTGTTTCTAATCTGAAGCGGCTCATGCTCATGAACTACAATCTTAACTTGGATTCATGGGGAATATGAAATGCAAGCAACACCAATGTAGCAGGATGACACATTCATGAATCTAGACAGTGACTTGACACAAAATGCTAATGTGCTATTTTGCTTTGTTCAGAGGCGACTGAATTTTTTTCCTTTAGGTATAATTAGGTGCTTTTAATGCATCAGGTAGTCTAATTTACGATAGTATGCAATGCTTTGTTACTGATCAGCCTCATTACTCGGTGGGGTTGGAACCTAAGTGTGGCAAGTTCCCTCTATCCTATATGATCCTCGAAAGATTTTCATCGACGAACCTAGCTAGGTTCTCTCCGATTGAACTGCAGTTCACTCTTGTTGCTGCTATGCCTATGCAGTCCCAAGTTCTTGTTTCGGGCGTTCCTACTTGCTAAATTTTCATTTTGGGTTTTCAGGTATTGATAAAGAATGAGCAGGTTTATGGTTTATAGGTGTGTAGCGAACGTGAGAGAGCATTTAGAATTGGCAGATGATGATGTAGGTGAGAGATCATCCTGACGTGTAATGGATATAAAATGGTAAGATAGGTTAAACAAATCATTGGATTGACATCCAACCAACAAAGCACTGACAAGTCATAAAATATGTCTGTCGGTGAAATTTTGGCTGTCTTAAGACCAAGCAGGGCCATTCAACTTTGGATTGCATTCAATCTTGGATTCTTCTGCCTTTTTTTTTTTAACATATTTTTTTGGTTGGATTTGCAAACGCGTTTGTGGGAAGGTTCGTTAAATTCTCACTACTATGTTGTCAAATCACACAAAGTGGATTGAGAAGAAAGCAACAGAATTAATTAATTTTGAGTGTAGCTAAGAATTTTCTTTTTCTTCCTTCTCGTAAAAGGAAAGGATTATCTGGGAAATTAAAAGCTCCTTCAAGGTTCATAAATTGAAAGCAGGAAACGACGGATGTTTCAAATTATAATCATCTATAGTAACAGCTCCACCAAAAGTACCCATTAATCGGTAATCACAATAATGTAAAGCTGTTTGAATGTACAATTAAAGGCAAAGCCACCATTTGCCACGAAAAACTTTACCCTACTTTACAACATTTGCACTTGCTGATCGGAACAAATAATATAAACAAATCAATAAAACCAAACAGTACTCTTTTTTTTTTTTTCTTTTGTTTTACTTTTTAAACGCATAATCATCGTCGTCGAACATCTGAAACATGAACAGCATTCGCCTTCGAAGTTTGCTGATGAGCATAGGAACCAACATTTGAGCCAGCAACCCTTGAAGGGTAGTTTACAGAAGAACCGTTGTTGTAGCTCTTTGCGCTGAGGAAATCAAGACCTGACCTCTGCTCAAAAAACTCCACGGTTGGAGGCTGGAAGTCTGACCTTGTTCTCCTGTGAGAAGAGCCCTCCACGGACTCCTGCTGTGGCTGTCCAATTAACAAATGGTAGCTACGGCTAGACCCCATGGACATTGACCTGTAACGGTGGCTAGGTTTTTGCTTCCTCATGGCACGGATGAGATAAGGAATTAAACCTTCCATGACTACTTGCTCTTCTTTTCTTTCTCTCTTCTCTTTGAAAGTTAAAATTTGGCTTTCTAATCGTGTATGAAACGCACAATGAAAGAGGTATGTTAGAAGAAGATATATTTATAGCAAAGGTTCGTTGTTGACAAGTTGACATTAATGGAGTATAGTTAAGGATTTTGAATACGTGATTAATGACGTCAAAATCTTTAGGACCCATGTTTCCATTTCCATTTGTATTGGTTGTTAGGACTTTTCTACTAAAAATTAAGTTCTAAAGCAGAAGAAAGTTAAATCATAAAATGTATTTATCAGTGGGAGAGCCTTTCAATTAAACTCGCAAATAAATCTGAAATATATGGATAACGTTTGCTAGTTAATTAAAAGAAATTTGAGTAATTTTCCATTGTCATTTCATTTTGAATAGCGTATGTTCCTCACCAGTATGCTTTACATAGAATAATAGTGCTAAAAGAAACGTGATATGTTTTAGACTTTTATGACAAGGGGATAAACATAAACATTTTCTCAAATTCATGTCCATTGAAATTTTCGATAGAGACGAAAAAAACCAACCAAGAAATTGACTTTGTCATCCTAGGCAGTGCGGGACAGCTGAGCAGATGCTGTATGAGATGGCTGTGGCAGCAAGGCAAAATTGAATAGTTTTCATTTTTTTTTTTTTTCACAATTGGCAAGCAAGGGCTTATCTGGGTATGCATTCTTTGACCGCTTTATTGGAATGGAGCGGCCCTACGTGGCAAATGTCATCCCAATCCATTTGTTCTGATAAAATTGTCCAAGAAGTTTGAAGTTTCCAATACAATAAGCTTCTTGGAAATTAATTTGATTTGGTCAGCCAAGCTTACAGGGGATTCAAGTGATGATGCTTGCAATTATATTATTCCAAGTAGTGTCTACCTTTGTTATGATTTTTTATACTCCATCCGTTGAGGTCAAATAGAAGGGTCCAATGGGAAAATTAAAAAAAAAAAAATGATTACGTTGGTTCGAATGAAGCCAATATCCCAACAATTATTTTATGGTAAGAAAACTTCCACTAAACCACTGCAATTTAAATTGTCACAGTTACTGAACATTTCTTTTTAATAATTTGTTTGTGTTGGAAGTGAGACAAGGGTAAGCTAGCATTTGCAAGAACATAAAAAAAAAAACATCAGGAGAAGTCGAAGGTCGCCAACTAGGAATGGCAGCCAAGTCAGAACTTATAGATTTTGACTCAATTTAATTTTACAAGATCATTTTTTTTAAAAAATCAAATTTTAAGTTGAGTTGAATAATAAAAAAAAATTGAAATCAAATTTTAGATAAATTTATTTTATTTTGATTTAATTTAATATATGTATATATTAATATTTTTATTTTTTATTTAATTTTACATTTTTATATTTATTTAAATTTATATTTATATTTAAAAAATAATATTTTAATAATTTCAAATTGAATAAAATATATTTGTATATAATATTAAATCAAATTTGAATATAAAAATAAAAAAAATTATTGAATCAATTTAGCTGCGGATAAGAAAAACTCACTTCACTTTGATTCGATGCCATCCTTATCTCTAACAATTAAATTAATGTTTGAAAGAGATCAATAAAACCAAAAAAAATTTGAGGGAATGAGAGTGAAATCAGGGGCTTCTATCAAAGCTAACGTACAGAATTCAAAGGAGTAATTGTACTATATAAATGTCTTTTTCTTTTTAATGAAAACGTGGAAAGCACCAAATCAACAGGGTGAGCCATCTAATTGGGATGGCTCTATATAAACTACCATCAAAGCTAACGAAAAAGACAAGTAATTGTTATAGTATTTGGTACATAAAATTAGCTAACCATGACATTGATGTGCATACATAGTTAAAGTTACATCATATATTCGGGTTTCAACCAATCTTTAATTTGCTTTGATTTGGATTTTGGGGCGGCTTACTTAAAACCAGCCTGGCATCCAAAATGTTGAATCTGGCCCCTTGAGAAACTTTTGTAATAATTAGGTGGATAAATGATATATCAATATTTATAAATTATGTGAGTTTGATTTTAATAAAATTTAAATTTTATTTGAATAAAATTTAAATTTTATTTGATTATTATTGAGTCGAGTTTAAATAATTTAATTTATTGATTGATCAATGTGTGAATATTTATATACTCAACTCGAATTACTTGTGAGCCTATTCAAATTTTTATATTTTAATATATTTTAATTATTTTAATTGATAAAATATCTTAAATTTTAGTATAAATAATCGAACTTTTATTGAATATAAAAATTAAGTTTATTTTTACATGTTAATCGAATTTAATTGAATGAGTTCAAGTAGCTCAATTTTTATTTTGAATCAAACTCGAACTGAAAAGATAAAACTCAATCGAGTTTGAGTTGAATTTTAAACTTCAAATTTAGAGTCAAATTAGAACTTAAATTTAATATTATATTGACTCGAACTCGATCGATTACATTTCTAAATCTAACCATAGTTTACTTAACGGTTGAGTTACTTGTTTAATATAGTAGTTTAAGTTATTTTCAAAAAGAAAAATTACTTGTTTGATCTTTGTTAAGTACAATGAAGTTTGAGAGAAAAAAAATTGAAATGTATTAAAATTTGAATATTAAATTTATTAAATATTATTTTTTAAAAATAATTTTATGAATTTAAAAATAAGAGTATAAATAACACATTAATATTTATAAGTCATTCAAATTTAATTAAAATAAAACTCGAATTTAACTTAATTATTATTAAATTGAGCTTGAGTTAAAGTAATTTGATTTATCGATTAAGTCAAGTTCAAGCATTATTATATATGATTCGAATAGTTTATAAGTCTAATCAAATTTTTATATTTTAATAAATTTTAATTATTTTAATTAATAAAATATTTCAAATTCAAATTCACGCTTGAGTATAGATAATCAAATTTTTATCAAATATAAGAATTAAATTTATTTTTACATATTAATCAATATTAATCAAGTAAATTCGAATAATTTGATTTTTATTTTGAATTGAGTTATAATTAAAAAATAAAATTTGATCGAATTTTAAATTTTAAATTTAATTTTAATATTATATCTATTTGAACTCGATTAATTATATTTATATTTAAAAATATTTAAAAATTCTCTGAGAACAAATCGATAAAAACGTGATAATACCTGTTATTATAGTGTGTGGCGACACCTCCAGTGGCATATCATAAGAGTTATAAGTTAAGACAAATTTTTTCATTTGTGGGGTTTTTTTTTTTTTTTTTTGTCTTCCGTACAAAAGTTCCTTGAATGAGAATTTGAAGGAATTTTACGTGGACAATAGTAGGGATGGCATCGGGTCGGGTTCGGGTGGGTTTTGTTCGCCCCGAACTTGATCCGATTTTATGGTTTATTAAACTCAAATTTGATCATATCCGATTTTTTTATACTCGAATTCGATAATACATAAATCGTACTGATCCGATTTGAAATTAATAAAATATTATTTTTTTAATATAAAATATTATTTTTAAAATATAAATATTTAAAAATATAATTATATAAATATATATAATTAAATAATTAATTAAAAAATAATTTTTTATATAATGTCGGGCCAGATCGGGTTGGGTTTTAGGCATATCCGAATCCGATCCGACCCTGATTATTCTCTAATTATACCCGATTCGACCTGAATTTAAAAAAAAATCCGATCTCATAAGATCGGATCGGGTCGAAATCCGTCGGGGACGGGTTTGATTGCCGTCCCTAGACAATAGTGACAGAGGGTAGAAGTTTCTGTAAGCTAAGTTCACGGCTGAGCAAGAGTGATAGAGGGTAGAATTTGTTAGTAGATTTAAGAAAAATAAAAATAGTAAGAATGAAGAAAATATGAATTTGAGGCGTGAATAATATTGTTTTAAATGTAATTATGTTTATAGGATATAAGTATATTTATTTAAAATTAATAATAATAATAATAATAATAATAATAATAAAGATTTAAAAATTAAATCTATTTATCAAATAAGTTTAAGTATCTCAAATGTTTAAGTATTTATTTTAATTTTTAAAATTATTCAACCCACTAAAAAAATTTTTAGTAAGCTAAAATAACTTGATCTATTCTAACACTTAGATCAATTATTTAAATAATATAAATAATTTATTTTAAATTATTTATAAATGATCTTTCTATTCAATATAAGATATATCATATTTTAAACTACCAACATAATTTAGCTTCGAAACTTTTGTGTTTTGAAATTTATTTTCAGTATTAACCTACATCTTAGTGAAACTTCTACGTTATCCCTTGACGTAATCTTTTAATTGACTTTTTTTGCAATTTTAAATGTATTTTGGCCTTTTCATAATTTTTTTTTTAGCAAAAATTTTTTTTTGACTTTACTCGATGTATTTTTTTTAGTCGATTTAAAAAATCATATTAATATTAAATTGAACAAAATAATTAAAAATATCTTCTTACAATATTTGAACAAAAGAAATTTTTGTATATTAAAATTATTTTTTGCTATTATTTCACATATTGAAATAATTCAATTGGCTAGAGCGTATGACCTTTAACCGTTTATTTTTCCAAACTTTTGGCGTCTCAGGGCAGGAGTGATACACGCCATTTCTAACGAAACGTAGGCTTGTACACCTGCATTCCCAGCCTGCCTGACAACAAAATGGTGTCTTACTTGGTGCTCACTCGAAAAACCCAACTTCCTCTTGCCTTCAGGATCCAAAAGTGTAAGCTCCTTGCAGACATCCAAGCTCATTGTCTCATTCTGTGTCTTTCGTCTCTTTACTTGAAGCCTCTCAAACCCCATTAATTTGGTACACCACTCACCTCTCCTGAGCTTGGTGGCTTCCAGAACAGGAGCACAATATGGGCCCCATTCAATTGGTCCATTCTTACAAGATTAAATTGCAGATTGTTGCAGTTTATACTCAATATTGGCGTTGGACCTAAAAGAACGAATAATTTGTAATGTAACATAGGCCTTGGACCTAAAAGAATGTACAATTCTTACTTTCGAATGCTTAGGGCTGTGTTTGATGCTTGGCAATATGAAAATAATAAAGTTGCATAGGAGCCATTGGAGATGTCAGAGCGAGCCTAATTCCTTTGGGTTTGGAGTTTGGACTATTTAAAGTCGGAAATGCGAGCAGCCCAGCCTTTCCATATGCAGTCCATCTCAGGTTCCATTCGACCAAACTTTCGTGTTAAGCCTCTATTTTTTCGCGGGGGAAGAAAAAGCAACAGCTACGCGCTATCAGATGCAATATTCCCACTCATTTGACCTCTAAACTTGATGCAATCATGCAATGGACCCTATCAGATCATTATTTTGTCCAGACAGTTATAACTTCCTCATGCAGTCTTCTTACATTCCATTCATCAAATCCTAAAAAAAGAAAAAAAACCGTTAGCAACTGTCAACCGTAGCATCCAACAGAACAAGGTCCCAATTCCTAGACAAACGGAAATTATGACCACCGGATTCCTTTTCTTTTGGATTCCTCGTTGTTTCACAGCCTTAACAACTCATTGTATTCAGTTACTTGACGAAGATAATCCATGAAATTAACAGCCTGTGTTTCAAGTTCTTTATAAGTAATACAGATTAGAAGATTTCTCTTTCTTTTTGGGTTCAAGAAATATGGAAAGTCTGCAGTCTGGGGTAATTTTGAAACTTGTTGAAGACATGGGTATTGAGGAAAAAACAGTTATCGATGATTGTGATGATTGTAAGAAATCTGTGTTATTACAGATTAGAAGCATAATTCCAGTGTTGGCAGAGGGGGATCTTTGGCCTAAACATGGGTTTTTCTTGGAAGTTTCGGATTCAACGCATAACATCTATGTTTCTTTGCCCCAACAAGAGGATGAGATGGTTCTATGTAACAAATTACAACTTGGGCAGTTCATATATGTCGAGAAATTGGAGGTGGCGTATCCAGTTCCAATGCTTAAAGGGGTAAGGCCAATTCCAGGGAGACAGCCTTTTGATGGGGATCCAAAAGATCTTGTTGGCATTGACATTATGGAAAAATTTTGTGGAACGTCGAAATTGCCAATGCAAGACAGAACTGCTGGGAAGAAAAAGCCAAGAGAAAGGGCTCATTCTATAAATCCTTATAAGGTACCCTCAAGGTACCAGAAGACAACTATTGGTGGCCAGAACCGGCGGGTTATGACTCGTGATCATGATGTTAACAAAGAAGTCTTTCATAGGGGTTATTCAAGAAACAAATTACCGAGTTTTCTTGATAAAGACAACGATTCAGAAAGGTCGACATCAAGATCACATTCCAAGAGTAGAAGCTGGTGTGGGGTAGCAAAACCAAGTTGGGAAATTCCAGACTCCAAGCACGAGATAATCCCTGTTCGCCATAGTCCCAATTCTCATGTAAGTGTCGTTTTTAGTCCTTTTCTATATTCTCAGCATTGTGGTTGGGGAAATTATTCTGTGGTCTGTAATTGTGCGAGGTCATTGGGTCATGATTATAAACTAGTTATGGTTTTCTAGGGTGATATTAGTATAATATCCATACATTTTACTATTAGTTTTTGAATTCTGTATCAATTCTGAAACTTGTGCAAATATTAAAATTTAAGAGAAGGTTGCAATTTGTTTCCTATTTTGTTTAGCCAAATATCATCTACAACGTAACTTTATCCCACGGTTAAAAACGTAACAGAGGTTGCTTTAGGCAAAATTAGTGAATTGTCTGATTTTGGAGTCCTACCCAGACATAACTCATCCACAAACATGTAAATTAGAAAGAATAAATTCTAAATGGAAATGAATTGAAAAAGGAAAAACTTTTGATATGTTAAAATGATGTTATTATGTATCTCTTAAATCTTGGGTTTTTTGTGGTTTTATATTCAAGTTAGGCTCATTCACTTAACAGTCAATTTGTTTTAAGTTCAATGCTTAACATGTATCAGTGCTTAAATTCTGCCTGTTGTTTTGCCTATTACTCTTGCTTGTTTCCCTTCCGAGTTTGGGAGACTATTAAAATGGTATTATCACACATTTGTTAAATCTTGGGTTTCTTATAGTTTTATATTCTAAGTTGGGTCTTTTGGATAAATTGATTCTAAATTGAATGCTTAACATGATACTTGAAAATATATATTTCAAAGTATATATATTTTTCTGACTTCACAGGTTTCACCAGTTCATTCTGCTAGATATTACAGCTCCAATGATAGTTCAATCACCAGAACAGGAATAAATGATGGTATTAGTCAATCCCTTAGACCAGTTAAAAGTCCAAAATATAGTGGGAACTCTTCATCATCAATAGCTAGTAAGGAGCCTTTAACTGAAGGAAGGACACGCGTTTCATCCAACAATAAAAAATGGGCAGAAACTGAGATGTTATGGGATACCCTTCCCTCTTTCTTAGTCAAACTAGGAAAGGTATTCCATTTTGCTTGATCTTTTCTCCATATGTGACTTTCCCTGTCCCCTCAAAATCCTAAAGTTTTTTGACATCCTCTGCAGGAAGTACTAAGACAAAGAGATGCCGCTCTACTTGCTGCTGTGGAGGCTTCGCAAGAGGCTGCTGCTACTGAGAGATTGCTAAGGTGCTTAAGGTGAGGAAATTGCACTTATAAGCAGTCCTGCGTATTGAATCTGGCATTCTTAAACATACATACAGGTTTCATATCCTGTCAACTGCAATACTTTATCAAGGTTTCAATGTTAAAATTGTTGTCAAAGGATTGTAGAAGATGATGAAAGTTGAATAGAGACTTGAATTTAGTACCAAACTGCTCTAGTGAGCCAATAAATTGCTTTTCTTCTTTAAATAGGAATGCCATCATGAAACAATGGCATTAAGTAAATGATAAACATTTTTTGCAAGTCTAGACTCGTTGAGTCATTTGGTGTCTTATATAATCAAATCGCTAAAAGCCTACAATTAATGTACTTTTCTCTACTTGATTGTTTTTCTTTTTCATGGCATCCCAGTAGTAGAGTTCAAGTTTTAAGATTACCTGGATAAAAATGTTGTTTAGTTCCTGCCAGGAATTTTATATGTTCAAATGAAATTCTCTGTTGTTTGTCTGTTTTCTTTTCTTTTGTGACTTCATGATTTTGTCTGCTATTCCAGCTATCATCTATGACCCAAGAAATTAATTAATTCCTTTCATTTTCTTTCAGTAAATTTTCTGAGCTTCAGTTAGCAAAAGAAGATGATCAACAGCGTTCGATTAACAAGTTTTTCAAGCTGCAAGATTACATGGCTCAGTGTAGAGCAATTGTTCAGTCATTAACAAATATTAGTCCTCTAACAACAGCTGATAGTGACTTGAATAGTCAAGGTTCCACCAGGGAATTAGTAAAACTGGCAGTGGACAGAAAGAGAAATGCAGCCACATGGGTTAAAGCGGCTGTGGCATCTGATCTTATACCACTTTCTTCTTGTAGAACCAAAAATGTTTCCGGGGAGGCAAAAGATGAAGCAAAAATCACATACAAACCAAATCAGGTTTCCAAGCTGAATGGCACTTGTACGAGTAGGAAGCAAAGGAACATTGGTGAATTTTACTCTGGATTGGCAGCTGAGAAGGAAGTTTTCCCAGATTGGGTAAAGGGAAGAGCCTTGATTACAGCTGGAAATCTTGCACATTCTTTGGAGGACGAATGTAATACATGGTTTCTAGCTTATATAGAGAATTATTTAGATGGATTTAATAACGAAGGCCTCTCGCAGCTACCCGATAGCCAGGTAGCTGAATCAATGTGTCAGATCAAGAGATTGAACGATTGGTTAGATATGATGGAGAAAAAGGAGGGAAGCAGTGACAACTCTAAACTGCAAAGTTTCGAATTAGAAGCATATGGAAGGGTCAGGAACAAAATATACTGGGTCCTTTTGAAGCATATTGAAAGAACTGCGAGGGTTTTGGAGAATATGAATGCATCTGCTGTAGGTTGAAACTCAATCAGCTTGGCATCAAACTAACAGGAATTGACTAACCGAACTCTGTCTAAACCTCAGAAAACCCGAAGTGATACCAGAATTAACAAGTGTTATTTGAAGCAAAGAAACATTTAGTTTCTTCTTTTTGCCAGGCAGACAGATTCACTTTATGGTGAATTGTTGATTCTGCAACACATCTTAGTCTTCTAGTAGTAATTTGAGGCCATGAGTTTTTTCCCCTTTTTTATTTGGTAGTTTAACTTTTCAATCAGCAGCAGACCAATTGTTGGGGAAAACTTTGATGAATTCATTTTCCATTGCCAGTTGTAGTCTTGTTTGGTCAACCGCTAATGATATATAAAGCTATGGTCTGTCAGCAAATGGAAATGGGAGTAAGCAATGGGATTCCTTTTCCTCGTGCTTTTTGTATTTTCAATTTTTAACCCTTTTTTTTCCCTTTGTTGGAGGATTCTGCTTGCCTTCTGTCAGAGGTTAGTATTTTCGGTGACCCAATCAAGCCCAGGCTGCAAGTGTACACCACAGGCATGTTCAAAAATAATTTAATTTTTTTTAATCAAAATTAGAGGGCAAGAAAATAATGAAGAAAATGCGGTTAGTGGTGCATCAAATTTACCGGAAATGAAATATACCACTCAATCAAATATCTATTAGTCCCTGTCCCTTTCAATAAAATTTACAAATTTTTATTAAATTTTTATTAAATTTTTATATTATATCATTATACCATGTGTTAAATTTGAAAGTTTGTATAGTTTCCATCCATCTAATATCTATTAAGGGTAATGTCACATTTACTCCAAACTGTCCCACTTGTATGGAGAGATGGAGACCTTTCTTAAAATGAGGATCTTAATTGGGATATGTCTATTTTTAATCACTTCCTAGTTTTTATCAGTTTTTTTTTTTTAATTCTTCCGTGTTAATACTCAGATTAATCAAACTAAATAATAATATTTATTTTTTTACAAAAAATTTGAAAATAGTAAAAAATATTATAAGTATTAAAAAAATTAAAATTTATTAAATATCATGAAATAAAAATAATTACATAAAATTTTAAAAAAATTACATGAATCAACTAAATTAATTTTTAAATTTAACAATATTATATTTTTATCATTAACTTTATATTTCAAATGAGTTCATAGTAGGGTGAAGAATGATAATCTATACGTATTCCACTAATATTTACTTATTGTTTAATTGTGCAACCTTTATAGGCCGCTTATGATAATCCATGTTCTATTTCAAATGCATTGTGATTTGGACAACACCATCTTTAAATTAAACTCGTTACTTAGCCATGACCTATGGTTACTAAAAGTAGAATCCAAACGCAACGGAAAGAAAACATTATTGGCACGTTAAAAAACCCAACTTCATCTTTAAATGCTACACTTTGTTAAAGTTTAAATGAATACATTTATGCAGAATGGAAACCTTTAAACGATAGAAACTAATTTCCTAAAGATCAACTAAGGTTACCAGAAATAGTAAGAGGCGAATGTTAATGTATTAGATTTAAATTTTTTCACAATTTTTTTTTTAAGAATGATTTGTAAATTTAAAAAATTTATAAATAAAAAATTGAATTCGTAAATTTGAATTAAGTTAATAGTTTATCTTGGTCTTAAAAATAGAATAAATTTATTTATTTTTAAAAATTTTTGGAAAAAAAATAATTTTATAAATTAAAATAAAAAAGTGAGACATGATTTTTAGAGTCTTATCACATGTTCCTTGTGATATTAAATTTATGTAATCCCTAGATTAAAAAAATATTACTATATTGTTTTAAAAGAGAGGCGGCTAACAAAAGTTATCAAGCTAGCTCGATGCAAGATTATTAATCCGCCAATTCTTGTTTTTATTAAACAACTAAAATCATTTTTAAATTCCATGGATCCAATTGAAAATTTTTATATAAAAAAATTTAAATGAAAAAAAATTTCTCATTTATGATCGTAATGTATCATAAATCTCAACAAAACCTCAATTAAATTTATGGATCGTACATTAATAAATACAGTTGACAATAAAAATCAAATATAAATTTTATAAATAAAATATTATATTTTTACCAATCAATCAAATTCTGATTACTAAGTTCAATTTATAGTTTGCTTAATGATATTTATTTTAGTATAATCATGTGGATTTTAAAAGGAAGAAACAATCCGATTTGTACCCACCAAAATTTGGCACGGTTTTGTTTGGCGATTAAGACACTTGGTGTAATTCAGACTTTTTTTTTTATTTTTAAATATCGCTCTTAAAAGGAAAAAATTCAGCAAATTCACAAATAAAAAAATTGAATGTGGTTTTGATTTTAGTCAAAAAGACCAAATATAACAACATCACAAATGATCAGATGGAATTCAAGACGTTGATGTTTAATACTTTATGACACAGTCATTTCAGGGAGGGATAGTGATTTTTCCAAGTTCCTGGTCAGAGCAATAGTAAAAAAAAAAAAAAACCCAAATCTCGCATCAGTACGGAATTCCAAATTTCCGCAAGCCATTCTTAATTTCCCATTGCCAAAAAAATCCAGTTCCGAAACACCCCAGCATTTTCCGTTTCTCATATTTGTTTGTTTTCCAAAAAAAAAAAAAAAAAAAGAAAGAAAAAACAGAACTGCCCTTTTTTTTACATGTTTTTCTTACACGATCTTTCTCTTCTTCGTCTTCTTCATTAAACTGATCTACCCAAATTCCAGAGAAACTCCACGTGTCAAAAAAGGAAAGTGATGGAGCTACGAAGATTGCATGTTCTTCTAGGTTTGGTGTTGTTGTCTGTGATAGGGAGTAGTTATGCGAGATTTGTGGTGGAAAAGAACAGCTTGACAGTGACGTCGCCGGAGAAGATTAAGGGAACCCATGATAGCGCGATTGGGAACTTTGGGATACCTCAATATGGAGGAAGCATGGCTGGTGCTGTGGTTTACCCTAAGGAGAACCAAAAGGCTTGTAAGGCTTTTGATGAGTTTGGGATTTCCTTTCAATCCAAGCCTGGTGCTCTTCCTACTTTTGTTTTGGTCGATCGTGGAGGTAGCTTACCCTTTCCTATTTTTGCCTTTATTTTTTCTTTTTTAAACTTTAATCTGAGATTGAGTTCATTTAAGCTATAATTTGTCTGTTGTTGGGTTGACTAATGAGGAACCGTTGTGTTTTTGGCTAATTTGATCGTTTCTTTCAGATTGGGTTTTTTTTTTTTTTTTAAATGTTGATGTAAGGTTTAATTTGTTGGGTTTGGTTGGTTTAAGAGGGTTTTTTTTTTTTTTTTTGAAGGAAAAAAGGGGGGGCGCTAATTTAATTGTTAGTTTCTGATTTGAGGTTTAATTGATTTAAATTTCACTCACTTGGATGTATGTGATTATTTTTAGCTCTTTCATTCATTTGGAGGAGTATCTTTAAGCAGTGTCCATTGATTTCATTGTTTCTATAATATTTAAATTCTGTAGTTTGTTTGATTTGGCTGACTAAGGATTTACGCCTTTGTTTTATCATTAATATACTTGTTTTAGCCTGCTTAAGTCGTTTAGAAGGATGTCCTTTTCTCATTTTGTCCTAGTTGTATTCTGAAATTTGAGGTTCATTTTCTAGATCTTTTTCCCCCCCTAATTTCATAGGGATTACCTTTAAATGTTTCTAGAGAAGTTCTTGAGAGTTATGATTTAAGTTTTATTTGTTTCTTATGATTAATCACGGGAGTTACACTTTGTCTGATTTTGGAATGAAATGCTGATATTTGCTTTTTGGCAATAGCTGCTTGAATTGATCCAGGAGTATATGGAACTAATGCATTCGATAACAGATGTATGAAAAAAAAAATCAGTTTCAGTTGGCTGGAAGTTGTTGTTGACCTAAGCGTGCCATACTAATGGCTTATAGTTACCTTATCTCCAGATTAGATAATTAAGTTACTACAATGTGATTAAACTGTTAAAGAGATGAGAAGAATCTTAAGTGATAATTCAGTATGTTCAAGAGCATGTATCTGCTAAGTGTTGCCTGTGTACATACATCAATGGCTGCTATTGAGTTAAGCCAAAGAGATTAAGGTTGTAAACTTTTTTTATCATCCTCAAGCTTCGCTACTAAAGTTATGGTCTTACAATTAATTTTTCTTTCGTTCTCAATAATTTTTATCCAATTCAGCTTTTAGTGCCTTATTCTTTGTATTGTTTTCCCAGATTGCTTCTTTGCTTTAAAGGTTTGGAATGCACAGAAGGCTGGTGCCTCTGCAGTGCTTGTTGCAGATGATTTTGAAGAAGCATTGATAACCATGGACACACCCGAAGAGGATATTTCATCTGCCAAATACATTGAAAATATAACTATTCCATCTGCCCTTATTGAGAAAACTTTTGGTGAAACTCTAAAGAAAGCAATCAGTGGTGGGGATATGGTCAATGTTAATCTTGATTGGCGAGATGCTGTTCCACACCCTGACGATCGTGTGGAGTATGAGTTATGGACTAACAGCAATGACGAATGTGGAGTTAAATGTGATATGCTGATGGAATTTGTGAAAGATTTCAAGGGTTCTGCACAGATACTTGAAAAAGGTGGCTATACTCAATTCACGCCCCATTATATAACTTGGTACTGCCCTCAGGCTTTCACCCTAAGCAGACAGTGCAAATCTCAATGCATCAACCATGGAAGATATTGTGCACCTGATCCTGAACAAGATTTTAGGTCGGGTTATGATGGGAAAGATGTTGTGATTGAAAACTTAAGACAGCTATGTGTTTTCAAAGTGGCAAATGAGACCGGTAAGGCTTGGTTGTGGTGGGACTATGTGACAGATTTTCAAATTAGATGCCCCATGAAGGAGAAAAGATATAACAACGATTGCGCTAATGGTGTTATTAGCTCTCTTGGTAAATAGTTAATTAATAGAATCCTTTAGTTCACTTATTTATAATTGCTGCTGATAGCACCCTCAAGAATCAGAATGTTACTGGCAATTAGTTATGACTGATTTATGTTGTTTATGTGTCATCCATTCAGGGCTTGATGGTAAAAAGATTGAAAAGTGTATGGGAGACCCTTATGCTGATGCAGATAATCCTGTGCTGAAAGAAGAACAAGATGCCCAAGTAATTCTCTCATGCTTTGATGTTTATGTTTTACTACTCTTTTTATGTATTTCTTATTATCTTTGACGATTCTGGAGCTCTTAATTGTGGAAAGCTATTTAATAGAAACATTTTCCATAGGTTGGGAAAGGATCTAGGGGTGATGTTACCATATTGCCTACTCTTGTTGTCAACAATCGCCAATATCGAGGTTTGTGTTCACACCTATATTTTAAAGATACAATTTTGGATGCTTTCCTTTCTGACATATCTGCATACAGGAAAGCTGGCCAAAGGTGCTGTTCTGAAGGCCATCTGTGCTGGTTTTGAAGAGACTACTGAACCAGCTGTTTGTTTGAGCAGTGGTAAGTTTTTCTTATTATATTTTCTTGCAAGAGAAGTATTTTAGTCTGTTGCCACTTGCCACTTTGTGGCCATCATATAGTGCAATGTTTTATTGAGCTTCCAAGAGAAAATTGAAATTCAGCCAATATATGTTGTGGGATGACCACTTCTGCCAAAATTACCTAGGGCTAGGCTCTTAGAATTCCACAGCCTGCTTTGGCAGAAGTGATGCAGTGTAGTGGTTCAACTTACCGTCCAGTTGTTATTTGAAACGTGACTGACACTGGTTTCTTCTATTGCAGATTTAGAGACAAATGAATGCTTGGATAATAATGGTGGTTGTTGGCAAGATAAAATAGCCAATCTCACAGCCTGCAAGGTATGAATTAATACTTTTTTGATAGAGGTTCTCGACTTGTTTATGACACCATTAACTCTCTCGATATATTGATTTCCTCAGGATACATTTCGAGGGAGAGTCTGTGAATGTCCCTTGGTTGATGGTGTGCAATTCAAAGGAGATGGTTATAGTCACTGTGAAGGTGAGAATTGAGATTTTATTATTAATCATTTTATTTTCCCTGATTTAGCTTTTACTTCAAAGTTTATATTTAAAATGTGAAGTTATGGTTTTTTGTGATTCATGCCTCATGATATTGGCCTAACAGACACAATTGTATTATAGTAGTCATGTAGCCAATTCCTTCGTTGGGAGAAAAGCTGGATTTATTGTTGTTTGTTGCTTATGTCTCAGTTTGAAGCCTCTCATTGATTATTCTATGTTTGCATATGTTTGATAGGGGCAATACTACTTTCTTCCTTTAAAAGGGACTTCTCACCTGTTTCTGTATTTAATCATCTTATATCTGCATAATATTCACTCATGCTATTTTCTTTTTGCCATTCAGCTAGTGGTCCTGGGAGGTGCAAGATTAACAATGGAGGTTGTTGGCATGACTCACGAGAGGGACATGCATACTCTGCTTGTTTGGTTAGTAGCAACATTTTAATTTCTATGCTCCTCCCAATTTTTCTTTCCCTCCTTGTGAAAAAAAGTTTATGTTCTGAACAATGCTTTGAACAGGATATTGGAGATGCTAAATGCCAGTGTCCTCCAGGGTTTAAAGGTGATGGTGTCAAAAGTTGTGAAGGTGTGTCCTGAACGAATAAATATGTGTTTCAAGACGTAATTAGGAACTCAAACTGGAAGCACCTTCATTCTGAGGATGAAGAAACTTGCATGAACTTGATGTAGATAAATTAATACATGAACAGTACATGACTGGTTGAATGCAAGCAAATAGAAGGTTTGAGTATGTCGAATAATTAAGTCATTGAATACTTCTACCTTGTCCATCTTGCAGATGTTGATGAATGCAAAGAGAAGAAAGCCTGCCGGTGCCCTGAATGTAGCTGCAAAAATACCTGGGGAAGCTACGAGTGCACTTGCAGTGGAGATCTTTTGTACATCAGGGACAATGATACCTGCATAAGTAAGTTGACCTAGGATTTGCAACTTGAACCTATTTTCTTTTGAATATATGATTTATGGTCAAGTGTTTTGATGTCAACTCCTTGCTTTATGACAGGTAAGAGGGGTACTGAAGTAAGATCAGCATGGGCTGCTGTTTGGGTCATTTTGATTGGCTTGGCAATGGCCGGTGGTGGGGCTTATCTTGTTTACAAATATAGATTAAGGGTAAGTTGGTGCATTATATATTATAAAATAAGCAGACGATATGAAGTTTGGAATTTGGACTGCATATTGGCTGGATAAGAAGGTGACTGTTATTGATTGAATCTTTTTGATGGGGAGGCTTGGCTTGGATTGGATTGAAGTGCCTGGACTCTGGAATTGAGGGTTTTGATTGGCAACACCTGTAGACTACCTTATAAAAGAAGAACTAACCATTCTGATTTTCTTCTATATATATTCGTGTGTTAAGCATATATTGTGTTTTTACCCCTAATGTTTACTGGTTTTGTTACTTTTGCAGTCATATATGGATTCTGAAATCAGAGCTATAATGGCACAGTACATGCCTCTGGATAGTCAAGCACAAGTTCCAAACCATCTAAGTGAAGATCGTGCATGAAGAAGAAATATACAATATTTTCAAGTTCTGAAAACCCAGGGTTGATGTGGTTCTTGTTCTACCCTTATTCAATTGGATTTCAAGCATGGATGTTATTGATATGTAAAATATATTGGACAATAAAGAAATGCAGATTAAAAGTGTCTATTTGTTCCTTAACATGCTGAAAATTTTTAGAGTAGAGGAATGACTTGTGCCGTCAGGGGTAGATCGGAAGGGATCTGGATGTTGCACCTAACATTTCCTATCCAGATTCTGAATCCCCAGAAACTTTGCCCCATAATTTGTATGGCAATACTGTAATTCCATTTATGCCTTCTAGCTGAGCGGAATTTTTTTGTTCTTACACTACTTTATTTCGAGGGTTCAATGACGCGCGTTTTTGTGTTATCAATTTCTTTTCTGGTGGAATGTAGATGCAATCATGTATGTCGAAAATTGTTCCTTCATTTGTGGATCTCATGCGCTGGTTTAAAGCATTGAGTCAAAAAAAATCGCCCCGATCTTTAAAATGTGTTTGTAATAGGGGGAAATGGGAGAAAAGCCCTTCTTCTCACGCGGTTTCATCATGTAAAAATAAAAGATGGGGAAAGCCCCTAGCATATGGCATCCGATCCTAGTGGGGAGGCTTCGCTCTTACGAACCATTGCAAATGCCTAATGGTTGAATCATGGGCCGTTTTGAATTTAATCAGGATCTTGCTTACAGTCATTGAAACATTCTATATTTCTTTTTCCCAACGTAATGTGTCAAATTCTAATGTTACCAAACCCGTTATGGTTAAGGTAGACCATGGTGGCTTCCGTTTCCAAAGTCGGAGTCTTTTTCCGAGAATCAGATAACATATACCAACAGCCATTGGATAAGGCTTTTTTTTTTTCTTAATATTCGTTGCCTTCAATATCTCAGTATGTATGTCCTCTTATGGGGAAATGTACGTAATTGCCCAAATCTACACAATCTGTTTGGGGGGTTTGATTTGACCCCAGCTTGTTCCCATCTTCAAATAGAGCCTTCTTCACTTATTCCAAACTGCCATTTCGCTGATCCCAAGTTGTTTTGCTAAGTAACTTACTAAACTCTATCAATATCATTTTTAGCATGAAGGCATACCAATATTGCTATATAATTTCAAGTTGAAAGGGTTCCCGAGTTCCTGTTAAGCCTTAAACATTGTTTTCCATTCTATATCAACATGAAACACCTCCAAGACAACAAGTCACATAAATACACATAGGAACAAAATGGCAAAGATTTTTTTTATCTTTTAGTTGCGTATGTTGAAAGCGAGAAGTCATATCATTTACTGTGTTACCATATTTGACTTGTAGAAGTTATTTGTATGTCCATTAATTAGTTTTGTTTCTATGGACTATATATGGAGTATACATTGAGAATATTTCAAGATATTTGTTCTTGCTCTGAGTAACTTTCCATAGAATTGATGTCAACTGATAATGAGTTCACTTTGGGACAAAGCTGAATATATCACCCAATGGACATGATTTTGCATAGAAAACATCTAAAAACCAAGACATTTTTCAGCTGTGTGGAGCCAAAAATCTTCAAAACGTAGAAAATCTGCTCAATTAACTATTGTATATGTAATATGATTACAAGAAAGAAATGGACAAATTTGATAAATGATTGGTGGTAATTATTGGAATTTATGTACTTAAAAAGAAATAAATCCATTACAAAATGGCAACGACTAATTATTTCAATTTAATGCAGATGGCCAATGTGTTAGAGTGGTCCTCAGGCCACATCTTCTACGATCGTTTTGGCGTGGCGACCTTCAGATCAAGTCCAATGTCCATTCCATTGTAAGCAATGGGTGCATACATCCATAAATCATCAGAACTTAACAGCTGCAAGATTCCCGAAAACGGAAAACAAATTAGAATGGTAAATTCAGAAGATCAGAAGACCAATCTTCGTTTATCTATGAATGGAGTGCACTGATGCTTATAATAAGGATCCTTTGTTTGTTATTACCTTAATCTGGAGCTGCAAAAACTTTACATATTGGACAGCTTCTTCAAGCATTGTGCTAATATCAACCTGCAATATCAAAGAATGAATTTGCATAGATTCGTGATTATAAGATTTCTCAGCTTCAAGAGTGTAGAGCCTACCTTTGTTCCGTTGGGGACAAGGTTCTGTAAAATTCTCAGCCTCTCATTAATTCTTTCCCTTCTTTTCTGAAAAATAGATAAGAAAGATTGATTATTAATTGGTTTTACAATTGACGGAAGCAATGTTTAACCACATTTGTCTTGTGATTGATCCAATAGTTAGTATATATATAGTTACCCTTGCATAAAGGCTTTGGGGATCAGTCGCTGCTCCCCTACTAGCTCTTGTTTTGCCATTCAAACTCAGTGCTGCTTCTCCTTTTGAGCTCGAGGTCACTCCTCCATTCAACTCCTGAGAAGCATTTGAGTCATCCTCTGATGAGCAACTGGCCGAGCTTTGCCCGTTGAGGACGGCATTAACATCTTCATCGTTGTTCGTACTTGAGACGCTACTTTGGTTCTTCTTAGACCTTGCATTTCTCCGGTTCTTTTGGATCTGCACCATTAAATTGTGATGAGAAGATGATGCATAAAATAATTTTTGGCACAGGCATCTTGGAAAAAGATGGCTTTATATCAGCAAGAAAGTAACAATTTGCTGAGAAAGAAAGATGCATATGTCTTTGTACTCACATCTCCTGAACTTCGAGATCTTTTCTTAGAATTTTCTGATATGGTGTTATTTTTTTTCCCTGTGATTGGTTCTGGCTGTGGCATCTCAGATTCCCTTTTGGGTTCAAATTTCTTATTGGGAACAGCAGGTTCTTGGTGGCTTTTGCCATCCTGTTCTACATTTCCATTGCCCATTTCTTGGTTCAAGCAATCATCACCTTCGACGAGATAGGAACTTGTGTTTGTTGCATCTTCCATACCAAAAACCATTGACATGGGGCTATTATTGGCTACGAAAATTGGATTAGAATCACTCAGGTAGTAGCTCTCTTGACTTGAAGAGGGAAAAAGAATACTACCACCAGCACTATAACTACTTCCTTGCGAAAAACTGAATGAACTAGTGTTAACATCATCTGAGGAACAGTACGAAGCTCCTGTCATATTTATTGTTGAATATTGATGGGCAGGCCAAAAAGTAGATGGAATTCCCAAGTTTGAACACCTATCTAGCTCATCAGGAAGGGGACATCTACTGAACAATTGAGCCATGAAATCAGGCTCCTCAGTGGTGTACATTCCACAAAGAGAGCTCCACTCTCCTTCTGAAATGGCTCCCATAGACTCCATTTTTCCCTGGAAGACTTTTGGAGGAAAGGTTTTTGGGTTCCAAGTGTTTGCTACTAAGAGAAGCTCGAGTTGTTTTTGATCCTTGAAAAGAAACAGGATAAAGAGACATATATATACCCAACAGCCGTGAAGAATGTCACCAAAAGCATTAATTGAACAATATCTCATTTCATATTACCAATTATTAGAGCCGGATATTTCCTGTCACTGATATGCACAAGTCCGTAATGGGCCCAAGTACAACTCGGAAACAATAAAATAATGCAATATTTCAACTGCCTCAAACGCCCGGAGACTCTTATATCTAACCGTACCCAAGAGAATGATTTAGAACTCGAGAAAACGATCTGACTATCAGAGATGAACTAAGATTAGGTGGGATCAAAAAGAACTGGTCAATTATTCAGACAGGAATGGAAAAGGAGATTTGGTGAAGAGGGAAAGGGAAGGAGAATCACACCTGTCAATGGTGAAGAGACGTGGGGAGTCTTAACTTGAATATGATAAACATATTAAAGTAAAGAATGACAATGACACGAGGAAAGGGCCGCCACATCGTGGAGATGAGTATGATGACATTCTCAAAACTACGTGGAACCAGACAGTTATCTACCTTTCGGATGCTGTCTCCTTTAATTGTCCTGAATCCTAACAAGTGTTCTTTGAACTTTAGAAAATGCTAACTAGTGTTCTTTTTTTTTTAAAGCTACCAGAATAAAAAATTTTCTACCTTTTTCTTGTATCTGAAGATCATAAACCAGATTTGTATGAATATATATGCTGTGAATGTTGTTGATCACTACTGCTTATAAGCCACTGCTCTTTCTAATTTCAATTATGTGGTGTATTCAATCATGTTACATGTATCTCAAGATCATAAACCATATTTCTATGAATATGTTTCCAATGGTGGTACATTCTCAAGGACATGCGAATTTCTTAATTATGATAAAGGTTACTATCTCTTGTCCGTTGCAGATCCATGTCCAGTAACTCTCGTGCCATAGTCATATATGCTCCAACATCATTAATTGGATGGAAAGCAAAGACCCTCTCTAGTTTTACCTCTACAACACGAAGGAACAACAATAAGATATAAGGGTAAATTGTCAATGCCAAAAAAGGATTGATTCAAAGGTGATATTTGGCTAACACTAGTTTTAAATGTATGACTTTAACTTTATACAACACGTTTAACTTAATTCGGGAGATTGAAAAATCTATTTATATATCTAAAAAAAAAAGTAAATTGCAAAATACTTGTTTGGAAAGTGAGTTGTTGAATTAATAAATTGATGTTTTGATGCAAAATGAGAACATAAATGGATTATTTATATCTAGAGGGCTAGCGGTAGCAAGGGTTTTCAACATTACTTAAAGCCCCCAATATTCTGGCCTTCTTGTGTATTCTGCCAGAGGCTTTTAAATCCATATGGCAATCTCCTTCCCTAATTAACTTTTTTTTGATTGAAATTTAAGGATGTTTATCATTTTAGTTTTTAAAATTACTCATCAACGAGGTGAAATTATATAACTAATTAATGGTGCATAAAATATATGCATTATTCGTATATCAAATATAAACTCGTTTTAAATAATAATACCTTAAGCATACAGCTTCTTACCTATATCATTTATTGTATAAAATATTCATTTGTCTCTTTACTTCAAACTCAAAGAGCAATTAAGATTCCTTACCAAACCAAAAAAGAACAATTTAGGTTGTCATTTTTACCTTATTCACATTATGAATTTTCATCTTTTAATTTTCTTAAAAAACAATATTGAATTAATACTTGATCATTTATTATAAAAAATATATATTTGAATCATTGTAAGAAAATATTTTTCCTTAATCATTTAAAAAAAAATCAAATCCAAATAGAAAATAGAATCTAATCAACCCATAAATTTGGGTTTAAAACAAAAATACTCTCTCTCCATCAATAAATCCATCAATATATTCTCAAATCTATTTATCAATATCCCATATCTATTACTTTCACAAATATACTTATATTTTATCACACTAACAATAAAAAATAAAATAAAAAATCTCCATATTTGTTTGTTATTGCAAGGACAGAAATACCTTTCAGACATAAAATGCATAAAAATCGAAAATTATTAATTAAACCACATGTGATATAAAACTTCTCCAAAGTCATATTTCTTGCCTATGATTCCGGCGGTCTTTCCTCTCCATTTTAGGCGTCAATATTGAAAAATTTTGCTAATTGAAAGGAAAAAAAAATGAAAAATAGATAACAATGAATCAAATATTGTAAAGCTGAGATGAAGGCCGGCCATTGCACGATCTGTTGCAGGGTTGGATTGGTAGTATAATAATAATATTTTTTTTAAGTTTAAACTCCTGAAATCTGATTTTGTTCTTCTTTGCATGACAATAATCCCAATTTTATTTTTCTTTCGTTGATTCATGGCCAGCCTGCACGATTCATGTGGCTATTTTTATTTGCTACATTAATTATTTGTTTTTAGCACTTAATTTGGTCCAAAAAATTTGTGTGGGTATTTACTGTTTGATAGGCTTTGCTGTTACATGTTTTTGTTGTCGTTTTATAGTTTATGGGAATTTGAAATTTAGGTGGGAAGAAATTTTTTTATATATTTAGAATTATTAGAAATTAATTGAATTTTGATAACTAAAATTAATAATTTAACACTTTATCAATAAATCAATTGTTAATAAGAAAATTAGCTTTCAATTTTTTTTTTTAATAAAATGTACTAGTATTTTATCATTTACATAACCCATTCAATAAATTAGAGTAAGAAATATATTTCTAATTGACTAATTATGAATCACCCATTTGAATATTTGGCTTAACTTATATGGTAGAGTTACATTAATTCGATAATAGATATAAATGAAGATTTTAAAATTGAGTTGTAATATTCTTATTTTTATTTTTATTTTTTAAAAAAAACTGGACTACCTACTACCTCCAATATTTTCAAGTGTTGTAAGGAGAGAAACAAGAAATAAAATATATATTGGTTCTTAATTTAGGAGAGAAAGAAGGAATAATTTGATTGGCATGTTCTTTTTTAATTAATTTAAATGTGGTCCAACAAGTATGGTGCATGCAGTTAGGGATTTCATGGTCCATACGTAATAAATCTATGGTTCTGTAATATTGTATATCGGCTCACAATTAGGCTCAATGTTAGGCCTGGCCAATGCCGGCCTTATGGTTGCCACTGGTTAGGAAAAAAATTTTAATAAAATTTTTTAGATGAAATTTATAAATTTTTTTATTAAAAATGATTAAATAAAATTTTAACTTAAAAATAAAAATTAATAAATTGAAATAACTTGTTACATAAATTAAATGTGTAAAATTTGAAAAAAATTTAAAAATTTTTTATACATAAATATTTTTAATAAATTTTTATCGTTAAACAAGTATTAATCAAATTTGAATTATAAATAATATTTTTAATTTTTTATATGTTATTGATCTTCACATTAAACTTTATTAATTTATTAGTTTGACATTTTTATTAAATCATTTTTAAAAATGAATTTCACAAACTTCACCTAAAAAATTTCATGTAAATTTTATCCTTTGGTTAATATAAAAACTAAAATCATTTAACATAATTTTAACAAAAAAAAAAAAAAAACTTAGAAACTATATATTCTTGTGTATGCAAGATTTAGATGTACTAGAAATTAATATGTTGATTAACATGTATATTAATAAATAATAATTTATAAAAATTATTTAGAAACCTTATTTTTTATTTATCTAAAGATTTTAATTTGAGTTCAAGAGTTGAGAATAAAAAATCTCAAATTCTATTGTTTAATTAATTAATTTCTTGCTTTAAATGTTAATCTAAGCATAAAAAATTTTATAGTTACAATTAAATAATCAGTAGCACTTTTGGATATGAATTTGAACAGTAGAGTCTAGAAATTAGAAACTGTCTAGATTTTCAATTTTTTTGGAATAACTATAAAATTTAAAAATAAAAGAAATTGAAATTTAAAAATAAAAAATAAAAATTTTAAATTTATTGGATGCCAACAAGTATCATATTTTATGAAACGAGGTTTAAAAAATTTGTAAGGTTATCAACGTTAATATATAATAAAGTATAACTCACGTTAGCTATAGCAAAAAGAAAAGGTATTAAAATATATAAACCGAGGATTATTTTTTTATATAATTTATAAATGTCCAAAACAAGGCAAAGCAGTAAGAGCAAATCCGTAAGCATCAGCATCAGTATCTCCACTGGAAAAGCCATGTATTTTGGAATTTCTGACCTTTTCTTCTGCTTCTGCGTGTGGCAAAGGTCTTTCGTTTTGCGGAAGAAGAGAAGGGGGAGGATCGAAATACAGAAAGCAATTTTTTTTTTTTAAGTAAGATAGGATTGTTGAGTGAGAAACAGATAGAGAAGCCTTAAAGAAAATTCAATCGGAGGTAGGGTTGCAAACGATCTAACGGAAATGAACGAATGTATAATGTGATTTGTTGGTTTATTGTTAGGGATGTTCAGATTTGGATCATATTCGTAAAAAAGTTACTTTATTTATTTGAGTCCAATTCGTTTAAATGATAAGATATTTATATTCTATTTATATTTTATTTGTGTTCGATTCGATTAAATTAAATGAACTCATTCATAAATTTTAAATTAATATATTTTAATTAATATATTTATAAAAATATATATATACACATTCATGAATAATAAAAAAATTATAATCAAATGAATTTAAATAAATAAATCTTAAATGAATATAAACGAATTTTAAAATAAGATTAAAATAAAAGATAAAATATAATTTTGTTAGTATTATTATAACAAACAATAAATAAGCAAGTTTTAAATAATTTTAAACAAGTTTGCTCATAAACATAAACAAATCAAACAAATTTATGTTCGTATTCAATTTATTAAATAAATTAATATAAATAAATAAAAACAAAACATATTAAAAAACGATTCATCAAAAATTCTTTTAAAATACTAAAGAGATTGTTGAAAGAGTTCTTGCTCTTTATCATATAGCATGTTGTCAA